GCATGGACCTACGTCCAAACATATGTTATAGATATTTAAAACAATTAAATTTCGACACATTTTAACACAAGTGTAATGTAAATGACCACTTTAGTTATTGAAAAATAAAGTACCTACCTAAACTAAATAATATTTATTTATTATTTCATTGTTGATTTTCACAAAATCTTAGTGATTTTTTCTACTTTTACGTAATTTTACTCATCGTTATTTAAAAATCATCTCTTAGGAATTTGAGATGAATATATAATAAATAAATAACTCCCAGAGATACGCAAAACCCTGCACTATCGAGATTGATTAGTTCGAGGTTTGCTCTCAAATAAATATTACCAACACCTTTACATCGATATTAGGTACCATAAAGCAGCCACCCAAGAAATTTCATTGAAAAATGCGGATGGATACATTTAATATTTAAAATTACCTCCAATATATTAAAGCAGGCAATCCTTTCACCTCCATTTACGTTCGCTCGAAAGCCGAAACAGCCACTAATGGCCCAAATGCGCACTTAGACGGCGGTAATCGACCAACAAATCTTCGGCGTTTCCTTGTAAATCAAAACGGCGAATAATTGCAAAGTGGCTGGGCTCTTTTTAATCGCAAATAGTGATAGCAATAATTGTGAGGTAGAACAAACACCTGCGCGTCATCTTTGATCTATTCAAACAAGTTACTTCGTTTCGACTACAATTTCGTTGAAATTTTGTTTCAAAAAAACAATTTTTAGAAAATTATTTTTAATCCGACTACGCAGAAAAATCTTACATTTACCCACACTGTATAATTCACTATTTAACTCATTAATATTTATAAGAATAAGTAACGCAAGTTGATGAACATTAATTAAGGTAATACCCATCAATAATTAATATCTATCATAAATCGTTAAAGTATACCTACCTAATAGATTAAAATTATAATAAAATGGTAAATCATTATTTGTTTAGAATAAAAGCACATTTTATGGAGGAGTTGGAGTTCTTAATAAATATAATTCATAAAGCCTAAACGAGTTATAATTCTACCGGTATAATTCGTCATTCTTTAATAAAATTACATCCAGATATTTATGCAAGTATTAGATACAACAAAGTGATCCTCTTAACTTCAAATATGACGTTCAGACAAGGGAGTTTGAGACAAAAGACTTAAATAACGCGACCATAACCGAATAATCTCCAGGAATGCTTTTAACTCGCTTGGAAATTTTCCAGAAACGGGAAACCAGGCAAAACGTGGATTTATCCACTTTAGTTCATTTTCTAAAAATAATACCCGAGTCTCCGCGAACACCTGGGACCCTCCACTTCCACCGCGTCCCCATAAAGATATTTCTAAGAGGTGCGCTACCGCAAATACTTTGTTGCTTATCCATCCAACTTTTATTACTTTACCTTTAGGTAAACTTTTTCGTTGGAGAATTCCTGTATTTTTTTAAATATATAGAGAAGCAAATGGATTGACAACTATTTAATTATTATTTAAATTGACATTAATATATGCAAGAAAATTCAAAAAAGTTAATGTTAAAAAAGGGACCGAGCATGGTCCATTATCTTTATGTTCAATTTTGTTTATTTAATATTCCATAAAAATATGTAATATCTGCAATTTTTATATTTTCGCTGAATCATTACTTTCTAATTGAATGCTATACCTACCTCTTTGACCTTTTCCACATGTTCCGCAAGTTTCCACATCAGAGGCTCCTCTCTCCAAGGATTTGGAAGTTCCGTGATACAATTATAGGGAGTTAAAAGATTTATATCTAATACCTATTCCGATCCTTTGAGAAATATATCCGCGATGCGAAAATAATAAATGAAATGTCTCGTTTTGACTTATTGTTTTCGATTAGACGAAAAATCCGTTTGTAATCTAAAATATTTGTTTTTTATTTTAACCAAGGACAATTGTAATTTTCCTCCCTCCTCCACTGGCTGTTATCGGCCTCTCTTTTAACCGTCATCGTTGGCGTTCCTAAAAAGTTTCATTCGTTTCGAATTTAGGAAAACTGATGAGACAATCATCATTTCATTGTATGAAACGAAAACAATTTTCCGCGGTCGGTTTTAGTCGAAAATACGGCGGGTAAAAGGTGCCGTGTTTTTTTAACGAAACTGCTCGCTGATGTGCCACGCAGATACAACTTGTTTTACAAATATAATACGAACTTTATGTTGAACTGAAAATGGTGGTAACCGTGAAAACTACTGATAGCGCATGTTTTGTGGAATATTGTATAATGGCACAAATATAGGTAGTACGTAGCTAATTTATCTCGACAGGAAAGACACAGGCGTACGTTATTGAATAAAATATTTATTACCAGTTTTCTCTATATTGTTACATACAAATATATTTTTATTGTAAACATCATCATTAAATAAATGCCAACTCTGAGAATTGAATTAATGAATTTACTCTCAATACTCCTTCCACGTATTAAACCAGTTCTTGTTGCAAATTGGTAGATAAATTGATTTTGGTTATTACATCAACGACTTTAGTTTCAATTCGAACAAGAAGGTCTTATTACTTATAACAATTTACATTCACATTGTAAACTGCATCGAAAATTGGAGCTGCTTGAGATTTACTTTGGGACAAAGAGAGGGAAATGAAAGCTGAAAGCGTTCTATTGTCAGAACCAGTATTGAAATTTCGGCTACGTAAACACTGCGTTTGGAATCCTCCCGCCATCTACATTTTATGTTGTGCAGGAAACTTTGATCGTGCTCAGAAGTTGGTATCCTGTCAACTCATCATCCAAGCAGAAGTTTTACAAATTTTTATGAACCTTTAAGTTCAAGAGAACAGAGTTGAAAGTTACCTTTTTGTTACTAATTATTATTGTATACTTTAATAAACTCATTAATATACGCTGTATTAAAAGTAAAAGCTTTTGTGATCCATTTGACAACTTTGTTAACGTTATATTTCAGAAAATTGAATACTGCTCAATCGGAGCCTATTAATGGAAATAGAGATAGGCCGAAATTGACGGAGACAACGAGGACATTGGCCTGCAATTTGCCGTTCACTGATTAATCGGTTGCTGTTATTAATATGTATTTACATGCATCCAGTTCCATCCCATATGGATGGACGGTTGATGTCTGTTTTTGACGTGAGCCGGTAAAGAGGTACAGTATTAGATCCATTAAATTCGTTAACAAATCCTACTCCAATTTGCATTTAATAAATTTTCTCTCGATTCAACCAATGCATTAATAAATAATTGATTACGGACCTATTAAAGTTATTGCTTAAAATAGGAACATTATTCTTTTTCCTCGTATGTATAAGTATGTACATATTTGACAACATCGCTGGAACGATGTATCTTCCTCCGAATTCCAATATCCAATAGCCTCCGTCCAAGAAGCTGATTGACAGATGAGCTCTCGTGTATCTTCACATGCCCTCCGGCGCCGTTCGGAACTTCCCCGAAGGCTCAACAATTGTAATTAATCTTGGAGAAAATCGATTTCGGCCGGACCGCTTTTTCCGCCAAAATCGTTCGTTAACTCGTTGTAAAATTTGTTTGTTTTTTGCCGCCAACATTTTTTCACTTTTCTGCACTTTTGGTTGGGTTTGTCGATCAGTCCGTAGTGAAAGGTATGGGAAATATTTTCGAATGGGTCTTTAATCTTCAGTTGCCCGGACGTCTGTTTGTTTCCGGAAAATTCATAAATTTTGGGGCAACTAGCAAAAGCTGTATTCGGTTTAAATGTAAATGTTAAATGGTATAGGTAGCGTTTTTATTTCATATTGATTTTTTGTCAAAACGACAAAAATTACTTGTTTTTAGACTAATTTGATAGAATATACAGTTAATTTACAATATCAAGTCCATAAATAAATATTATATAACTTTTCACACTACAAAAATTTAATTAAAATTAAATATTTACAATGAATACAAAATTGAAATATTTCGGTAGAATCTTCGTAAAAAGTGTTCATTCCAATGTGTGAGTGTAAGTTTTAATTAACATTGCATAATTTAGGTGCCTTTTAAATTGGAATAGAACGGAATTTATTAATATAAATAATTCGATTTGTTCGATTGAATAATAAACCATCATGCTGCCTGACTCTCTCTTTGAACTGCAGTTATTCAAAATATGCTTGTATGGTATATATGTATGTATTCATAAAAAATGTGTGTGTATTTTTGGTATGTAATAGCGTTTGTCGACTTCGACATTTAGCCCTTTGAGTTTGTATACCTCATATTCAAAATCATATCATGTTTATGGTATACATTTTAATTGTAACAAATATTGTCGCATTGTGCAACAAGCCCACATTGTATTTTAATTAATTGATACGTTATTCGTTAATATTGTACGTAAATAAATCGTGTTGAAACGCTGAATCCCCGATTATAGACGACAATGAACTTACCGCTACGTAAAAACCTGAAAAATGAAGACGTCAAACAGTATTTCAAAATCGCATACGATTTTGAACACCCGCATTGGAAACTTTCACCCGTCTATTTTAATCTCGCGAGCATTTACAGTGCGACAGAAATACCTAAAGACGTGACCTGCGCGACCTAATAATTTAGTTGAAATCGAAAACACGTTCATTTTTTAGGGGTTGGAAATCACATAATTATGCTACAAAAGCCATTAACTGTGTAACCTAATTTATGATAGAAAATCTTAAATAAAATAGATCGGAAGATAGGAAAAACACATTCATTATTTTCATATGCTTAGGGGAGTTATGATTTTTTCTTTAAAATTCAATTCTCTTTTTATAAAATAAGATATCCCCTATATAGGGATTCACTTTGTATGTTCTTCCAACATTTTCCGGAAAGCCTTGTACGTTATTAACACAAAAACTAGATTTCTCTGCGCTGACGTAATTAGCCAATCAGTTGAATATTGATGTTGTGACTGCACGAGTTATGTATGTGCAGTTCGACTGCTAAATGCCTTTAGTATGTATAAATACTGAATACCGAGAAGAGAGTCATACAGAAACTACAAGTGAGCATTCGTACGAATAGCAAAGAATGTACATCAAAGTTTGGTCTTTGTTAATTTTCATTGCTGCGTGTTTGCAAATCGTCAAATGTAGAACAAACGGTAGTGGTAAGTACACATTTTTCATATTTTTGGAAAAACTTGATGTAAATTGTAGTTGAAATTTCATAGATAGATATTTCCACAACTAACAGGCATTGTATGTTAAATGTAGATATATGCAGACTACCAGAAGATAGAGGTCGATGCAGAGCATTAATTAATAGGTGGAGATACAATATGCGTACCGGTCAGTGTAATCAATTCAAATTCGGTGGATGTGGAGGCAATGAAAATAATTTCGCCTCTAAAGAAAGTTGTTTAGATGCGTGTGCAGGTACGTTAGATATTGATATTAGAGATATGTTACTCTAGTCAAAAATGTAAATATGTAGAATTCTTCAAGATGAGCTTAAACTATTTTTTAATTCACCATAAGTTTTGTGGATTTAAAATAATTTATGGTGATGGTGATGATTTGTTCGAATTAGAAATTATTATTTTTTAACAATTTTTAAGCTCCTTCCTTTTTAGTGATGGTTTAAATTTTCCTTTTTTACTTTATAGCTTTATCATTATTTCCAGTGAGCTAAAAATATGTTTAATGTACCTATAATTTAATATTTTAGACTGTTAAGCCAAATCTAATTTTGAACAATATAGTTTACTTTTCTACAAAATGTATGCAAATATTTGCAAACAATTAGTAATATGGGTAACATTAAATATTGTGTATTGTAAATAGGTTAAATCCAATCCTACAATAGGTAGGACCCACCATTGTAACAAAATGTAGAGCTAAAACAAACTAAGCTGATAAATTATATTTGAATAGTAGCTATTAAAGCCAAATAGGTGCAATAATTATTTTAATTATGTTATTATACATAGTATTATACTAATTTAATGTGCCTATGTGTTTAATTTTTTCATTTTTTTCTACCGAAGTGATTGGTTAAAGAAGAAGCAAATGTATGAATTAAATGACACCTACTTATTATTTTTTTGCAGGTATATAGCATAAAACCAGTTACTTATAGATTTTAGATAAGTGTAAACCCGCACTAATTTGAAGTTGCTGAAATTTACCTAAAAGTATTATTTTCTTGTAATGTTTTTAAAAGTTTTTGTATGTACCCACTTAATATATGTTTTAAATACAAAGTATTACATAGTTAAAACAGTAGTTTATATATTTAAAAATCCAAATACAAATCGCCCCAGTTATGGTGATGTTACATGGCTACTTTTTATTTTTTAAAGGTGACCTCTTTCCTCCTCCCAATCCCGAAACCCCACGGGTGCAGTTATTTTTTTGCATATATCAATTCGTGTATACCGCTGGCTCATTTTATTTCAATCAATATACATATTGGAATTCCCGCGAATAACAAATAACACACATATTGTCAGATATGTTTTGTCGAATATCGAAACAGTTGAACATCGTTCATAATCCTAGATTAATATCGCGGCATCGGAGCGGTATGGGGGCAGGTTCGGGGACGGAAGGGGTACGTCGATAATTTTTTTCTCAATTGCAACAACGAACGACCATAGGCAGATCGGTAGGCGAGCGGGCATGGGGAAGAGGGGCACATCTGATCCTGACATGGCGACCGCTCGTTAATCACATTTCATTTCAGCACCGGTGGTTTTATGTTGGTAACAGGCCCCCGAAATCCACACACTAGACGGGCTTCAAATAACGCGAAAACTTCCTCGAATATACTGCACTACTCAAATTTTGGTAATGGTAAACTGATTAATCTGATGTAAAGCCTTAACACCTTCAACTTTACCCAAAATACCAATAATTAAATAATCGTCTTGGAATCCGTATAAGCTATCAAAATAAGGAGAACTTTTAAGTATTTTTTACCAATATTGCATGATTTGGTCATGTTTATTTCGGGCATTGTATTTCTGAACCGGCAACTCACTCTGCAGGTCAAACAAATTAAGAAAGAATGAATAATTACTGCGATAATTAAAATTAGATTGAGTTAAATTAAGAATCGGTTTTTGAATTAATGAGTGGTGCTCTTGTAAAAGAAAATTACTAACAGTGGAACATAATTTAATTACGTTGCAAATTTGCGATGTTAACTAAAAAGTTTTATTGCTTTAAAAAACTTTTATAATCTTCTAACATAATTTTATCTATTAAAAATTAACGGCACTAGTATATGCTATTATATTTACATAAAAATAAGTAAATATACAGTAATCGTAAGCATTATTCCCAAAAATTAAAAAACATCACAAAAAAATTCAATCAATTTTCTTATTGACCTCATTCTCTATCGGCAAGGTATTTTTCTTAAAGTAAGCCTTTTTAGCCACGCGCTTCAAACTATCCTCCATAGCGGGTCCAGACTCCTTTAACATTTTGGAGAAGAAACTCTCTGGATTTTGCAGCAGGATATACGGTTGATCGAATTCAATGACTTCTCCGGCGTCCATAACCAATACTCGATCCGAGTCCATGATGGTATTAAGTCGATGAGCAATCGTAAGAACTGTGCAGTCTTTGAATCTCTCGCGAATAGTTTTTTGAATAAGTGCGTCAGTTCTGAAAAATAAAGTGTCTCAGCAAGCGAGATTGGTAAAATATGGCAATGATTTACTGCGGATCGACGTTGGCTGTTGCCTCATCCATGACTAAGACCCTATTATTCTTTACTATGGCTCTAGCTAGGCAAATCAATTGCCTTTGACCGGCGCTAAGATTCGATCCACCCTCGCTGATTATCACATTTAGATCAGGAAAGGCCGCCTTCAATTCAACCTAGAAGTTACAATGTCACTATAATAAATGAAAATGCGATTATATATGTATGTAAAATTACTTACATACTCTAACGCATTCCATAAATCTTCATCCGAATGCCTTTCGAAGGGATCCAAATTGTATCTCAGGGAAGCTGAGAATAACACCGGTTCCTGTGGAATTATCGAAATATTTGATCTTAAATCGTTTAGACCGATTTTGCTTGTATCAACGTCGTCTATACAAATCGTACCGTCTATAGGCGCTAGTCTAAATATCGAAGAAATTAACGTTGATTTACCAGCACCTGTCCTTCCTACTATACCAACCTGAAATGATGTTAGAAAACAATCCTATTGAGAAATGTAAGAAAACTACCAACCTTTTCGGAGGGTTCAATACATATGTTTATATTTTTTAATACAGGCGGCAATTCCATAGCGTACCTAAGGTAAGTATTCTTGAACGTTATTCTTCCTTTAACCGGCCAATCTCTCGGCGGTTTGTTACCTACTGTTTCGAAGGGACCTTCTCTATCTAGTTTCGTATATTGCATAATTCGTTCGACGCTAATCATATTACTTGCCGCATTGGCGCTTTGCCTAACACCGAACTGCAACATACCTGTTAAAATCAAACTTTGGGATATTACCAGGCCGACATTACCGCTAAGAAATTGTCCTGAAAAGCCATTTAAGGATTAATTTTAGTACAACATCCGAAGACTACATTGTTACCGTTGTTGAACAGTACGAATTGATAGGTAAGCAATGCTAGGAAAGTAGTACTTATCATATCGAGATAAAAACCGAACGAAACGCTACTGATTATGAACAGAAAGCAAGTGCTCGTGTGTTGATTTTGTAGCACATCGAATTCTTTGGTAACCATTTGTTGAGCATTCGCCGATCTGATTGTAGGTATTCCGCAAAGAGTAGCCGATAGATGAGAGAACACAGGTGCTTTAGCTACAAACGGATAAATAATTAATTAATACCAAAAAAAGGTTTAGATTGTCAAATAAATAATCTTACTTGTTCCTTCTAATCGTTTAATAGCTTGCGATGTTTTCAAATATATCACTCTAAACCAACAAAAGACTGTTCCAAGAACGATGGTTGGAATGACCATCCACGGAATAACACTAAAGACCATTGCTAATATACCGATCAGCAATAGGAACACTTGTACTGCTTCAATTAAAGAGCGCGGTAGAAGTTCATCCATAGCGCCCATATCTTTCGAAAATCGGCTCAAAATTCGACCTGTAACATGATTGTAACAAAACTTCTGACTTAGTATCTAGTAAAATTATTTACTTACCCGATGGATTCGTATCGAAGAATCTCATGGGTGCTCGCAAGACGTTCGTGAACATCTTATTGTGCAGTACCTTCGACGCTTTCATGCAAATGATGTAATACAAAAACGATCTTAACGTCAGGAATATCACCGAGCTAAATATGAAAATGGTGTAAATCCACATGTAGTACTCCTTGGGTTTGATATCCACGTCGGGTAGATTTGTCGCGTCCAGAGTGTGATTGACGGTTCCGTTAAAGGTACGATTGCTCGAAGTTATGTTTTCTTCGAAAATTCTGATTCGTTCTTTTTCCACGTTAGTCCTAAAATAAATAGTAAAATGTTGTTTGTTTGATTGAGTTTAATAGATTATATCAAACCAATGTGTTAGCCACAAATCGGCTGCGTTTGAAGCTATTTGAGCGATGATGAACATTGATAGGGTGAAGAGTAGTAAAAACCATCCACCACCGTCTTTCCAATAGGCCATGTACGTTTCGGTTTTAATGTCGCCTTTTTCAATTAATTCATCCTTTTCTTGCATGTCATCGCCAAATTTAGACTATAAAATGATTGTTTTATTTGTTTAATATTCGGGGCAAATGCAAGCATGATGTAATGTACAAGGTGTCCACTTTTCAATACATTTGCCCGGTGTTTCAGTTATTATTGAAGATAAAAGGATGCGCTTTTCACATTCCTGTCATACTTTTTTATGAAACATATGATGTGACATTATCAGAATTATCATAGTTTACTTAGATTTTGGTTATTCAGGGCAAAATTGCAAATATGCCCTTTTCAGGCACTTTATATATTTCGCTTATTATTTATCGTATCAACATCTTATAAAATAGCGAAATATTCGAAATTTTTGGCGTAAAATTTTATATTAAATGGTATAGTGTGAACAGGTAGGCCGTATGATAAGCTTTGAAAATTTGTAACAAGAAATATATTTCAAATAAAAAAAAACAAATAAATCCTAACTAAATATGTGAATGAAAACCGCATTCTTTTATCTTCAATAATAACTGAGATACCGGGCAAGAGTATCGAAATGTGGACACCCTGTGCGTACTTACTTCAAGAGATAAGTTAGATTGGAAGGGGTCTTGTTTTTTAGAATCTATTTGGACTTCATCGATTTTTTCTTTGCCTTCCGTTTTTAATAATTCATTCTTGGCATTTTTTTCAGCTTCTTGTTGTATGATGTTCAAATCTTTCAGAGACAATTGGTCGAACTCTCCAATCTTCTCGATTCTTCCCTACAGAACAGAAACACAGTTAGAACTTGCTCCTTAAACACCACGAAATCTACTTGCGTTATTCACAGTTATAATCAAATCGGCTTGTTTCATAAATTGCAATTGATGCGTTACCAACACTCTCGTTTTGCCGCTCAAGTACCTAATAAAACATTCCTCGAAAAGGTGTCTAGCGACTTTCGTATCCACCGCCGATAGAGGATCGTCAAATAGGTATATGTCTGCTTCGCTGTACACAGCCCTCGCCAAATTCACTCTGGCCCTTTGACCTCCGCTCAACGACACTCCTCTTTCTCCCACCAATGTTTTATCACCAAAGGGAAATTGCTCAATGTCTTTGATCAACGAGCACACTTTTACCACTTCACGATACCTAAAATATTGATAAATCTTTTATAAGGGACTACTAAATGATGTGTTAGGATATAAAGAAGAAAGTGTGTGAGATGAGAACCTTTCCCTGTCGTAAGGCTTCCCGAACAAAATGTTGTTCCGCACGCTGGAGACGAACAGCCAAGGTTCTTGCGATGCGAAAGCGATCCTCCCGTTGGTGGTCATTGTGCCCGATTTTGTAGTCAACTCTCTAAGCAGCAACTGTAATATGCTGCTTTTGCCGGCACCGACGTTACCAACAACACAGCATAACTTGCCCGGTTCGATTCGGAAGGTCAGATCAATGAGAGTAGGAGCGATTGAGTCCGGCATCCAGCTGGCCGTGACGCCATTAAGTTTTACTTCGCCCACCTCTTCCTCACTTGTGATGAGGTTCTCGGTATCCACTTCCTCTAACAGCAGGAATTTTTCAATTCTGTAGTGACCGGGTGGTTAGTTTAAAATATACACATATGCACGAGACGAAGATATTTATTACCTTGCTAGTGATACTTTGGTGTCGGCGTAAAAGGATAGACACCAGGGGAAGCATATGCAAACCGTGAGTTGTACAGTGTTGAATAATTGTGCCATGGAAAATATGACGTCTCCTCTTATGCTCTTACCTAACAATACAACCGTCATTACAGAAACGTACAAACATAATCGTTCCGAAAATACGGCCATCGACGATATCATTCCGAAGATAAAAGACGATTTCTTGATGTAATTTACTTCGAACCTGCACATAGATAATTAGGTCTATGTTTATATAATTAACTAGGAAACGATTCTGGTATACTACCGTACTTTCTAGACAGTGTCACCATTTTTTCGAAGGGTTTCTCCCAAGCATACATCTTGATCACCTGTATACCCGACGTAATTTCGTTCATCAGCTTCACTCGTCTGTCGGTTTTGATAGCTATTTGGTACCGGAATTTTCCCTGTAGATTCGACAGGAAAGCTTAAATATTTCAAAAAGGTTTTTAGCTCGGTAGGATGTTACGTTTAGGATTGTTACGCAAAACAGCAGTTACCTTGTATCGGTATGGATTCCAAGATGATAGCGCCCATTCCGGCGGCGGCGGCGACGATTCCGACGCTCCGATACATAACGTAGAAGGAAACGAGGACGTTGATGGGCGTCACCCACATATAGTGCAAAAACAGTGACACCAACTCGAACCGTTGGACGTCGTTCGACATGAGATTGACCAGCTGGCCTATGGCTGTTTGGCCGAGCGACTTGTGGTTCAACTTCAGCGTCTGCAGTTTAATTATTTACAAGTTGGTGAAATTGGGTTTGTGGACGAGTTTCTTACTTTTCGGTACATCAGCGAGCAGACGGCTACTCTCGCCCGCATTCCCACCCTTTGGGCCGACATCTCCGAGCCGTGATAGCAAACGACTATTATGAAGGCGACGACGATCATCGACGTCGCCCAGAACCAACCCATTATGGCATCGGCGTCTTTTCCATGATCGAAATAATTTATGTATTCAGCCAATACTGCTGGTAGTATCATTCTGACAATTATAACACAAGACATTTGAAATAGTATAACAATACAGAGTAAGGAAAAAGTGGACTAGAATTATTTTAATTCCTATTCTTCTATAATAAAGTACAATAAAAAAGTTGCTGGAGTACTCGTCAATAATTTGAGATCAATATTTAAAGTAATAATGTGTATATTGTGCTACATAATTAACTTGGGAAAATTTCATTACTCACTTCATAATGTTGTGTTGAAAGAATAGAACAATTCCTGATAGTGAGTACGGTTTGACGAACGTATAGAAAATCGCACGTTTTAAGTTGGGTTTGTTTTTCTTTAATTCTTTTTCCCAATTCCTAGAAAATAAATTGTTAATTTTATTCAAATAATAATTTTGTTAAATAGATTAGGTACTCACATTTGCAATTTATCTCCCCACATTTCAGAGTAATCCGATTTCGAAGCATTGTATATGTCCTTTAGCTGTATGTCGTTTTTATAACCGAAATAATAGAAAGGCAAAAACCACCTGTAAATATTTTTTATTTCATTTAAAATTATTTTCCAATTGTGGATTAAAAATGTGCATTATCGAAAAAATATTTCAGATATGGAAAATGTCCTATAATATCGTGGTGAATAACAAATATTGTTAACTGACTGTTAAATTATATCAGACTGACAGTTATCAGATTGATAAGCCCAAATTGGTGAATATGGGCGTAAAAAACGGAACACATTGTATAACTTATTAATTTATTTTCTGTATTATCGACTATGTAATTATTGATAAGAGCTAGCTATTATAAAATAAAATACTTTAAACAACAAGTAATTTAATTAAATTCATATTTTGTAAGAATTTTTTTTAAACAACCGTTATATTACAGATTTCTTATTAATAATATTTTTAAACAACATACATATTATCTGAGCTACTTCGATATAACTATACAAGCAAAATGAAAAACTTACCAATAAAAGATTTTGGAAAAGACATTAGCCCTCTCCTCGGGAGATACTTTGATGTGCTTCTTTGTCTGATCCATTCCTTACCCAAGTAAGGACACCAACACTCGCTACTGGACAAAATAATTAAAACTAACCAAATATCGAAGCTTGTTTGTTAAGCTAGTCAACAAATCAAATTTTTCCTATAAAGAATAAATATTTCTTATGGCAGAGTATTTGGATAAATTGGTTAATTTAGATTGAAATGTTATATTATAATTTTGACACTATTTGATCTAACGAAATGTTACCGCTTGTTAACTCTTTAGATCTGATCGTTTTCTCACTATGAATTTATTGTGTCTGCTCTCCTGATTCCTCTGCAAATTTCGTTATCTGTTGAAGATATTTAAAATATTACAAAAGGTGGTATTAGTTTGGCTAGGTCGACATTGTTCACTGCTGTAACTGTATTTATGGCCAACAACGAAAGATTGTGCTATGTATATTTAGAGTGTGTTTAGCATAATGATTATTATGCTTTAGAGTTTAGAGGGACGTACGTTATTTAAATTTTGTTCGTATATTCTCTCTTTTAAATCAGTATTAATATTATTAAATTTTATTTGATATTATTTATATTATTATATATGATTTGATATTTTATGATTACAGATTATTTAATTATTAACTTCGCTCAGGCACCAAATACATTTTACCTTTAAAAAGGAATATATTTTGCATTCAAGAAATGATACTTACATAATTTTGAATGGCGATATTTTTCCGACATTCCGAAATCTTTAACGAATGTACATAAAAACATTGCCTGTCTAAGTTAAAGCAAACAAATCCTATATTGAAAGTAATTTTTCCAAAATACCGTCAAAGCAGCAACTGCCGTGGCAGCATTTTCTGTATCACTCATGATTTCAAATTAGCTGGCATAGGTTGAACCAAGTGAACCTCAAATAGTCTAATTCAAATAAAAAACTGATAGTGCGTTTATGATAAAAATGCGTTTATGATAAGTAAATTATACATATCAGTAAGTAACTATTGTAACAGCATTTTATGTACAACCAAACTTGTTAGGCTAATATTAACAAATTATGTACATATAATTAAAAAGTACCATACGCATCAGGAACTGTACGTATATCCCAAAGGTTTTTGTTACATTTTGTAATATTTTTTGTTGTAATAATAATAACAGGTATACGTGTAAAAGGAAGCCAAAACTATCTTAAAAAGTGTGTTAGATTATTATTTTCTAGACGTAAAATACGGTACAATAGAAGTTAATATTTAAATCTGTTTATGACCATAAACCATTTCAAATATTTATTGTACTCAAAATGATCAGAATCATCATACACTTTTTTAAGGAATTTCATTGTTATATTTTCCTTTTAACCTTGATTTTATTTAATTAAACACAATTAAACCAAGTGCTACTTATTGTTAACATTATTATCTGTTAAAGTACCTACGATCAATGTGAAATTACCTACATATGTCTGTGAAAATACGATAAGGTAGACTGGGGCAAATGTAAAAATGGGATAAATTTAATATTTTTACCTATTATGTTAATGTTTATTATTATTTTTATAGTTCTTTTGTGCATTAGACAGGGTTTGTTCCTTATTTTTTCTTTATTATTTTGTAGCTCTGTTATTTTTTGAAATAAATAAATAAACAGCATATCAAATTTTAGAGGAACCAAATATGTATTTACAATTGCCCAATATGTTTTTCTATATAATTGTATTGTCTCTATAGAACCGTTTGTTACATTTACCCTGTACCATGTGCTAAATGTAACATATTGTCAACATTTTAAAAAATATGTAAAATCGTTTTCTTCCTTTTTCAAAAAAGCTTTTTAATACCTCGATTCATTAGTTTAGGAAGTTGTGAGTTTAATGTGGTATCAGCATTTCTAATAAGAGAAAAAATAAAGCCACATTTTAGGATTTAATTTGAACTATTCAAATTTTACAACCGATTTGCCCCAGTCTACCTTATAAACTTAATAGTTCTTTACTAATAATAATTGTATATGAGCAATTTATTTCATTTTATTTACAATATCGGATCGGAAACAGAAGGTATTATGTACGTGCAGAAAGGGCAATAAGTTCCTACTCCTGCTCCTTCCTAGATTAGATATTAAACGAGTTCTATGACACGTTCACAACTTATCATTTTGATCAAAAATCCTAAGAGGTCGTAGCCAATGTTGTTAATAAATTGAGAAAAATATTTGAACTGTCAATGTTCTTAATGGTCTTAATAATGTATTCTTTAACGTTAAATTCTCAAAATACTGCGAACAGCTGCAGGGCATGTTTGAGTTTTAAAGAAGTAAAACCTTTATGCCGCCCCCAGATTCAAATGTTTTATAATCTTCTAACATAATTTTATCTATTAAAAATTAACGACACTAGTATATGTTATTATATTTACATAAAAATAAGTAAATGTACAGTAATCGTATGTTGGCATTGTTCCTTGAAATTAAGAAACATCACAAAAAATTCAATCAATTTTCTTATTGACCTCATTGTGTATCGGCAGGGTGTTTTTCTTCAAGTAAGCCTTTTTAGCCACGCGCTTCAAACTATCCTCCATAGCGGGTCCAGACTCCTTTAACATTTTTGAGAAAAAACTCTCTGGATTTTGCAGCAGGATGTACGGTTGATCAAATTCAATGACTTCTCCGGCGTCCATAACCAATACTCGATCCGAGTCCATGATGGTATTAAGTCGATGAGCAATCGTAAGAACTGTGCAGTCTTTGAATCTCTCGCGAATAGTTTTTTGAATAAGTGCGTCAGTTCTGAAAAATAAAGTGTCTCAGCAAGCGAGATTGGTAAAATATGGCAATGATTTACTGCGGATCGACGTTGGCTGTTGCCTCATCCATGACTAAGACCCTATTGTTCTTTACTATGGCTCTAGCTAGGCAAATCAATTGCCTTTGACCGGCGCTAAGATTCGATCCACCCTCGCTGATTATCACATTTAGATCAGGAAAGGCCGACTTCAATTCAACCTAGAAGTTACAATGTCACTATAATAAATGAAAATGTGAATATATATGTATGTAAAATTACTTACATACTCTAACGCATTCCATAAATCTTCATCCGAATGCCTTTCGAAGGGATCCAAATTGTATCTCAGGGAAGCTGAGAATAGCACGGGTTCCTGTGGAATTATCGAAATATTTGATCTTAAATCGTTTAGACCGATTTTGCTTGTATCAACGTCGTCTATACAAATCGTACCGTCTATAGGCGCTAGTCTAAATATCGAAGAAATTAACGTTGATTTACCAGCACCTGTCCTTCCTACTATACCAACCTGAAATTATGTTAGGAAACAATCAAATTGAGAAATGTAAGAAAACTACCAACCTTTTCGGAGGGTTCAATACATATGTTAATATTTTTTAATACAGGCGGCAGTTCCATAGCGTATCTAAGGCAAGTATTCTTGAAAGTTATTCTTCCTTTAATGGGCCAATCTCTCGGCGGTTTGTTACCTACTGTTTCGAAGGGACCTTCTCTATCTAGTTTCGTATATTGCATAATTCGTTCGACGCTAATCATATTACTGGCCGCATCGGCGCTTTGCCTAACTCCAAACTGCAACATACCTGTTAAAATCAAACTTTGGGAAACTACCAGGCCGATATTACCGCTAAGAAACTGTCCTGAAAAGCGATATAAGGATTAATTTTAGTGCAACATCCGAAGGTTAGAAATTGTTACCGTTGTTGAACAGTACGAATTGATAGGTAAGCAATGCTAGGAAAGTGATACTTATCATATCGAGATAAAAACCGAACGAAACACTACTAATTAGGAATAGGAACCAAGTGCTTGTGTGTTGATTTTGTAGCACATCGAATTCTTTGGTAACCATTTGTTGAGCATTCGCCGATCTGATTGTAGGTATTCCGCAAAGAGTAGCCGATAGATGAGAGAACACAGGTGCTTTAGCTACAAACGGATAAATAAATAAATATTACCAAAAAAAAAGGTTTAGATTGTCAAATAAATAATTTTACTTGTTCCCTCTAATCGTTTAATGCCTTGCGCCGTCTTCAAATATACAACTCTAAACCAATAAAAAACTGTTCCAAGAACGATGGTTGGAATGACCATCCACGGAATAACACTAAAGACCATTGCTAATATACCGATCAGCAATAGGAACACTTGAATAGCTTCAATTAAAGAGCGCGGTAGAAGTTCATCCATAGCGCCCATATCTTTCGAAAATCGGCTCAAAATTCGACCTGTAACATGATTGTAACCAAACTTCTGACTTAGTATCTAGAAAAATTATTTACTTACCCGATGGATTCGTATCGAAGAATCTCATGGGTGCTCGCAAGACGTTCGTGAACATCTTATTGTGCAGTACCTTCGACGCTTTCATGCAAATGATGTAATACAAAAACGATCTTAACGTCAGGAATATCACCGAGCTAAATATGAAAATGGTGTAAATCCACATGTAGTACTCCTTGGGTTTGATATCCACGTCGGGTAGATTTGTCGCGTCCAGAGTGTGATTGACGGTTCCGTTAAAGGTACGATTGCTCGAAGTTATGTTTTTCTCGAAAATTCTGATTCGTTCTTTTTCCACGTTAGTCCTAAAATAAATAGTAAAATGTTGTTTGTTTGATTGAGTTTAATAGATTATATCAAACCAATTTGTTAGCCACAAATCGGCTGCGTTTGAAGCTATTTGAGCGATGATGAACATTGATAGGGTGAAGAGTAGAAAAAACCATCCACCACCGTCTTTCCAATAGGCCATGTACGTTTTGGTTTTAATAACGCCTTTTTCAATTAATTCGTCCTTTTCTTGCGTTTCATCGCCAAATTTAGACTATAAAATAATTGTTTTATTTGTTTAATATTCGGGGAAAATGCAAGCATGATGTAATGTACAAGGTGTCCACTTTTCAATACATTTGCCCGGTGTTTCAGTTATTATTGAAGATTGTCAAAATTATCGTAGCTAAATTAGATTGTTTTATACAGAATTTTGACAATATATATTTTTTTGGATGATTTAATTCCGCTTTTCTATCATTCCTTGTTAATATTAAATTAGGTTTTGCAGGTATTAACCTTTATCTACTTTGTGTATTTATTTTTAAAAGTTGGGAACAATTCTTGGATATGACGACAGTTGTGTCGTGCATTGATATTTGTTTTGCACCTACTGTATTTCAAATAGAAAAAACAAATAAAACCTAACTAAATATGTGAATGTGAACCCTATACTTACTACAAGAGATATATTAGATTGGAAGGGGTCATGTTTTTTAGTATCTATTTCGACTTCATCGATTTTTTCCTTGCCTTCCGTTTTTATTAATTCATTCTTGCCATTTTTTTCAGCTTCTTGTTGTATGATGTTCAAATCTTTCAGTGACAATTGGTCGAACTCTCCAATCTTCTCGATTCTTCCCTACAGAACAGAAACGCAGTTAGAACTTGCTCCTTAAACACCACAAAAATTTACTTGCGTTATTCACAGTTATAATCAAATCGGCTTGTTTCATGAATTGCAATTGATGCGTGACCAAAACTCTGGTTTTGCCGCTCAAGTATTTTATGAAACATTCCTGGAAAAGGTGTCTAGCGACTTTCGTATCCACCGCCGATAGAGGATCGTCAAATAGGTATATGTCTGCTTCGCTGTACACAGCCCTCGCCAAATTCACTCTGGCTCTTTGGCCGCCGCTCAACGACACTCCTCTTTCTCCCACCAATGTTTTATCACCAAAGGGAAATTGCTGAAAGTCTTTGATCAACGAGCACACTTTTACCACTTCACGATACCTAAAATATTGATAAATCTTTTATAAGGGACAACTAAATGGTGTGTTAGGATATAAAGAAGAAAGTGTATGAGATGAGAACCTTTCCCTGTCGTAAGGCTTTCCGAACAAAATGTTGTTCCGCACGCTGGAGACGAACAGCCAAGGTTCTTGCGAGGCGAAGGCGATCCTCCCGTTGGTGGTCATTGTGCCCGATTTTACAGTCAATTCTCTAAGCAGCAACTGTAAAATGCTGCTTTTGCCGGCCCCAACATTACCAACAACACAGCATAACGTGCCCGGCTCGATTCGGAAGGTGAGATCAATGAGAGTAGGGGCGATTGAGTCTAGCTTCCAGCTGGCCGTGACACCATTAAGTTTTACTTCGCCCACCTCTCCCTCACTTGTGATGAGCTTCTCGGCATCAACTTCCTCTAACAGCAGGAATTTTTCAATTCTGTAGTGACCGTGTGGTTAGTTTAAAATATGTAGATTAACATATGTACGAGAAGAAGATATTTATTACCTTGCTAGTGATACTTTGGCGTCGGCGTAATAGGATAGACACCAGGGTAAGTTTATGCAAATCGTGAGTTTTACAGTGTTGAATAATTGCGCGATCGAAAATATGACGTCTCCTCTTATGCTCTTACCTAACAATACAACCGTCATTACAGTAACGTACAAACATAATCGTTCCGCAAATACGGCCATCGACGATATCATTCCGAATATATAAGACGATTTCCTAATGTAGTTTACTTCTAACCTGTACATAGATAATTAGGTCTATGTTTATATAATTAACTAGGAAACGATTCTGGTATACTACCGTACTTTCTAGACAGTGTCACCATTTTTTCGAAGGGCTTTTCCCAAGCATACATCTTGATTACCTGTATACCCGACGTAATTTCGTTCATCAGCTTCACTCGTCTGTCCGTTTTGATAGCTATTTGGTACCGGAATTTTCCCTGTAGATTCGACAGGAAAGCTTAAATATTTCAAAAAGGTTTTTAGCTCGGTAGGATGTTACGTTTCGAGGTAAAACAGCAGTTACCTTGTATCGGTATGGATTCCAAGATGATAGCGCCCATTCCGGCGGCGGCGGCGACGATTCCGACGCTTTGGTACATAACGTAGAAGGAAACGAGAACGTTGATGGGCGTCACCCACATGTAGTGCAAAAACAGTGACACCAAATCGAACCGTTGGACGTCGTTCGACATGAGATTGACCACCTGGCCGATGGCCGTTTGGCCGAGCGACTTGTGGTTCAACTTCAGCACCTGTAGTTTGATTATTTACAAGTTGGTGAAATTGGGTTTCTGGGCGAGTTTCTTACTTTTCGGTACATCAGCGAGCAGACGGCCACTCTCGCCCGCATTCCCACCCTTTGGGCCGACAACGATGACCCGTGAGAGCAAACTACGATTATGAAGGCGACGATGATAATCGATGTCGCCCTGAACCAACCCGTTATGGCATCGGCGTTATTTCCATGATTAAAATAATTTATGTATTCAGCCAATACTACTGGTAGTATCATTCTGAAAATTGTAACATACGATACTTAAAATAGTATAACAATACAGGGTGGTCCAGAACTCGCGTCCCGCCGAGGAAAGGATTGTGGAAACGACAATTGAGATGCCAAAAGTGCAGCTGAAGACATGAAAAAGCTTTTATTTTGATAATTAAAGTGAATTAAAATCGACCAATCCCAGTTATAGTTCGAATCAAAGGAAAGGACGTGAATGAGCTTTACCAATTTGACATTATAGAAAGATTCTTTATCCTTGTCATTTTTAAAGTTAAATAATTTGTATATTGTGATACTTGTGAAAATTATTTAAAAAAAATTGAAAATTACTCACTTCATGATGTTGTATTGAAAGAATAGAACAATTCCTGATAGTGAGTACGGTTTGACAAACGTATAGAAAATCGCACGTTTTAAGTTGGGTTTGTTTTTCTTTAATTCTTTTTCCCAATTCCTAGAAAATCAATTTTTATTTTCAAATAATAATTTTGTTAACTAGATTAGGTACTCACATTTGCAATTTATCTCCCCACATTTCAGAGTGATCCGATTTCGAAGCATTGTATATGTCCTTTAGCTGTATGTCGTTTTTATAACCGAAATAATAGAAAGGCAAAAACCACCTGTAAATATTTTTTATTTCATTTAAAATTATTTTCCAATTGTGGATTAAAAATGTGCATTATCGAAAAAATATTTCAGATATGGAAAATATACTAGGATTTAAAACAAAAATAAATATAACCATAAATATATTTGTAGTAGTATGCATACTACTCGTATTCGTATTTCTGGGGGTACCTAAGTATTTTTTTCATTCTAACGGCCATATTCACCAATGGCTGTTATATCACTAACAGAGAGGTAAGTTCTTATGAATCTGTTAACGTCATATTTTGACATTCACCAATGTCAGGTAATACTTTACAGTCAGATAAAAGTAACGCAGCAAAATCGAACTGATACTTCAATCCAAATGTCGAAATTTTTAAAGTTTTTACGACTATTAAATTTAATAGGGACACATTTTAATTTAAACCTAATAAATTGAGTAGTTAAATAGAATAGAGTTTCCCGAATTGTTCAATTCCACTTCCGACGTTATTGATAGAGATATTAAATAGATAGAAATATTCCTAAATATAGAATTAATTAGTCAATAGAGGTTCAGATTTTGGCCGAAATTGATGAATATGAGCGTAAAAAACGGAACACATGATACACATTGTACCTATAACTTATTACAAATTTTCTGTATCTATTATTATACCGAGCATCCAAGTCCGAGCACTGCTATCAATAGAAAGAGAGAATTAGTCGAACTGAGGAGAGGCGCGGCTTCGACGCGACGAATCGGGGGCGAATGCAGCGCTCGACCTTGGCCGCTTGGTATATCGACAATGTAAATATTGATAAGAGCTAGTTATTAAATAAAATACTTTAAACAAAAAGTTATTTAATTAATTTCATATTTTCTGAGAAAATTTTTATTGACATGCCAAAATTATCAAAATGTGTAATTCATTTGCAAATTTTCGTTACAACATATGTTACAGAGATTTCTTAATAATTATCTTGAACTACATACACTATAATTAGGTATTATAACCTGTATAAGTTATACAATAGTCCAAATGGTTTAATTACATTCCTTCCATTAATTTTGCCTAGCTTTCATAGATTTAGTACAGGGTATTTTAACAAATTACCTACATTTTCCGTATAATTTAAAGTCATGAACCGATTTGTTCTAGGTTTATCAAAATTATCTGGGCTATTTCAATACAACTGTACAAGCAAAATGAAAAACTTACCAATAAAAAATTTTGGAAAACACATTAGCCTTCTCCTCGGGAGAAACTTTGATGTGCTTCTTAGTCTGATCCATTCTTTACCAAAGTAAGAACTAGAGTGCACTCACGATTGGACAAAATAGTTCAAAATAATAGAAAACTTTAAAGTTAGCGGATCAAAGCTTGTTTTTTATGATAGTCAATAAACCAAAATTTTCCTGTAAATTGCTAAAAGAAAAGTTCAAATGGAACAGGTATGTTCAGAGTATTTGGATAAATTGGTTAATTTAGATTGAAATGTTAAAAAAAATTTATAATTTTGACTCTATTTGATCCAATGAAGTGTTACCGCTTGTTAACGCTTTAGATCTGATCGTTTTCTCACTATGAATTTATTGCGTCTGCTGATTCCTTTGCAAATTTCGTTATCTGTTGAAGATAGTTAAAATATTACGATAATAGTAGTATTAGTTTGTCTATCTACATCCATCCAACAAAAAAAATCAACTAAAACAAAGTTAGTTGCGTGATCAACGCGTGATCACCAAGCATATTTGCAACTATTGGGTGAAATAAACAAGCCTCCTTAACGCTGGCCAATCAGTATCAGACTTAACTGCAATCGATATTGATGCATGTCGATAGGTCGACATTGTACACTGCTGTAACTGTATCTAGGGCCAATAATGTTATATTGGCTATGTACATTTAGAGTGTGTTTTGCACAATAATTATTAAGGCGCGGTTACACGTATCAAGTAGCTGAAGCAAGTTACTAATGCCCCATTTCTAGACTAGGCGATAACTGAAAGTTAACTCCAACTATTCAATAAACTTCAGTTAACCTTCGGAATTGGCTTTCTCGGCTCTAAATCCAATTTTATATATGCAAAAACTATACGTTAACCTCTCCAGTTCGGTTATCTTCTCAATAGTAAGTGATAGTTAAACATGAAAGGTCGAGAAACCGAGCATAAATCAAGTAGTTAACTAAATTTAGTTACTTGTATGGTGTGGACTTTCATTTTTAAGGTTTTTAAAGTTACATTTTACTCTAAATACGCGTCTCGAGTCCCTAGTTATTCCATAGCAACCATAGAGAAAGAAAGATGTCTATGGTCTACCATAGAGAAAGAAAGATGTCTTTTATTTTGTCTATGATAGCAACAATGTAAATCTGTCAAGTTAAAGACGCGACTTTAGAGTCACTCTAAAGTTTAAGAGGGGCGCTGAATACGTTCCTTGGTCTTCTGTATGTGTACGTGCAAAAAGATCAATGAGTTCCTGATCCTGCTCCTTCCTAGACTAGATATTAATATTAACCAAGCGCTTCTTTAGCACGTTCACATCATATCATTTTGATCCAAAATCCTAAGAGGTCGTAACTATTGTTGTTAATAAAGTAGAAGAAAAAAATTGATTTGTCAATGTCAATGTTAACTGTCAAGAGTGTCAATCAGCTGAGTTTTAAAATTAATATAAGTAATAAATAATGAATTCTTTAACGTTAAATTCTCAAAATATTGCGAACTGCTGCAGAGCATGTTTGAGTTTTAACGAAGTACAACCTTTATGCCGCCCCCAGATTCAATTGATTTATGAAAAAATTACGGATCTGAAGGTATTAAGGCAAATACTAATATGTATGTCGTCTCATACTGAATACTGTTTATGTTTTAGCTGAATATTGGTGAAAAACTGTCTCAAAATATGTGTTTAAAATGTTGCAATATGTTAGAGAATATATCACAATTTGCTGAAACTTGTAAAGTAAGCGATAAGTATTTAAAGTCATTAACAGAAGAGACTAATAAAGACATTGATAGCGATAGTACATTTAGTGAAATTAAATCTGAAGAGCAAAACAATTTAAAAATTGCAACAAGTAGTGCATTAAATACAGTTAATTCCTGTGAAATAAGTAATGAAAATTTCATTGAAAAGGATACGCTAAAATTGCACGAAGAAATACTTATGGAACGTAAACTATTCGAATGCGATGACTGTCATAAAAAATTTAACCAAAAGTCTACATTATGCAGACATTATTTAACTCATACAGGTAACATCGTTTATTACAGTTGATTCATTTTGTTATATCCATAAAAATTATGTTATAGGTAAGATGCCATTTGGTTGTAGTATTTGCTGTAAAAAGGCCAAAAGAAAGCAACAAATAGAAAATCACATACAAAAACATCATCCAGATGTTTCCCCGATGGATTATGACAAAGTTGTCACTAAGAGTGATGTTATGGCAACAGATCAGCACACAAATAAAGTCCTGTTAGATATAGAATCTACAAGCAATTTGAAAATTAATGATTCTGAATCAACTATAAACGATTTAAAATCGGATGATAAAAAAATTTCTTCTGTAAAGGATGAGAATATCGAATGTAATACTAAAGTAGCGACTGAAGATAATACTGCAATTAAAAAGAAAAGGTACCACAATACAACAAATATTCTGAATTTAAAGAAATTACTTACAAATTACATTTTAGGATAGAACTATGCTTGTGCAGTTTATGCGGAAAGCAGTTCAAAAGGCTGGAGTACCTCAGAAACCACATGGCCACTCACATGAATGTTAAACCATTTTCGTGCAGCACTTGCGGTGCAGGATTTACACAGAGGCAAGCCTTAAACAGGCATTATTTAGTCCATACTAAAGAAAAACCTCACAAGGTAAATTACTTGTGTTGGGTGGATAACATTATAAACTGCACGATTTACTTGTAGTGTACCCACTGCGACAAGACATTTGCCCGCAAAGAGAAATTGAACGATCACATTCGATGTCACGAAGAAGGCGTACCGCCGCACTTGTGTTTCCACTGCGGCAGGCGATTTAAGGACAGAGAGTACCTCCGGAAGCACTTGACTTATTTTTTAATGGGCGGAAAAAATCGATGGAAATCAGAGGCAAAAAGGTAGCAATTCGCTACTGTAAAATTGGCTGCAGACGTGGAATTTTCAGCAGATATAGCCTCATGTCTTGTCTTAGTATACACCAAGTAGCAACATCCCCAACCGATTGCAAGTAGTCGAACCACCACGTTGAATAAGATCGTGTTCAAAAACGCGACATTTTGAGGAAAATTCGCGTTCTTTGAGGCGTTCTAAGAGACTGATTTTTCTTATGAGCAACTCCTGGTGTTAGGGAATGATACTTGAAAGATTTGGTACTCAGGGGTTATAATAATAATAATAAGTATTATTAATAAGTAAGTATGATGCTACCTACAGATACCTAGGGAGAAAGAGAAGACATGAGGCTATCTCTATTGAAAATTTCAATTAATGGCAAATTTTACAGGGCTTGAAAAATGTGAGTCTCTAATTTTGATAACAGTGCGTTTGTTACTGATAGATTATTTTTCTAAATTGAGTATTTCTTGTTACAGCTTATGTCCAGAATGCGGCAAGGAATTTCATTCTGTAGCTTATTTAAAAACTCACATAAACGTAATCCACGCTGGTATTAAACCATATACATGCGACATATGCGATAAGTCGTTTACAGTTAGCGCGGGGTTAGATTATCACATGAAAATTCACAAGTAAGTCGTTGAAGTAACATATTTTCAAACTTATTTTTTGATAATTTTTTAGAGGTCTCAAACCATTTCAGTGCTCGCATTCGGATTGCAGTAAAACGTTTCGCACTAATTACGCCAAGAAAGTACATGAAAGGATGCACGGTACTGAACGGGCATTTAAATGCGACGTGTGCAATAAGGGATTCGTACGAAGCAGCCATCTTAAGAGACATGTAAAACTTCACAGGGAAGAATCCGGATCGGTTGCAGTTAATGCTTCATTGTCGCTTCCATACGGCGTAAACTTGGATATGGATAGGTAAAAACAGTTATTTTATTGATACAAAATATATATATCCTAGTATGAAACATAAATAAATAAATATCCATCCAATACATTGTATTGATTGTCAGTAAGTTCATGAGTCTGGTGATTTTTTATTTTTTCATGTTTAGATTTATTGTAACAGAATTATTTTATCCTCCTAAACCAATAATTGTTAACGGCCTGTTTCCAGTACAAGAATTTTCGAAATCATACAATGTATATGGTACATAAATAGCCAAAGCCAAAAACACGCTTTGTAAAATTAACAACATCATTAACAACATTGTCACTAATTTCCAAATAATGTACAGTTTGATAAGAATGAAAATAATTACAGTCCAAGCAATCATTTTTTTAGTAATGTAATTAGCTTCGTCATAATCTTCCTGATTAATTTCAAGTTCTGTAACAGAAAAAAATAACTAAAAAATATAAGCTACTTACGTTCATTCTTTTAAGTATCTAAGTTTTAAAAAATAAAATCTCTCTGAAAAATTTAATAAAAATTGTGTTCAACATTTTTACATCACGTATTATTAATTGATAAAAACATTAAATACATTAGCAGCAACATTCCTATAGTCATTTTTAACATGTATAGTTTGGAAATTAACATGACGGGCACCATTACTTGAGCTTTCATTCGATTTTCCATTCCTATTTTCATTTGAGGCATATTCATTTCTGTCGATGTATTGTTATTTTTGGACCATGTCGAATGATTAGTAGAATTTGTGATATTTTCGGATTTGTACATTATTCTTGGAGACATTATTTCCTTCGAACTAACTGAAACAAAACCGGATTTGTTCAATTCCGTTAGAAATGTTCAGTTTTAATGGTAATAGATTCGATTAAAAAGTCACAATTTGATGACGAATGTTTATTCTCACCATAAGAAAGTACGATTTTAACCAAAAAGATTACTGAGCAATCCAGATTTTCTTCTTAGACATAACCTTGCCAGATTTCTCGCTAATCGTGGAATGGCAAAGGCAATTACAAGTAACACAGCTTTGGCCACAAATAAATTTGTATAAATCATTCCGAGCAACACTGATATTTTCATTAATTTTGTAATTAATATTATTGGAATAAAGAAAAGGTATCTTTCTTTTTTACTTCTGGGTATTATGTAATTACCTAAAAATTAATTACAATTGTAAAGCAATTAAAAGCAGTTTGTCAGCTCATGAATTTGTTAGTCGGTAAATTGCAAAAAATGTATCAAGTTTAAAAAGGTGTTATTATAACAATAATAAATCAATGAGAACTTACCCGAACAATCCTATAATTCTAGACAATAAGTTTTTACTAGCTGGATTGTCGCAATTTCTTATAGTATTGTAATATATAGTGGGCCACAGTATTACAGACCACAAGATGATCTTAATGGTATTCATACCAACTAAAAATATAAGACCCAGGGTGATTTTAATTTTGAACAACTTGAAAAATATAATTTTTTTAATTTTTTTCAACACTTCTTTGTCTTTAAGGGCTAGTTCGTGACCTCTAGTTTCTAAAACAAAGAGAATAAAGAAATGTGTACGTTATCGAATATATAATTTATAATAACAACTTTTTAACTTAATTATCTTCCTTACCTCGAGATATAACACTAAAAAACTATCAAAACTATGGGAACACAATTTTAATATTGACAAAGAATTTATATTATTTTAAAGGAAGTTAGTTGTTCACACTATTAGGGGATATGTTCATGGCTTATCAAAAAATTCGATTTATAACGGATTATACTATTAGCTGATTTATGGAAACAATTACTCACTACTTTTATCAAATAATAATTACCTTCATCAAAATATTCATCTGTGATTAAAGCCCTTTTAGATGAAAAAACTTCCTCAGGAAAAACATAATTCCATCCATCGTCATCGAAAAAATCATCAATTTTCCTCCGCAAGAATTTGTACAATTTTATGAAGTCGTTATCACTTTGCTTGTACGTTAAAGTGGTATCCCGTCTATTAATGTTTACTCTCGTCGAATTAAGCTGTTTTTCTTGAGCCGAACCGAAATTCAAATCACTTACGAATTTAATTACGTAGTACTTAACACAATCGTATAAATTTTTGGATACTTGGCAATTGTCGTAACATTCGTTTACGTATTCATCCACTTCTTGTGCGAATGATTTCAGACTAATAATTAAGATTATAGTTATGCTGGAGATATAACGCATATTTAATTCACCTTTACTAAAAAATATATTGATATTGACGTCGCTTTGATAATGTTAGCCTTTTTATACTTCCATTAAGTCCTTAAGTGATGGGTTTACCGATTAAAGTCATTAGTCGTCTTTGAATTCACCTACATTTCATACTATCGCTAATTTGTAGTTATTAATTAAAGTAGATCTAATTATTGGCGAGAGTATTTTGATGGATCTAACAGTAATCGTCGTTTCATAAAATGTATGGCTTAAGTGTGTTAAATGTGGTAAAATTATGTTAAATGGACTATTAGAATTAATTAGTTTATATTCTCATTAACAGTAAAAAATTGTAATTTTATAGTTTCTTGAATTTTGTATTTGCTTATATTCGGAATGTAGAAAAATCAATTGGCGTTTGCTTAAAACTTAAATAAGCATACAAATATTTCTGGTAAGTGAGTACACTTCAAATTAATTACTCAGACTCTGACTAGAAATACTGATACGTTTTTTTATAATTTTTTTCTAATTGTTGCATCACTATCATAAAGAGTACCTTTAGAGCGTTTTCACACGGTGCGATATATTGAAGCAAATTATTGTTGCAATATTGCAGTGCTGTTAAAATACTTGTATAAAAAATGCAAAGCAATATTGCAACAATAAATTGCTGCAATATATCGCACCGTGTGAAAACGCTTTTATTGAGTGATATAAAGATGAAGGAAAAATTAAAACTAAAATCAAAACATCCTAAATTTATACTTATGTTTATAAACACATTCACACATACAAGTAGATTTCAATTTCAGTAACTTGATACTTACTATGCACATCTCGTTTGATAAATCGGTAAAAATGATAACGAATTATCAAATGGGTGTGAGTTACTAATACAAAGAGAGAATATATTTTTTGAAAAAAAAACATAAGAACTTAGTTACTAAGCATTATTTTCGAATTTGGAATAGAAAATTTCGTTGTAAATTTTTACAATATCGTATATTTTTTTGATTGAAAACCAACCACTGTAAAACAATTCAATCCTTAACCACATTTAGCCTAAACATATGATAAATAATTTTTAAACTCTGTAAAATGTACATAAAAATATTAGAAGCTGTTTTGACCACGTCCTACACTCTATCTATAGCCATCCTACAAACACATTTCTTAGTTTTTTACTAATTACCTACTTTTTACAATTCCCTTACAATTCCTTTACATATATTTTCATCACAGAAAAAATTATTCAACTGTCGATAAGGCAACTAATTAATCAAACATACAAAGGCATATTTCACTTTATTAATATCCACATATTAAAAAAGAGTAGCTTTATTGAAGAGAGTAAAAGACGTACAAAAAATTTCAATTCATTCTGTGATATCGTAGTGTAGGAAATGACAAACATTCTTCGCTTTGTTATGCGCTACAACAAAAATTATAAAAAAAACACTGAAAAGACGAACTAAATTAAATATTCAGTAGAAACGAGACATTTAAAACTGAAATTAATCTATTCATTTTGAAGTCTGCTTCCAGCGAAATAAATAAATATTAAATTTATCCATTTATACGCTGCATTTCACATTCCTTATTTAAACTTTAAACACACTAGAAAATATTCATATACACTAATTTGGTTAGTACCAAATGAAGCTTTAAATTAAAAAAACTATTAATTGACAAATAATCGTATTAATACAACTATATAAAACTTTGAAATCTATCGATAAATTCTGTGGTCAATGGGACGGCTATTTTACGAACATCAAGTCGATTATTCGAATATAAAAGTTTGCTAATAGCTCCATTTGTTTGCTGGTTTTCATTTCTGATTATTTTATTCTCTTTGAAGTTCTCTTGAATTTTAATCTGAGATATGTATCTAATCTAAAAAAGCTTAAGTAAAATATAATTACAAATAGAATTCTGAAGAAAATTAGTTTTCATTCGAGAGAAATGTTTGTCAACTTTTACTTCCAAACGCAAATCACATGTCTGTTAAACATATTTCAGTATTTCATACATGAAATTTAAAATGTTTATTAACTGATATGTCTAGGATTTGCTAGAAATGAAAAAATCAACAAAATATTCGTCTCAAACATTTCACAAGAATAGAACGTGATGACAACACAATGAATTTTTATTCTCAAATAAACTCGCTTAAGACGTACTAAGACTATACTAAATTTTTATATTACAAAATTGTATATGATTAAAAAACGTCGTTTGGACGACATCCAGTTTTCTAAAGACGTTATAAAATATTTCAATATGGAAGTATTAAAAACAATTAGGATTACAATTTTTTAAATATGCTGTTGGCAGCTTCATTTGCGTGGTCTTGGTAATTTGATATGCTGCCTAGAAGATCTACTTTTTAATCATATTCCGGTAATATGCGTGTAAAAGATTTCTCTTCATTGACAGTAAGCTTACTCCTCTACGGCCGCTACTTCCTATAAATAAATAAAAAAACATTTATTTAGAAAACATATAGCAAGTTTTTTTAATTATTTTACAATACATAGAAAATAAATAAAGCAAATATACACTTACCGCTGCCGCAGAAGTTTTGTCGCCTTCTTCCTTTACGGCTTCGCATGGAAGTTCTTGTGGAACCTGAAAAAATATTTTCAAATTGTAATGCCACAATAACAACTATACATTAAACATTGAATTTTCCTCTAGAATCGTAATACAAAGTTTACATAAAATGCCCCTTCGGCTTCTAAGTCACCTAAAACGTTTAAAGCACACAAAACAAAATGCTTCTCCTAGTTATAGTAACAAAAATTTTGTTAATCACAAATCTTCTTCATGCAAAATGTTTATATCAAAATTGTTAGTGAACAGGGCCACACTATACATTGCGGGTCAAAAGTCTCCCTCTCGATTAATATAGATTTGAAATGTTTAAAATATTAAAAAATCAAGGTTATTTAAGAGAATATAGCGAAGCAACATTTATTATGGCTTCTATTAAATTTAATACATTCTTGCGGTGAAAATAAGTAAAATACAATCGCATAAAAGCTCCTTTAAGCTCCTATAAAAAGTTGTATTTTATATTTCACAGCCAGACTGTCTAAAATTTTTAAATATCTCTTCGTACTGGATTATATTTTATCTGGATATTGGGAAATTTTTGTTCTCGCAGTGTTTATTTATATTTTTAAAGCGTACATTTTAAAGTATTTATATTTTGCAAGCAATGTTTCTAAAACTATTGCCATCAGCTGCTTACGTGCTGATCTGCTTATTACATTATTTTTTTGTAAAACCTGCGATCTATACAAGAATTTAAATTTAACAAACAAATTTTGATAACTCGACTACAATAAAAATATAACATTTCGGGTAAAGGAGATTAGGTATTAGTAGCATAAAGACGAGGGTTAAGCACATTTTCAACAGGGTGCAATTCCGGACAATAACGAACCAAACTAGATTATATTAACAAGGCCATAAAAACACTATAGAAACATTCTAATTAGGCATAAAGTTACAGGAAAAAAAACGTCATCAGCGGATATTTTATAAACAAAAAAATCACAAAACCAAACGAAATAGCTAAAACAAACAGCAATTAGGAGTAAAATATCCGTTAAAAAACGTTCTACAAACTTCCAACTACAAGTTAATCTCGCGAAGATCGTCCAACAATATAAACATCTTCGGAAACAAAAGGGACACGAGGACAAAATATAGAAGAGAACTAGGTTTTAATCACCTGTTTGAGTGGCGCAGCTTCGCCCAACAAATTGGAGCTACCATTCGTAGTCGGAGATACTTCGCCCGGCGATAGTAATCCATTAACATTGCCGTTCGTTAGGACCGGGGGTTCGGTTGGGGGATGAGGATTAGAATCAGAGGCGACATTGTCAGTTGCCAAGGAAATAATCTCGGTCGCCAAAAGAACGGGCTCGGTGGGTAAGGAGGCGGGTTCGATTGCCGGCGGGACGCTTTGATCCGTCGACTGTACAGTTTCGTTTGGCGAAGTTTCGGCTGCTTCGGGTTTAGTTTCAATGGGTTCGGTAGCAGCGACGACGGGAACCGCGTCAGACGCCGAGGGCGCTTTATTATTAGCCGAATCGGACGGTAAATCGGTAGCTATGGGTTCCGGTACGGAATCTACGGGGGGCAAAGAAATGGGTTCCGTGAAATTTTCAGAAATCGGTTCCGGGAGCGACGGCAACGATTCGGTAGAGATGTCTTGCAGCGATTCGGCTTGATCGGCGAGGCCGGCCGAAGGCGGTGGAAGATCTGTGGGAGACGGAAGATCGGCGGGCGCCTCTTCCAAATTATTGGCATTCGAAGGCGCCGGAGGCAATTCCGACTTGGATTCCTCCGCAAAGTCGATCGGAAGATCGTTTAGTTGCGGAGGAGGCAAAGAATCGATGGATTCCGACTCTTCGGACAAATTTAACGATTGGTTGGATTCGGGTTGTTGGATGTTTCGTGGTTTAGCGTCTTCGAATACCAACTCGACTGTGGCAACTTGTGGTCCTGCAGAAGTTACCGTGTTAAAATCGCCTTCGGATGGCTTGGGTTTTTGATTGAAATCTGAAGCAAACGATTCTCGACATATCAACTCCGAATCGTTCGAGTCGACTGGATTCTCCTCTACGAAGAACGCGATATTTTCAGGAATTTTCTTGACTTCAATAGAAGGATTTTGAGCGTCTGACGAATCAGTGTTTGGCAACGTTTCGTTTAAATCAGTCTTACTTTGTAAGTCTTTCGGATCGGCATTTTGTTCGGTTTCGTTTCGAGGAAGCGGCTTTAAACTCAATTCGATCGTGCTTTGTTCCGGAAGAGGAACTTCGATTCCCAAAGGAATGGAATTGTCAGAAGTTTCAGTTGATACGACAGAAATGATTTCTTGGATCAACGAATGATCTGCAGGTTTATTGTCGCGCTTCTCGGATTCTAGAAGAGATATATCAGACACTGGGTCGAGAACCTGCGATTGTAATACTACAGTTTCGGTTTTAATTGGTGTTTCTTTAATTTCAGACTTGACCTCTGGCGAATTATCAGACTTTGTAAGGCTAGGGCCTAATTCAGACTTGGGTTGTTGTGAGAGTGGAAGATCGAGCAGATCGGCGATGGATTTCTCGCTATCGGCGTATTCAAGGACTGGAGCATTATTTGCTTCATCTGTTATTTTCAAGTTCTCGGTTTCTTTCAAAGATGTATTTACTGGAGCGGAGGTTTCCAGTAAATCAATTGTTTGGGTATTTAAAATATCGGCCTTGGTGGATTCAGCGAAAGCTGTCAGCGAGGATGGAGGATTAGATGAGGGTAATGGAGGAGGAACCTCTTCGTTACGCACCTCTTTCGTTTCCTCAACGGGCGTTTTAACGGAAATCGATTCTATCGGAACGGATTCTACAGTTTCCGTATTTTTAGTTTCTTCGATTTTTGTTTCCTCGATTTTCACTTCTTCTTTGGATTCTTCAGGTTTGTTTTCCTCTTTCTTGCTTTCTTCGCTTTTGGTTTCTTCGGTAGAGACTGCCGACGGACTTTCAGCTATTTCTTCTTTAGAAGCTTCGCCGTTGAGAACGGGAGCAGCTTCCGCCTGAGGCTCCGCATTTTCGGTTTTCGGAGATTCGGATGAAGGTGATTTGGCATCTTCAGCGTTCTGAAACAAGAGGAATCTTTAAATTAAAATACATGTACCATCATTTGCAACAAAAACTTTGTTAATTATAAAATGCACGCTTAAATCCAATTTGTGTGACTGTAAATAATGTTAATAATATTTTTACAAAGGTTCCGAATGAAATTAAAATGCCCAACCTTGTTATTGTAACTGACGTGTTTAAAAAATCGTCTTCCATCTTAATCAAATCGAATCTTGACCTCAGTAAATTGAATAATCTAATGTATCAGACAAGACAGACCGACAGACACCAAATAAATTTATAAACGTACTGTTTGCATACGTTAATCAGTACTTTTATTTATTACATCCGCACCAATTTGTTGTTTATTCTTTTCTTGGAGCTATTAGAAATGGTAGGTGTTCACCTAAATACTTTCAATTTACAATTAATATTCAACCATAGTAAACAAACTGGAATGTGATTAAATAAAAAACATACTAATAAAGTGTAGGTTGTTTAGCTTTATGCGTTGCAATTGCAATGCTATTTTAAATCGAAACAGGACATCGACAATTGAGATACTAATGATGCTTCACTATTTTAATCAGGACCTATATTTAGATTCAGAATGAAGTTGGAAAAAACAAGAGGAAATAAATAACACCCATTATAAATTTAGAATTGTACGAGGTTGTTGATATTTAATGCCCTGTAGGAAATTAATATTTTTTGACATTAGTTTGAATTAAATAAAAATTAGCGAGTTTGATTTTACTAGTTTCAAAAATTGTAATGGTCTTGTTAGAAATGAACAACATATTAAGTCTTAAAATTAGTTTAAGTAAAAAAATAAAATTTCATCAAAAGTTAGTCAAAAAAATTAAAGTTAGATTAATGTTTTTAGTACTGGTAGCAAGAAAATAACACCAAAAAAATTATTCGAATTAGATGAAAATAAAGGAAACTGTCAATACAAAAATTTTAAATACCCTGCCGTCTATTTCAAATCTTCCATTATAAACATTGACCACAACTTTTACCAAAAGAGCGATCACTAGCGATACGAAACCGTAATATATCACCGACAAACCGTTTTTAGTTAAAGTTACCTGAGACTCCATCGCATAAATTTTTTACAACAAACTTCCGCACTTTTTATTCAAACTAAATAGCAACAGCAGCACTCGCTTGGTAGAGTTTAATTTATTTCGAAATGTCCACAACGAACTTCTCTTGTGCTATTCGAAATTAGCAATTTGGTAGGCGCGTACGTGAGTCGGTTGTATTTATAGTCCCGTCTTAGGCTTGGTTCGGCAACGACATCGACGTCGTCGTCTTATAATCGACTTGGTACGGTACCCCTACACCCCATTTCTCTACACTCTACTCCATGTGTTTCCTTTCCTTTCCCACTCGATCGCTCGTTGGCGAGACGAGACCAAAATTAGAGGTTGTCCCAAATAAAAAACACTAATACTCATAGTTCAACTATTCAACAACCACACATACCAACAAGGCGTTCCATGTGTTTTATTATTATTACATTGGAGGTAGTTCAATTTCTACGAGACTACACAAATAGGACGATATTGCAATAGAAGAAAAATTAGGAAAAAAATATTTTTTAATCAGGTAATTAAGTTAGTTGTGAAATCCATTATTTTCCTTGTTTCGTAGTTTTGTTGCAAAGAAATTACTGTAAGTTTCTGGTGCTATTAATTCACTTAGGACCTCTGGCCTTCAAAAAATAATCAAAAGTATCATTCAAAAAGTTCCTTTTAGCAAAAATTAACTATGAATATAACGCGATATTAGTAGTTTTTATTAAGCAAACTTATTGGTAATCTAATTCTGCCTGATCAGATTAGATTGTTACGGGAATTATGGTTGGTCTTTCATCTCTGAAACTGTTGTAGTTTTTATTTTCGTCTTTTTGTATCGTCTTGTAAAAGTATGATACAAGATCTCACATGTAACGAGAGGACTCAACGTTGGGCTTCTCGTATTGTATATTTGCGTTTCGCTTCGGTAGATAATCAGATAGCAAGCCAAGTCTCTCAATTCGAACACCCTAACTCGCGTTGACTGCAGCTCAATCATACCAACAGATGGCTGAAATTGGATGATTTCGATTCTTTTTTTTAAATGGTAATGAACTTTCGAATGAAACAAACGCAACGAAAAATAATCACAGCAGTAGCGCACAAAAACAAATATTCGAAATATCCTTCCCACAGTATCAAAATACTGGTACCTAATGAAAATATGTGTAAAGCTCATAATTTTATCATCTGAAATTAAAGTATAAAAAATCGTTGGAAAGCATTCACATTTTTACCAGGAAAAGAATGAGAAACATCAATTAGAAAATAAATGAGTAAACATTGAGATAGTTAAAACTGAACATTTTTATAGACAACTCGCCCGTAAGAGATATTGAAAATAAAAAACAAGTAAACAAACATATCAATATCTTCAAACCATTAATATCAAATACAACGTTATCGAATTTCTGCAACGTATCAAATTCTGCAGAAACGAATGACGAACCCATTCACGAACGCAGATATGCTAAAGGAGTTTAAAAATACAATTCCTGCAATACAGGGTGACATAACAAAAATGAATTCAGATTAAAAATTAAATCCATTTACTCTCAGTGCCCCGAAACAAGAAAAAATACTCAGTTTTTACATTCGCCATACATACAATTTGAGTTAATCGAAGTGTTGGGAGTGCTTTAACCCCACTAGTACCTTTAATTTATTAATAGTACTTAAAATGTAATGACCGACTCCAATGCTTAAGTGACATTACATTCTATAATTATAGTGTTGTAGCCGTTGTATTTTAACCGTGGTGCATTTCATGCATAACGTTTATTAGCTTACTACCGCTCTAAGCTATTTCATGAAGCATTTTAGAAAAATATTTTTGAAATAAACCTTTTTCAGACATCTCTTGTTATTTGAGTAAATTATTATTGCCTGTTAAATGCAATGTACTGTCGGAAGGTATTGAGTGTAATTAAAAAAAATTAAAAAAAAACAATTAAACTCTCTTTAAGTGGGTAGAATAGCGTCGTAACGAAATAGAGGCGTTTCTCTAAGGTTAGGTGCTTTCTACGAACAGTATTCACTTCCTGCGGAGCAAATATCATTCATAAATTTTGCATACAATTAATTTTGTTAGTCTCCAGATTCGATTTCCATGTCATTTGAATATTTATTTGACAGTTAACAGTCCCATTCAAGAATATACCATGTGGCTATAAAAATTCCAATAGGTTGGCATTAGGTGTGTCTTATCTAGCAAAATCTGATAAAATGTTTTTATCGACATTAAACGAAATTTCAAATATTCAAATCCAGATCGGTATTTATCGCTGAATGCTTCATCAGTATTTGCAGTATTCAATATCAAAGTACTCGTACATCAAAAAAAAAATAAATAAAAACAATTACAAATACAAATAAAGTGTCTCGTTGCAAATTTCTTTGTTAGGTATTAAATAGTAAACAGAGAAAGCAATTTTTTTATTTGATTATAGGAACGCTCGTTGAACTTGAACCCACACATTTCGTCGGATATTATACGCGCAGTGAGTATTTTCGAGATACCTCGAAATAGAACATCAAATAATGGAATGACACGACTACAATAAATATGTGTACGATGTTATTTCCGTTGTGTCATCGTGGCCCTGGCAATGGCATTTGCCGTTCAGAACCTTAACTATACACAAGAAGTGAATTTTGTATTTTTTTAATGTTCAAGAAAATTAAAGAAAACAGAAATTTTACAAATTATTAAAAATGTATGAATTTTATGAAGGTCTGGAGTCATAAAAATAGTCTCCCTGTATAATATATTTAATACCTCTATCAAATAATGCGGATCAAGAAAAATTGTTTTAATCAAGCTAAGATACAGTCATGGATTTATTTCCGTTCACTTCACACGTATGGATGCACACAAGCTGTGAAGGATTAAATTTCTTCCTGCTAATTCAAATACCAACCAACGATAAGGAAGAAATTTATATCGATATTTGTTGAAAATCGTAAATAAAATGTGGCCAATGATCCAGCGCACATTACAATAATTCTATATTTAGATAAAAAAAATAAAGATGGGCACAAATAAACCGTTCAAAAAGTCATGCCAGTTTCATAAAAAAGGCGGTTCAACAAGTTTTTTGTTGCCACAGGCAAGCTGAACGAACAAGACGGGCTAGTTGAAGCACAGTAGAGCAGCTTTATTAATTAAATGATAAAACATTCTAAGCGAACCAACGGGAGCGACAAAATTAAGCTGCTTAAAAAGATACCAGTACAATTTTCAAAAGTCCCCGGTTCCTTAGAAATTCCTCATTTTATTTTTGTCTATTGACGAGATCAATACATTACGAATTAGGATAGGTCGCGTAGATTTTTATTATTCTGGTTAGCGCTTGAAACATTTTAGACCTTCATTATTCGCCTACCTCCTACATGAAAACAACTCGGAGATGTTATTTTTAAAACGGCAATTGACGTCGTATCAACGAGACTCGTTGCATTAGCGTGTGTGTAAGGTCTTTTCCATCTAGCTATTAAGAGGTGTGCTTGGAGTTGATGTACTTGAGTAAAAATATTTGCTGCTTCGCAATGTTGTCGTCTACTCCTAATAATTTTATTCCACTATTCTCTAATACCTTTGCTACTTAAAATATTCATGCAACATCTGATTGCATCAATCGGATCGCATATCAAAGATTTAATAATAACACTTTGATAAATAGGTGAAAATTTTGACACATAAGTATCCTTAATACGGTTCTGACATGTTTTTATATAGAGATCGTTCTCCTGATGGTTAATGCTTAATTCATAGTTACCGTTATAGTTTTTTGTTGATTCGGTTTGTAGATTGCCTAGATAGATCATTTTACTATGCAATGCAATTTTGAACAAAGAACATTTAAGATTGAAGCACGGTTCAATAAACATCAGTTATAAAGGTTTATTATGAACTATTCAATGCTCACAGCCTCAAAAAATTTTACTTATTGAAATTGAGTTTTTTTGCTCAAATGTACCGAACTTTGTAATTGTTGTTATGGATAAATGAAATTATCGTTAAAATAACACTTCATAGAGCTACAGCTTTGGAATTAAATAATTTTTACTCCATTAATTTATTGGCGGAAAATTTATTGGCGATTGGAAAAAGTTCCAAAAATAAGGTTCGCTGGAATTTTATCCTTTTTCCAATCACCCATTCAATTATAAAACTGTTTCTATATGTCTGCCTAAAAAAGAATCATTTTAATTTGACACAAAATTCGGCGATCCCATATGACGTGTATGAATTTGATTCGATTGAATTAAATGAAGATAAAAAATGGCACTTCCTCGTGGGTCTCGCCACGACCAACACACCGGCACCGGTACTATTAAATTAATATTAGCGTTTCGTGTCTACTCGATGAGTCACTTTATATAGAAGGGACACTCCCCATTTTCAGTACACGCTTTTTACGCTTCGGTTGACGGTCGGTCAAATCGAGATCGTCTGACATTATTTTCTATATGAAATTCATTTTGAATGCACCCGTACGAATGCAGACAAGGGCAAGTGGCCAAATTGCATCGCTAATTGGTAAATTGCTAATTAAATTTCGCAAGCTAGCCAATAGGCTGCTGATTCAGTGTTGATACTGAGAATAATATGAGTGAGCATTACTGTTAAATCGGAAATTGCAATAATTGTTTAATTGTCAATTACTTTAAGTCATTTTATGGGAAATTTGTTGGAAATAAACTAAACCTACGTTTTTTTCACGGTAAACTGTAGAACACTGTTGCTAAATACGAAAATTACGAATTTGCTACAATTGCATATTTTTTCGAATAATTGCACCATTTTTAGTTAATTTTGTTTACCACAATTTTATATATTATACTAAAATGTAATATGGTTGTAAGTATGCAATTTATCCATTTGCGATGTCCACCCACTAACAAAATCTTTCTTCAACCACGAAGACACGAATAGAATAAATTATAGTGTCTACTTAATACCTATTGTATGATAATTTGCTATTCAAATACATGTACTTATTACATTATATTTTTGCATAAAGCTCACTTGTGTACATTACTTACTGTAATTTAATTGATTAAAAGTGGTCTTACCCGTAGCAAACAACACTAATTTACCATTATTATTAATTTCTTCGTTCATTAAAAACGTTATTTAAAAATCTGACATTAAATATAAAAAAAAAGTTTTTTTTTTAATATAACGGATTGCGAGCTATATAAAATGTCTTGATGCCATATGGCTAAATTTTTAACGGTTATGAGCTGCGAATTACTCATAAAATATAAAATGTTTAGGTGAAATGTAAGAAATTTATGAAGAATCCGTTAAGTATATATAAATTAACACTTTCGTCGGTATTTCTAAGCATCAATTTTGCAGCGTAATTTGAGGTTGACTAAAGTAAACAAAATAAAATGATAATAAATTATTTGTAGTACATAAATTCTAAATACCATTGATAATTCTATATTATAAGCCGTCTATTTTCTAGCGGTAAAATAATTTAATACAGCAAATTTACGAAAAGCCGGTTGACGGTAAAAGGGAAAACCGGCCTCTCGGTTATTCCGCTTCCTCATGCATCCAGAAATTAGTGACTTTCTGGATGCTGCCCGTGCTTGTACTTCGGTAACCATGACGACCGCCGTTTGTATTCCGTATAAATCGATCGATGAAGCGACTGCACACGGATAATAATACAATTATGTATTATTCAGGCAACTACCACCTTTATTAGATACTGTTGGCAAACCAGAAAATTTGCTATTCACCTTCTTAATCGAATTAACGCACCTACCCCACGAGAAGAGGTTGTTTTATTAGAAATTAACTAGGAATTAATCGTCCCTTTATCGTTATTGCTAGAGGATGAAATTTCAATTAGAGCTTAAGAGATTTAGTCGTTTTTTATCAAGAAAATTAGTCTCGTTACATTTAATTTGCACGATATGTATTTTAGATGCAATAAATTCAATGGCCGATGACCGATCAAAGAAAATATTTTAAACCTAAAAACACAATTCTTTGTTCATCCCAAAGCAAACAAGTTATTGTTACAGAAGTTTCTTTTGTCGAGTCTTTTGAGTGCGTGTTTAATATCCTACCGACTTTATAACGTATTTTTTTCAAAGAGCTATTTTTCCTAAGTAGAGCAGAAAGGATGCAAATGTTCAAAGAGAATGGCTCTTTCGAAAAAAAGTACCATTGTTTCGCTTTGCGGAATTTACCGCAGCAGTTGCATTAAAAATTACTACATTTTAGGCATTTAAAGGCTATCTTGAAAAATGGCACTTTTACCAGAAAATTATTTTTTAAGAACCCCTACAGGAAGCATGCCTCAGTTCTACAGTGAACACACTCTTTTATCCCTTTATTTGTACTGAACAGTATATAGCATTCATTTTCTTATATTTATTTTTTTAGGGTTAATTTTAGAATAAAGGAATCCTTATACCCACCCGTTTTTACGTTAATATAAATAATTCTACGTAGACTACCCACCGAGATTATCAAAAAATTGGTCAGAACAAATAGGAATAATAAATAAAAATTTCCACTGTCTATACCAGAACAATATTGTATACCACTCGTAAAGAATGAAATATTACTGGCAGGGAACTAAAATTCTGGACAAAAATATGTGTCCTTATGAAGTCGGTTGGAATATTAAACTTTACTTATCAAGAACTATGGAATTCGAAAACAAATTCCTATTAAAATCGAATAAAATAATATGTACCGTACAGGTGTGGACTATGAAAACAAAATACACATGCACACAAAGATAAACCTTGGAAAGGAATGAAAGTAGATGATAAAAAAAAGGAACATGTTGAACTTGTCGATAGTTTTGTAGTTTTAATTATTTAATTCGAAATACACGATGGTATTTTATCGAAAAGTAAAAACGGCATAATGGCGAATGTTTCAAATATTTTCATCTCTTTATTCTGCGAAAAAAATACGTGTAATAGAAATCTACACAAATTTCGCACGATTCGTTGGTCCACCACTGTATTCGATCATCACGATCATCATTCGAGAGCATTTAAATTTTCCCAAAATAAAGACAGGTTAATCGCGATAGCATACATTACAAAAATCACCGACGAATCTATTCTGTAATTCTAAAACGCTTTACATGTCACACATCGGCGAATAATAACATTCGTCCACAACAGTTCCACATCCTGCCAACGAGTGGCCGAACGTGATGTCCATTTCATTTCCTCTTATATCCGTCGCTCGTTGAATTTAAATCCCCTATGGGAAGCGAAACGCAAATATAACTGAATTGCGATCATTCAAAAATCGAATGTCACTGTTATCGACATTTATACCGCATAATTTAAAACATTGCTAAAGAGAAATGAAGTTAAAAAAATATATATATAAATACCTCTTCCGCGATCTCTTTCACCTCGCCATTCTTTTCGCCGTCCTTCGATTTCGATTTGTCTTTCTTCGAGAACGATAAACTCCTAAACGACCATTTCTTTTTCTTCTTTTCTTTTAGTTTTTTCGTTTCCGGCGTCGCCTCTCCTTCTTTAACTAAAATCGAAAATCGTAACGAAATCAGTAAAAACGAATAATAATGCATAAAACAATGTTTATAGAGATACATAAACAGAAGGCAAACAGAATATGTTGCGTAGAAACCATCCTTATTTATTTAAGTTTCAGTATCCCAAAAATTTTATCTCCAAGAAGGCATCAAATAAACACCTTCATCGAATAACATAAATATTTGTTATGGAATGTTTTGTATTCAAATGAGAATAGGCATATTATCGCATTGTGCGCTTAAATTTGAAGAATATTTACCTTCCGTCGATTCCGGTGATTTTTCAGATACTCCAGATTCGTTTAAGTTCTCGCCCGCTGTATCGGAATCCGGCGTTTTTAATTCTTCCGAATCGGACACGCCGTTTTCTTTAACTTCTTTCGACTCCGCAACTTCCGCGGGATTTTCTTTGCTTTCTATCGATTTTTCCACGGTAATATCTTTTGCGTTTTCATCTTTTTCCTGTAACAATAGCATAATTCCAATGCATTAACTCATTCGGCTAGAACGTGTTAAGAAAATAAGTCAGTAAATAACAAATCGAGCACACTCTGATATGCATACAAGCATATACATATAATTTTAACAAGGATGTCGCCATTTCTGGGTGTTAACCACCGCGTCAATGACAAACACATTTTAGTGTAATTGAAATATGGTGAAAAGGATAAACATCCTCGAATTCAAGTGCCCTATAGTGAGCAGAACAACAAAAACCTCGCCCGAATGGAATTCAACTGGGAAATTAGCTGTAATTAAACGTTAAGAGAGAGGTTAAAGGACTTTTAAATATAATGGAATCGTTTTCATTTCAGTGAAACGAGTTAAAATATTTTAGTATATAAAGTGAAGAAATTGAGCAGTTACTCAGTTGGATCACATAAAGCAAACATATACATTGTGAAAATTCATAAAACTTGCTACATTTCGCTTAAATAAAGCTTGTTATTTGTATGCATAAATTTGATAAAACACATTTTCCCTGTATAATATGAGGCCCGCATGAAACCAGTTCGGAGTTTTGGAATAGTTTTCAGCGTATCTGTATTTAAGTGTAGAAACCCTATAATTAACAACCGCTTTTGGAATATTTAAAACACTTGTTTACGATTTAAATATACAAAATACGTGTATGTTATAAAGTGAGAACCGGAAAACATGTGTACCAGAGATAATATAAGAGTTATTTTTTTTAAATTACCAACTGAAAGAATGTTCATTAGCATGATATTATTCTAGCATGAAAATATTACGTCAGTAAAATTTAATGTTGGGTTTAAATGTTTTGAAAAAAAAAAACAAAATTGGTTTGCTATTTTATATGGCCATTATTTTTTAAACACTGATTGTGAGTTATGATTGCCATACTTTGATACAGATTAAATTCGAAAACTTTGAAATATTGTTCTTTTATAGTCGAATACTAGTTAATACACCCATCATTATTCTGTCAATCTAATTGGATTAATTACACACATCGCGATGTCGCGTCTCCGTCGATTTAATTAATTTTTTTAACCGTATTGTTTCACTCGCAACCGTTTGAAGAGGTCGATGTTCCATTGTCAAATAGCAGCTGGAATAAGACGAATTTTATATTGTCAAATAAAAGATAGCAAAGGTATAATAACCTATTGTAAAAGACGATTAATATCCGTTTCAAATGCTAGTTGAAGATACGAAAAAATAAAATTTGTATGCTCATAATGGACACTAATTTATTGAAAGTGCCGTTTGTGTGAACATCAATAAAATGTATGATTTGAATTAACTATAAAAAAATAGATTGCTGTACTTTACAGGTTTATAGGTATGTCCGTCCTTAAAGAGGAAATCCGGTATAGCCATGAGGATAACGGATATTACTTTGTTTTAGAGGAATTGCGCTCGAAAAATTCAACTGAAACTTCGTGAACCGAACGACCCGACCAATCATATTTCCATTAGACTTGCTCAAAAATACTACTTATTCTAAATTTTTGAACGTCTCACAAAAGAAATTTATTTCCCTACATTTCTGAAAATACTCTTTTCTACGTGCATGTTAACTTTCTCCCTACTTTAACTGACTTTTTCTCTCAACTTTTGCGGTACCGACAAGAAAACAGATTAACACAACGAATAAAACTTACCGTTACTTCTACATCTACTTCAGTATGAGGTACCGTTCCATTTGTCGCCGTTTTAACATCCACATCGCCAATTTTGACTAATCTTCCTTCTCCTTCGGCAATCGACTCGCCCTCGTTCGTCTTGCTAGGACTACTAGTAATATCTACAGATCGTTTCGACTGTCTTGCACCCATGACGTATTATTAATTACTGAAACAATATAAGAAGTCGCTTAAATTCCATGAAATACGAGTGCATTACTGCAATTGTTGCAAAACACCAGCAGAATGTTACATGCAACTAGATTTAATAAAGAGAAAATAACAATGATGTTTAGAAACAAACGTTTACTAGTTAGGTTAGTTGATGAAAAGCGAAATTAAATAACTTGTTTATTCGTAGATAAACTTTAAAAACATTACATTTACACTAAATTTTGGTATTATAATTCGACAATTTAAAAAAAAATGCATTTAAATAGTGCGCACGTTTAAAATTGGAAAACAATTTGTTATAATTTAATACTCAACAAGATAAGGTATGAATCATACAATTTCGCAGAATCCAATTAAGATCTATCTAAAGAAATATGATTCAAAAAAAGATTCAATTCAATCTTAACTAATTTAATTTTAGGATTATTTCCAAAAATATAAGTTAATCTTTAGAAGTCAATATTAATAAGAGACTGTTCTAAATAAACATAAATTATATTAAGAGACTTACAAATCTTTCACTATCTTGAAAAAGGTAATTAACTACTGTACGGATTCGGAAACCGCCGAATATTTTCAACAATAATTGATTGGCTGTGTTGCAATCGGTATTAATTTTCAAATGAATAAGGCATGAATACGTATCTACCTATTTTTCCAAATGTAATGTAAAAGTAATCGATTTAAATGTTTCATAAAATAGCAATTAGAAAAATGATATAAAATACGTTGCATTATTAATTTCGAAAAAATTTAATTTGCACTTATTCTACATGGTGGACACTTTCAAAGCAATGCAGAAAAGCTTAACATTCCTAGTGATTATTTTCAATGAATTAATTGTCCATTCCAAGAATATTAAAGTAATGTGTAATGTTGGAAATATGCTTTAAACAGCTTTTGAACTGTCCACAGGCTAAAAAAATCTAGAAATCTATCATGCACTCTAAAATGATGAAAAAGTTCGTTGGGATTTGCGTAAATCTGTATACAAAACTCTATTGTATACATTAAAATAAATACCTCCCTCAACAAATTTCAGCCCTTAAAATCGCAAGAGTAAAAAGAAATCAATTCGATATCCAGCAACAATTTAATATTGTACTTGTAAGCACCCATTTTAAAATGTTGCAATGAAAACTCTAAAAAAAATATTACAATATTGGTTACCTTACTAAAATTTAATTGCATATCGTCGAAATTAATTCTAATTGACAAGTATGTATTGGCTATTTTCTGTTATAAATCCAAAATCAAATATTCAACTTTAAAACTATACGGCACTTTCTAATCTATATGATTTTTGCAGCACTGATGACAATTATTAAGCAAATATGTCTGTCATTATAAAAAATTTTGATACACTAAACGCTGACATGCATTAAAACGTACACCATTGGCTGTTAAACTTATACCTCTTATAAACTATTATTTAAGTCATAATTGAGTTTATGGGGGTTTCACATCGTTTAATTATCTCTTTAATTGAATCAAATGGAATACATAGGGGTGAGTAACGTTTTCCTCAGTTTCAATGTCATATTATTTAAATTGATAGCTATTGTTAAATGTTTTATTCTAAAGTCTGTACAATCGAGATGAACATTTTTTGCTATAGACGCATTCCTTTGTATCATTTATATTTCACACAAAGGTCAATTTAATGAATAATGACGGCGGATGTGGCGGCTCTGGGATGTTTTACAAATTTTAAATTGATACTTTTTTCTGCTTCTTGGATCTTAATTGTTCGATCTTAATAGGGTTTACTTTACTACAAAATATAGTAGTTTAACTAGATTTGGGTGATTCACAGAACAAAGTTAATCTCATATCATCATAATGACTTTTTGTATGCAATCAAGAATATTGTAGTCACTTCAAATTCAATAGTTTATCAGTGGACTTCCTCGTCCGACATGTCGCGTCCAAACGATTAGATAAAGTAAAAGCGTTTTTAATGCTGTATAGAATATGAACTTATTTTTAAAACACAAAAAGAAATATTTAAAAAAAATAATATAAAGAACAAAATTTATAAAAAAAACTATCATAAGTAAATAAGTATATGAAACACGAATAATGCATAATTGATGTGAGCCGGTATCATTACAAACAATAGATGTAGATAATGCCTATTTACATAATTAATGTTTAATTGCCCTTTATTATCCAAAGGAAAAACAAATTTATTATTTAACTATTCATTGAACTAACCTAGCTGTAATAAATTATCTATTGAATAGGTCAGTCGTCCAAACACTTTTATCAATTTTATCACTTTTATATACTTCAAAATTCATATTAATTTATGTATAAAATTTGATAACTTTTTATTGCCTAATATGCTTACAGTACCTAGATAAGGCTCTAATTATTAAAAAAAATTAAAGCAGAATTTTTTGCATAACTTTGATAGATACTTAATATGAAATGTGGATAAAATGTAAGCATGAAGGAAATGATAGTCCCTTAATGACATAATTATTTTGCATACAGCGGTCATTCGCTTTATTTTGTATGATAATTAGCTCGATGTCAGTTCAGCTTTATTTGATATATTACCCAATAGAGTTTATAATAATAAGAGATTGTAAATAATATGGCTGGCAAATTTAAATAGATCATATAGTTAGTAAAATTATACATGTATGATTGTCCTACATTTTATCATTTTTGAGCTTATTCACTTACGATTGTTAATAAAAAATAATAATCTAAATCTATGATCATACAAGGTAGAATACTGTATCAATTGCAGGATAATACGTAGTTACAGTAAATATTTTACGCACGTTTCGTATTAAAATTTTAATTAAAAATTTTTGAAATAATAAAACCATAAAATTTAATAGAATACGTTGAAATAGTATTATTTTTTTAATTTAATGTTAGTGTTAAGTCTTCATTCGATAAGCGTATATCGAGAGATGCGCAATATATTACAAACAAAGAAAACTTACTTGAAATATGTACAATGTAAATTCTCTATAATATGAAACATACACGAATACCAAAACGAAACCAACGAAAAACACTTAAACTACAATTACAAAAAGCGTATCAACAAAAGAATTCTCCTTGTCCTAAGCACTTATTATACTGGATATGAATTAACGCTTAAAAACCGCCGCGCCGGTTCCAAACTCAAACAAATAAGTATTCTAAAAGTTCGGTCGGTTGGTTGGTTAGCGATGGAATTGTGAATCGTAGCGTGGCAGCGATGATACCGACATGCGGACACGGACATAAAGCGGGAGGGCCTAAGCACCAAGCCGAAAATACACAAAAAAATAACGGGGGAAGAACCTAACTGTGTCAACTCAACTTCAAACCAAAACTCAAGTACCCGATTAGAGATGGGAGTGAATTTATGAGTTTCAAGTGATTAAAAACTTTGGAAAGCAAGGAATCCCCTAATCAAAAATGATGTGATATGATAGCGGACACAGCCAGTTGGAAGTCTTTATCACTTATAAAAAAAATATTGCCAACTACGCTCCAAACTGCAACATGGGACTGAATGAAAGAAGTTGAATGAAGAATGAAGGAAATTAGAAACAAAGAAAACGTAAACTATTCTGGGTGAAACAAAATAAAATTTCTCAAGACATACAACCACTTGATAGATGGATGATCTAACTTTCAATCAAAATCAACCTGTCAATAAAAAGTAAATAATATTAAAGAACAGTAGCAGTTTTAGATATACATTAGAAGAATTTAAATAAATTTGTTAAATTCTCATACAATTTGTTGAAATTGAATAGCAAAAAGGCATTCGATTCCACTGGACGTTTTTAAATAACACAACAGTACAAGTATGCCATCTCTATAGTAGCAAATTGTTATTGTTTCAAAACCGAAATCACTGACGCAACGGTTACATTAAATCGCCATTAAATTGAACCGTCGTTCTCGAACGAATGCCGTGGATTTGTGTCGGATTTACCACGACTTGATAATGTGTTACTCGATAAGTAGGTACTAAAAAATGCTTACGATGAGCAATTCTCGAAATGACATCAACGTGGAAGTATGCGAAATATTTAGGTTGCAATTGTAAATTAAATGCATTTTACTCATCCATACCCTACACCATACTAGACTTGAGGTTCACTTTTTCAGGTAAATCCAAAATATGAAGGGTTTTTCGATATCCCCTTAGTTATTAGAAAAGCCTTGTATTTTTCGGTAAAGAAATACGCAAATTTTAATAATTTATTTAATAATTTAATAATACATCCCTATAGTAAGATATTGGAATTCTGACACAATTATTTAGGTTGTTACCAACACTACAATTTTTCTGTACTCATATAAGATTAAAAAATAATCAATTTGGAAAATGACAAACAGTTTACATAAACCTAAGATAAAATTATACGAGTGATTGATTATTGTTCAAAGATGTATTAAAACTCTTGATTTGCTCATATTACAGAGCAAAATCCAGTTAACTGACTTTGTAATTTTATTAATAAAAAAACTAAAAATAAACTCGACAGTTTATCATCATCTGCTCCAGATATTTATGTTAAACTCTTGTTTTTAAACAATTAAATGTCGATATCTGTATACAATTTTTCAAGAGATTAACCAGTAGTCCGTCTTTGTTTCCAATGTCAGTGACACCGCCTTGTCAAGGTCAATACTTTTTTAGTAGTAGTACTACTACTTACTACAAATTATTAACTCGTTAAATATCCGTGAAAGGTAGATGATAAAGATAAGGAATATGAAATAAGTTTCCTAATCAATTAGGTTTTAAAGTTAATGCCGTATATAAAATATACTTGATTTATTTCAGTTTTTGTAAAAAAAATAAAATAATCGTTTAACAAAAATTTAGTTATATGGGCAAATAAATTCTACACAATTGAAACGACCCTCTACAATTAATTTCTTATAAAATATTTACACCCAATTATTACTTCTCTTCAATTTATTATTACATAAATAACCAATCCTCCGTTTTGAAGCACTTGCAGAAGTTCTTGGACTACGTGGTGAAAAAGGGTTTCGATGCAAAGGTCTTCTGGTTATCGTTTTATAACGTGAATCGTCATCGATATCGAGCCATTGTGCACTTTCAATCGGTACTGGCACTGATGCTGGTGCTTGTGCTTGTGATGGTGCTTGTGCAGGTGCCTGTGCTGGTTCTTTCACTTTAATTTCTCGTAATTCGTCGAAGCTTTCGAATTGCTTAGGTGGAGAACGCCACGCGTGTCTCGTCACCGGAACCTGAATGTTAGGCATCTGTTCTTTACTCTTTTCGATAAAGGCGGTAGTGACAAATTTTGTAGGTTCCGGTTCTACACTGGCTTCGCTGAAACTAGAAGATTTTGACCTTCTACGCCTTCTAGTTTTAACATTTCTCGTATCGATCTGATGATAAGTGTCCGCTAAGCTCGTGCTCGGCATCGATGAAGATGGTCCGAAAATGTGCGAAACATTGGCGCATTTTGAATTTCTTTTAGAACGTACATTGGCAGATGAAATGGAGGAAGCGCGTTCCGAAATGGATTTTATTGTTTCCAGTTTTTCTTTCGACGTTTCCGGTACATTCAAACCAACACACATGTCTGTTGGAACATTTAAGGAAGCTAATACTACAAGTTCGTTATCACCGTCAAGATCTAGATGTGAATATTTAGGAATAATGCCAGTTCCCGCTTGAGAGGATCGTGGACAACAACTGTCTTTTCTTCTGACTGCAACCATGTAATGTTCGAAAATTTCACCACCCTGTACGAATTCGGTGTCCAATAAATCGTTTTGTTCGTATTCTTCATTTGAGTCACCTGGCCCTTCGAAGGGTTGTAAAGGAAATTCGGGAATGTTGTGTAAAAACCTGGTGTTTTCCCTCTTCTGAATTATCCAACGAAATAAGAAGCAAAGGAAGATCATACATCCAACAGAACATAACAGGAACATAATCGTGATAGCGAAATTTCTCAGACCATGATTTTGCTGTAAGCAATCTCTTTCATCAAAACCGTCAGAACAATCGTAAATAAAATCGCATATTTGTGATAAACTGAAGCACTTATTTTCTAGGGGACACTTAATTTCATGAGGACATAAACTGCTACAATTCAGTTCATCTTCGCCTGAATTGCAGTCCAAAATACCGTCACATCGTTTTAGTATGTCGTAGCATTGATTCGAAAATCTATTGCAAATAGCTGCTGTAGAATTGCATGGACTGCAACCTTGTAAATCGGAGCGATCGTTGCAAATAAATCCATTATCGCTGCACAATTGAGTTGAATTGTAGCACCCACTGTTATCTAAACATTGATAATCAAAATTGGTGCATTTGTCACTACTGCGGCTAAGAAATCGTATCCAAATTCTTAAATAAATATTTACGGCTTCTACTACAACGGTTATATTTTGTTTGTTTGAATTTAAAACCACCGGGTGATTTATCTTATCGTTGCACAAATCAAACAGAACGTTTTCATTATCAGTAATTTTAAAACAACAGCGATTAAACGACCAGCAATCTTCGAGATTCAAGTCCAGAATTCTAATGGTTGTAACGGAATCATTTGGGGGAGAGATAATCCAAGTACAATTTTTCCTGAATAAGTCTACAGTGCCGAATTTTATCTCACCTTCTGGTCCGAAAACATATTCGGTACCGCAAATACTTGCAGTGATTATTTTCATACACAAAAAAGTTACGACAAAACTATATACTGTCATTACTGACGCACATTACGTTAGTCTGACAGATCTAATTTATTTACCCAAGTCAGCATTTTTCCAACCAATTACTAAAGAAACCAGTATGGCCTAATTGTAAGATTTTGACAAAGATGTAACTAGAAATGTAACTAGGAAGAAATCCTTATTGTCAAACACTTGTCATACTTAATAAGAAACAAAAATATACAATAAAGCACACAATAACAAACAACATTTTTAAGCCAATATTTCTATAATGAACATACACATTCAGTTAGAACAAATTTAAATAAATCAAACTAAATTAATAATAATTGTATTTACATACCTTCCTAATTTACTTTGTGTTAAGACTCACAGCCCCTAGAAATAAAAAATGAATTAGAAAATATAAATTTGGAACAGTGATAGTTATAAAAGTGGCGGTTTTAGTTTTTTGGTCTTTTTGGTCTTTAGTTTACTATAACATCTAAAATAGTCTGGAAATTTTTATTCCTTACTACAGAATAATAAAATTAAGAACCATATGATGCTAGAGCCAGGTAAGTCTGAGAAACAACTGAAATAATTATATTAAGTATGTTATGCCATTAGGCTTATTTGATTGGTTTCTTGTTTAATATCAGCTGGAATATTAACGAAAAGCTTGTAAGACTGAACTTAGCTAGTTCGACCTTACATGAAGGCTGTCAATTATCCATAGGCAAATAAATAAGTCATTTTCTGAGAAAGGCGATAAGTCTGACATAAAAACCAGGTTCATCCAGTTAACGATTTTACTTATACAGAACCAGCAAATCAATAAGTATCCAAAGAATGTAGAATATTTACATACATATTGTTATTAAATATAATATATCGTTGGAAAGATAAGCTGACGATTCTTTATCAGAAAATAAACTTATTATTTATCCATTCTTTCATTACAGAGAGACAAAACAGTGCATGCCTTTCATAAACAATTCTTATCGAAAATCGACTCTTTCGATAAACCAAAGAAAGAATTTTGTTGTATTAAAGCAAACGAAAAAATGAAGATAATAAATTAATTACTAAGGAAATTTAAGAATTTTCAAGGATGAGTAGTAATGCTTCATTAGCCATCTGCCATCTCGAATTACCCTCGTACATACATACATACATAGATACGATTTAATTGCAGAATAAAAATACTTCAATTACGTTTATACTCAGTGTAATTTAAATATCTACATATTAGTTTTCCATTCACAGATAGTAAAGGCATAATAATAGAGTATGATCACGAAATTTCGTTAAATAATGGGTTGGTATAAAAAACTCGAGAGAATATAAATTTTTACCTAATTAAAAAACATTTTCACGCAATCACAATTCCTTTGAATTACTCTCTACAGTCACTTTCGAGGAAATTTTAATTAAAAAGGACTTATTTAGCAATATTTTAGAGCAGATCGTAAGAAAAATTTAATATTAAAGAAAAACTCAATCTAATTTCTTTACCAGACTATAGTTAATGTATATACTGTTAAAATTAAAACAAAATGTAACTGATACAATTTCAAAAATAAATCGGCTCTTTTGATAGGTACTGACCAACGTCCCCCGAATTTTTCTTAGGCTCGCAAACAAAATTTCGCATCAACAGGACCTTGCGAATAAAAATAGAGGCGCTTAAATGCAACTTGCAAGTTTGAAACACGTCGTAAACATTCGATTTGATGGGGGAGAATGAGTGCATGACGTGCTCTCGCACATGTCTTTCGGCACGCATCTAAAAATAATCCCTAAGGCCCTAGGGCAAGGCCTTTTTGTTCTCTAACGTCCTCGATGAGTCTGATCGAAATCAGACGGATATATGAGTTGATGGAACGAGGGTTGATTGACAACGATATTCTACATGGGTGTAGGTATTGTTAGCATACATAATTTATGTAAACAATATGGATTTGGAATTAAATCGATTTAGATAAAATTGTCGTACAAAATTTCATTTTTTTTTTCTCATACAGAGTAAAGTAATTTGTAATAATGGTGGCAAAATATCAATGTTCATTTGATAACCTAAGATAAAATTTAATCAGCCAGTACATTAAAAGGACTTGGGTTTTTTCAAGCAAATGATTCATTTTATTCTACAAATAAAAACTTGTAACTATACCTATACTCTTTAAATCAAAGTTATATTGACAATGAGTAATTCGTTCTTGGAAATATTACTTTTACTTCAACAATTTGTTTTCTAGTAAAATGGTTAGTTTTATAAATATTATCTGCCCTACACTTGTAAATATGTATTTTTTAGTGTAAACATAAAAGGTACATTACCTATTTAGATAAGACACTTCCTTTCAACAATGAAAAAGTCATTTTCTTGTTGGTATGGTCAAGAATTTTAAAATTAACTTGTGTGCGGTTATCATTTATGCGGTTATATTATTCGATGATGAATGATTCATGCACTTTGTTATTTTATAAATGTATTATAAATAGGAACAATAATTGTATTTAAGAATACAAAAAAACGGACCTGGCGCAGAGAATTCCTGTTTACCTTTCAAGGTCAAAGATGTTTAAAGCGATCTAGAAGAGAAGACACGACCGACCAATGATTTTATTGAGAATGTCTACGTAGTAAATTTAAATATGTCTGGTTTATGTCTGTTTGAATATCAAATTGAGTTTAAAGAACTCGAAATTTGATTATTTGAACACCGCGCGCTTCTAGAATAAAAAACTGCTTTGTATTTGATACCAGAAATAGGTAGGCCACGAATTAAAATCGAGCAGCCATTATTGAAGATTAGAACAATTTTAGTTCTTATTAGAATACAAAATAACCAGTTATTAATAAAATAAAAATAACAGTTAATAGAATAGTTACAAAACAATGTAAAATGCATATTAAGACATGAAGAAAGTTAGTATGTTTGTAAAAATTGTGCTGATAAATATTAAGCCTAAACGCCACTCGTGAACTGACGGCCTTTGCAATTTGCAACACAAGGTCATATAATATATGATACACGATACGCCAGGTGCATACAGCATTGCAAAAATAAACAAAAACCAATTCCAGTCAAGTAAGTATTATTACCTACCATTTGTAGTTATTACAGTAAGAAAAACGTACATAAAGTATTGTTTTTAAACGTAAAACACTAATTTAAAACTAAAGCGGCTTTTGCTCTTTGACTTTATAACGGTCTCGAGCTTGATAAAGGTTAATCGTTTGATTGCAATGTTTCTGAAATAAAATTATTAATTCAAAAAAAATTTATGACGATAGAAATGTAAAACCCAAGTGCCAGTACGAACCTGGCTAAATAATACTAGGTATCTAATTACCCAATTATTTTTGGATGCAATGCGGTATGTATTTAATTGTGTTCCTTCATGCCAATGTAGCTAAACGAAATGTCAGATAAATGAATCATCTGTTTGTTTAGAGTCCTTCCTGTACTACAAAATTTTTGCAAGTAATTTTACTATCAAGTGGTAACTAAGTTATTGAAAAAAAAAACTTGTATATAAAGTACTTAAAGGTATTATTTTTTTTTTAATTTAACGTGTAAAAAATATATCGGTAAATTGTGCGTCTCATTCACGTAAATAATTTTAATTAATAATGAAAGTAAATTACCCAAAGGTGATTCACTTCTTTTGTTCGCACTTGTCAAAGTAACCAAACTGTCACTGTCACGAATAAAACGAATTTAATTGATCGGAAATTGGCAAAAATAGCGTAAATCTAATAATTTTTGCGAACGTTTCAACAGCCAACCGGTTTCTTTCGATTTATAACCAAAAACAAATTCGACCGGCTCCCTAACTGTTAACTGTCCTTTGTAAAATAACACGACAGTCTACCTTTCGGAAAGTCTGAAACTATGGTGAAACAGCCGTTTAAATTCAACGAAATCGATTCATAAGTTAATTCCAAGTAAAGTTTTATTGATAATTTGATATAAAACTTACCTTTACACCAGATGTATGCGGTATAAAATAATCAGGAATTCACACTACAAACACGCACGTACTTGCAACTTTTTACAAACTAAAACGCGCACGATCAGGATTCAAGATGGCGAAGGCCCCTCCGTACTCCAGCGTTCAAACACGAGCTGTCATTGGTGGATTTGATTTGGGACGCTTTATTACCAACTTGCAAAAATTATAACCTAGGGTAACATTCCACATTGCCGCGTCCTAAAGAATATCATGAAACCTCGTTAAAATATACTTTTAATTAATTTTATTTTAAATTACCCCAAAAGACTCTTGCTTTGAGCTAAACTTTATGTTTTATGTCAAAGTCTTCAGTTTTGTGTGCTTAATTAACATTTTTCTTTGACAGATTACGATATGTACAGGCCTACTAATTATATTTTTTATTATCTATTTTTGTTTATCTCGACAAATTATTTATAACCCCTGTTTGTAAACCATTATTTAAATTAATTGGTTATTAAAATTTTGACAAAAACTTTGCAATTATAATATAAACATTCATCAGCGCTGAATTCTGTGTAAAAGTACATTTGCACTTGAATAAATTTTAAGGAATGAAATCTGGCAACGCAGCCTTTAGCGTAAATGCGTTCTTGGTTGACTCAAAACGATGACCAAGGGTGTGGTTGAATTCAATTTAAAATACTTGATTTAGCCTTGATGTAGCGATGAAAAATCCTCTTAAATATTGATGTATTTTAGAAGTTTTAGAATTATATTATCTGTTTGCTACAGTTTGTAATCGCTTTCAATATTTTGGTAACATTCTAACATAAGAAAATTTCATTCGCTTTAAATGTGTGTTAATTTGTGTCTAATATATTTCTAACGTTGAAATAGATGAATATGAATAATTAAATATTTAATATTCTTTTTTATTTATGGTTTGACATATAACAAATTTTAAACAGATAGAAAAAGCGACATCTATTGAGCTTAACCGTTACTATTTTAGGTACTAGTGACATCTGCATGATATCCATAACAGTTGAGTTTTTTCAAAAATGTAAACTTAAGCGGTTGTATTTAAATTCATAAACGAACTAGCGTTATGTAAAAAATTTTGAATCATCTTCTTTTTATCGCCTTTATTCGCATTATCTTCTTTTCCAATCGAAGAAGACGATGCTTCCGAAGCAGCAGACTTAACCTTCTTCTTCGTTATCCAAATATTAACAGCGAATTTGAGTTCTATCTTGAGTGCTTCCCAATACGTTAGCTGGTAATTAATGAAAATATACATTTACCGATTCTTTACAGCTTCAACCAATAGTCTACTTACATGCTCTTCTACCGATATGTTTCTGATATTCCACAAAAACTCGACCACCCCAAGAAATATTGCTATGGAAACCCCAACTGCTAATACCAAGAAGATACCCATAGTTCTTGCCAGATCTAAATCATTTTCGTTTTCATCTTTATCCTTATTTCTTATCTATAAAAAATCATAGTGTATCTCAGTAACAGTAAAATTTGAAGTTTGTATTTATGGGGTTGAGGTGTTTACTATTAAGTACTTCTAAAATTTTGTTTAGTAATATCCTAATGCAATAAATTGATATTATCTGCTTACTATATCACAGGAAGTTTCATTTCGATTTTTCTTCCACCATTTCAGCTTCAGTTCATTGAGTACACCAGTTTCTTGAAGTTCTAGAATGGCCTTGTCAATGGCTCCTCTATAAGGTGCATCTGCAATATTACTTTTATAGTATACATTTCCAATAATCATTATTAAACTGACTCATGGGCATCGCTATGCCGTAACTTTTGGTATCCAACCATCCACCGATTTGCTTCAAATCGCAATTCGTCTCAACGTAGTACTCGATTAGAGTGGATTCCATCAAAAACGCGTACCACCCTTTCTTATCCTGTCGAACTCTGCTCACGCCGTCCTCGTTGCTCTTCTCGAAAACCTTCGGACTTTGCATTTTCATGTTCAAATACATTTTTTGATACGTCGATATGTTAGAGTCCTAGAATAAACGAGATCCCTGTTCTTCTTGATTTCTAATTAATGAGCGCTTACCCTAAAGAATTGCATGGTAGATCCACCTTCCATACACCCGTATTTAATCTTATTCTGTTTCGACAAGTCTTCGGCGTCTTTGATGGGCGGCTCTAAATTAGCTTTTGTTAAAAATGCCGTTAAATTCGCAATGTAAGAGTTGGTGATTATAAGAGCGAAGAACCACCACATTGCTAATGCAAACTTCGACGAAATACCCCTAATAATTCAAAAGAATTAGTAAACGAATTATATAAAAAGATTTAACGTTTACTTTGGTAAAATATCACAACCTTGGTTCATAATTGTCCCTAAAGTAGCCCAATGGCAATTCTTTAAAGTCCAAATGTTTTCCAACTCTTGCGGATTATCGTCGCATGGATGCGGATTTTCCCAATCTCCTGGAGTCATTCTGCACACAAAGTAAAGAATAATGGAAAGAACTAAATACATAGTAGCCGAATAAATCCACACCGATGTATGGAATGGCTCTAAAAAGGCGAATATTCGGGCTTCTTCTTTTTCCGGGTACGTGTGGAGGATGCTTATTCCTAAAAACAACTATATTGGTCGAACGAAGGTATATACATAAAAAATAAGTTTACCCAGCGTCATGAAAGGCATGCTAAAATCTACGACGCTCTGTCGTTGAAGATTTATTGTCGAATCACATAAAGCTAAATGAGCCCTCTACAATAAATGCTTAGTAATAATCTTCCAGGTTATATCTTATATCGTATTACCCTTTCCAAAAGGTCTCCTATTAGTCCAATCCATCGTTTCTTATCGGGCTTGTACTCCCCGAAAAGGTTGCCCTCGGTGAGGTGCAATTCGAAAGTAAAATCTATGATTTTAGCGATTTGCGTCATTAAATCCTTCGTGTACCCTTCGTATCTGTCGTTGCCTGTCAGAACTTCTCCGTTGGTATTAGCCACTTCCATCAAAAATGGCCTCACAATTCTGAAAAGCATACTTATAACCTAAGACGATTTGCCGATATACACAATGATAAAGAGTACCCGGAAAATTGGAATAAAACGTAAAGTTCCTAATTTTCTTTAATTTTTCTTGAATCCCCTTCAAAATATGCTCCTTTTGAAGCAATACACATAGTCAGACGCCTTTTACAATCATTGAAACATTTTTATAGGCCCTTTTTGGTACAGCTTTTAGCTTTTTCATTGAATTGATGGCCTTTATGGAGTCAAAACAGGATTCTCGAAAAGACAATTTGAGTTTGGGAAACAAAAAAATCTCGCACGATGCTATATTCCAAATTCGCAGAGCACTATTGAGATGAACTGATTGAATCAGCTGCTACAACCAAACTGATTGAGAAATCTATCTAATTTTTTCCATGCTAATTAATGTTACTTAACAGTGTTACCTGCACACAGAAACTTAAAATAGATAATAATATTAAGTGTAGGTAATTTAAATCAGAATTTCCGGGTACTTTTTTGTCAGAAGTTATCTGGGATCGTGACCCATCAAAATAGCCCAAAGACAAAATCGCCCAAGACAAAATAGCCCAGACACAAAATAACCTGAGACAAAACAGTTCCAGCAAAACTAAGAGCAACATTTTGTCTTTGACCTATTTTGTCTTGGGCTACTTTGACCATCTGGAATATATTTTATTTTACCTTGTACCAACTATCACTTTAATTTTTTTCAAATTAGACGTAGCCGCCAAGTCTGTTTCTTCTGATGTTCTTGCTAATATTACGGTTTCGTTTAAAGCTTGGTAAGTGGCAATGAGTTGATCATCGTCTAAGGTATATGCGTAAATTCGGAAATCGATCCTGTTGCCGTATTCGTCGAATTTTATCGGACCAGTGATGGTAGGTAAATCATCTAACTAAAATCATACCAAATGTTATACACTTTGTTAAAACAGTACTGTACTCTTAAAATATTTTTGAAGTTAAACATTTTTTACTTACGTATTTTATAGTATTTATTATTGTAGGTCCATTGGAGAAAAGATCCTCCGCGAAGCAATTCACTTTGCTTTCGGGTAGGTACGGTAATTTTTTCAAAGCAGCCGAAAGATAAGTGAGAGCATCATGAAAAAGAACCGTTTCCGTCTGAAAGTGTAAGTAAAATGTCGACGAAATTCGATAAAAACGTAAAAATTTTTACTTTGATCATGTTTGGTTTGAGATCGAGGGCTGTTCTGTAAAATTCAAATGCGGTTAAGCTCCATTTACGAAGGGCACTCGACAATTCCTCGGATTTGGGATCAAATATTCTTATAATTGTAATATTTGCAGTTATATTTAATGACGAATAATCCACGGTGTGTGCATCCTAAAATGTGAAAGTGAAATACATAAATTATTCTTTCTAGTTATTTTACTACTCACCAATGATGTGAGGAAATAATTAAATCCTATATCTAACATATCCAAACTCTTGGCTTGCGATAAAATTGGTAGAATATTTTCCGTTTTACAATCTATTATGATATTATTTTCAGTAGTGTTTCTGTATTTCTTAAAAATTGGTCTAAAAGTTTTTAGTGAAGATAAGGAATTATTTGATTTAAATTAAAAGTTTACCTATAATCCGGTCCATTCGTCAAATGTTGTACTCTAATAAAATCTTGTGAATCAGTGTTTTTCACATTTTGCAACTTCAAAACCTCCTGTAACTTAACCAGACCTTCTTCCTCTTCATAAAATATTAATATGCCCATCCACTTTAAACTCTTTATGATGTCAGCTATACCTAATTAAATAAGTAAATACTTATTCGAGAAAATTTAGTGTTACTTTGAGAATAGTCTCTTTACATTATGTATTTAGTTTATTTTTCTCACCTTTGCCCAACCTATCGGCATCTGGATGAAAATTCAGGAATATAGGCGATTCTTCGTAACTCGATTTTCTCCAAGAAGTAAGTATGTAAGGAAGATTGAGACTTTTACAAGTGGATTCGATTATCGGAGAAGTAGCACAGGTCGGTTGACCCATGATAGCCATTATACCATCATCAATGAGATTGCATACTAAAAAAATTTGAAATATTTTCTCGAAAAATTCTCATTTTTTTCTCTACTTATTTCTCAACTTACTAGTTTTTGACGTGTCGAATATATCCGTACTGGAAACAAGTTGCACTTTGCTCGAGAGCGATATAGGGGTTTCTTTTTCTATGATATTGTTTCTTATTATGGTATCGTTCAAAGATAGCTCAGATTGTGTTGGTATTTCATTAAACAGCACACCTGTAATGAATGTAGAATATTAAAAGAAAAACTTGCTAACTTTAATAAAGTTTTTATATAGGAAATAACTCGTGTTTGTAGACGCGACATCTTTTAACTTGCTTCTATTTTAATCTAACGTAGGTACGTATTATTAAAAGCATATGTAGTTATTTATGTCACAGCTGTTAATGCTCTACTATTTGCCTAATTTTGTGTTAATTTAATCGTTCCTTTTTAATTTTCACTCCATATGTAAAAGGAGTTATCAATATTCACTTAAATATTATTAATTCAAATAAATAATTGAAATTCCTTACCTATTGTAAACAGTTTTCTAGCAGAGCAAGATTTATGTAAAGTTGATATAACCACTAAATAAATTATCAATTTAAACTGAAAATTAAAGCACGCCATATTTACATGAATAATCTTTTAAAAAGGGTGTTTACAGCATAAAGTGAACTATACAAATGCGGCAATTCCTACTTGGTAAATTGCCAGATTCCTATTATATTTATAAAGTCTGGAGACATTAGAACTACCAACGTTATAATTTGTGAATTTTAAGCGTTTACCTGCTGAGTAATTAAAACCAATTTGAACGAGATTTGAAAATTTCTACTTTAAAATTTCTACTAAATTTCACCTGTAGATACAAATATTTTTTGTTTGCTTTTTTATAAGTAAAATTAGCTCTTGCAGTTTTAATAAAAGAAAGATGCAGGAGACGATAAATGGACAATTAATGGATAAATTAGTAATTTTGCATCTTTTTAATTCATTTCCATGGAAGATTTTAATCTCTTTACTCTCAGTAACTCGTTAACTAGAGCTTCTTTGGTCCCAACATACCTTTGACTAGTTCTTGAACTAAAAACTTGCGCAGTACACTTTCGAAATGAAATTTTTTCTTTTGCACAGTCACTGACTAATTTCAGTTCTGAAATATTTAAGGCGGAAAAGCAATATTATATTGTAAATTAAATTTGTATTTAACATTGAAACAAATTATGCATTAATCATGAGTAGGTACAGATAAATATAGATACTTCTAATTATTTTTACATAGGTAAATTACAACGATTTTCTACAAAAAAACAATCACACTTGAAAGTTATTCATGCATATTAAATTACAGAGGTTTAGGTAACTAAGTTAACACACATGAAAATAAAAGAAGCGAAATTCTAGTAACTAATAGTTGAAGTTTCAATTGACAATATTTAAATTAGATCCTGCGCTATGCAGGATGCTGTTTATGATACTTTTGTTCCCATTTTTATTTTCAGCGCTTTTATCGCTTTGTTGCGAAGACCCCTCTTCCGAAAGCAATGGTTTCACCCTCTTCTTCGTAATAAGTATGTTGCATGCGAATTTCAATTCCAACATAAAGGCTTGCTTGTAGGTAATCTACAAACGGCGGAGAAAAACATATATATTAAAAAGTAAGAGAATTTTTTCGAATCTTACATGTTCTTCGACTGATATATTTCTGCAATTCCATAAAAATTCGATCAAAGCAAAAACGCACGCCATCGCTATGCCGACACCGAGAACTAAGAAAACACCTCCTAAATTCGCTATGCCCAGTTTATTAGCGTCCTCCTCTTCTCCCGATTTTTGCTGTAAAAATTCGTTGTTTACTAAAAATAATTAAGTAAGAATTAATAATGTTACATTGTCACAAGAGGCTTCCTTTCTCTTGGTTTTCCACCACTTAGTTTTCAGATCGCCGAGCTCCCCGGACTCCTGCATAACAAGCACAGCTTTATTGATTGCACTTCTATACGGCGAATCTGAAATAAGCGCTATTACTAAGTAACCATTCGCTGTAATTATTCACGTTTTACTCATCGGCATGGCAATCCCGTAGCTTTTACTGTCGAGCTTTTCGCCGATTTGTTTCAAGTCGCATTTAGTTTCGATTTCGTATTCAATTTGAGTGGATTCCATCAGGAAGGCGTATTGAGCCAATTTGGTAGTTTGTACCCGGAGAACACCGTCAGCGTTGCTATCTTCGTAAACACTTGGTTTGGTTTGTTGGATGCTCAGCCACATTCTAAACAAATATAATCAGATTTGGTATAGTTTTTATTATGTTTGTACCTTTGGTAGGTGGAAAAGTTGGAGTTTCTAAAAAAGGATTCGGTTGAGCCGCCCTTTACCAAGCCGTATTTAATCTTGGTCTGCTTGGATAGAGCTTCTGCGCTGTCTATAGCCGGTTCTAAATTAGCTTTGGTCAAAAAGGCTGCCAGATTCGCCGTGTAGGAACTCGTCATAATCAACGAGAAGAACCACCACATCCCGACTGCCATTCTCGACGATATTCCTCTAAAATAAATAACAATATTTGCGTTCAACAGTTGTGTTATAGTAGAAATAACTCACTTGGGTAAAATATCACAACCTTGTGTCATAATCGATCCAAGGGTAAGCCATAGCGAATTTTTAATGTCCCAAATATTCTCCAGCTCTTCGGGATCGTCCTCGCATGGATGAGGGTTTTCCCAATCGCCGGGCGTCAATCTAAAAAAATATTCATCGTAACGAAATTTTATTGTTTGCTTGCTTTACCTGGATATGAAAAATAGAACGATGGAGATGACGAGGTACAATGTCCCAGTGTACAGCCAAACCCTAGTTGAAAAGGGCTCCAAGAATTTGAACATGTCAATGGGCTTTTCTGTTTGAGATTTGTGCAGTATAGCGATGCCTGAAATAAATATTATTTACACACAAAAGAGTTAGTTTAAGGTAAAATCGATTTTAAGGAGTGGGGAAGAATTTTAACTTCTCTGAGAGGTCAAAAAGTGGTTTGGAAAATGCTTTTAAGAAACTATTGTAGTATTAAAGTATTTACCTAGTGTCATAAAAGGCATACTAAAATCAACGACTTCTCTTCTCTCTGGAGTTATCGTGAAATCACAAACAGCAAGGTGAGCTCTCTAAAACCGAAAAATATTCTATTGCCCTAATTCAACATAAAATGGCTAACGTTTATCCAGACAGCAGGATTTCTACTTTTACCTTTTCCAAGAGCTCCCCTATCAAACCGTTCCATCGCTTCTCTTTATAATCGTAATTTCCGTACTTATCTGTGATTTCGAACTGAAAATTGAAACCGATGAATTTCGCGATTCCCGCAATTAAATCCATTGAATAGCCTTCGTAACGGTTGTTACCCGTTAGGATTTCTCCTTCGTAAGAGGGCTGGCGCAGCATTAAATAGGGCTCGCCAATCCTGAAACACCACCAAATTCTCCTAGTATTTTTATTGAGATTGTAAAGGAACGAAGGAAATTAGAAAATAATATGAGACAGGCAAAAAACAAGGAGTTAGTTATGGGAAGGACATTTCACCAAATAAATTATGTTCTCTAACTTTGAGAGTTTAAAATTCAAATAGCAGAGTGAAATCAGAATCTGTAGATATTTGATAATTAATTATAAACTTTTGCTGTGCAATGCTTTATTAGTCACTTAACGAAGTGCCTAATTTCATATTTCTTCAACTTACTTTGATGCGACTATAACGGTAATTTTTTGCAAATTCGAAACGGCTGCGTCGAAAGTTTGGTTGTAATTTCTGTGCAATTCCATAGACTCGTTACCGGCATGCCACGTTGCTATGACCGAATCATCTATTATATCGACGACGTGAATGTTAAAATCGGTTCTGCCACCTTCGTCGTTAAATTTCAACGGTCCTGTGAGAGTCATCGAAGGGGTGTTCTAGACGATGATGTTTTTTTATTAAAATATGAAGTAAATCGTACTTCACTTACTTACTATTAACATGTACTTTCGCAGTGTAAACCCATCATCAGATGTTTCGGTGCCGTTGCAAGCCAGTGGTTTTATATTTATTCCAGGTTTGATGGTCATCGCGTTTACTGTATCGGTTAGAAGGAGAATCGCATCGTGGAATAAAACTGTTTCAGTCTGTACATCAGAAAAGAGCAGATTGTTGGATATACTTAAATTAGAAGTACCCACATACCTTTATCGAATAAGGATCTAACGGTACTCTTCTGTTATGATTTTCAAATTCTGTAAGTTCCCATCTGTGCACAGTGTTTAAAAAATCGTCACTTTTTGGATCGTGCAGCCTTATTGTTGTTATATTTGCTGTAGTGTTTAAATTGGAAAAATCTAAAGTATGAGCGTCCTAAAATATTACTAATTTCTATATGCACTGTATTAGATACCTTAATTTTGGATTAACATTTTACTACTTATTAATGTAATGCAATAACTTACCAAGGAAGTAATAAAGTAGCGATTATGCAACCCTAACATACCAACACTGTTGGCTTGAGTCAAAATTGGTAATATTTTATCTACCTCACAATCTAAAATTATATTATCTTCAGTAGTATTATGGATCTTTTTTAGCAGTGGTCTATAAAAATTTAATGGTAATTATTAAAATGCAATAAAACAAAATTTATTCTTACCTATAATCTGGACCTGGACCCAGTTGCATAACTACAATATTATTCTTCTTCGAATCAGGATTTATCTCTTGAAGCTTCAGAATTTCCTGCATCCGTATCAAACCCTCCTCGTTCTCATAAATGATTATGAAACTGGGCCATTGCAGACTTCTCACAATTTCCGCCAGACCTAAAAATGATTGAAAAAATAGGCTAGATTCAAACATTTCCGAGTAAATCACCTTTAGCGAAAAGTTCAGCTTCCGGAAAGAAGTTTATCATCGCCCTTACTTCTTCCGGATTTCGTTTCGCAGGAGAGGGAGCCTTCCAAGATGTGGTTATAAAAGGTACTTCAAAAAAAGTACAGGTGGATTCTAATATAGGAGTAGTTCTACTGGAATCGGAATAAACAGCCACTACCCCCAAATCTGAATCTAACAGAGTGCACACTAAAGAAATAATGGAAATAATTTACTGAGATATTGACTAGATTAGAATAGTCTTACGTGTTTGACTGGCCTCGAAATTATCAGAAGGTGATACTTTTAATATTTTAGTGGAAAAATAGGCCCTTTGATCGAACATGTTCTTCTTGTATATTGTGCTATTTAAGGGTATATTAATTTGGGAGGCCAACTCTTGCAAAAGTACACCTAAAAATAATAGTTGTAATTCCACTTGCCCTTCTAATAAATCACTTGCTTATTAATATCGCAAGCAATTAACCTAAAATTACACCGAAATTGTAAAACTTACCTATGGTAACGACCGCCTTGGAACCTTCATTATAATGCAATTGATAAAAAATCAAGCAAAACAAGAAACGTAAACATGTTTCCACTCTCATTTTGAATACATTTATTTGAATCAGATGAAGATGACTTTAAGCGAACAGAAAACAGAGAAATATATTTTTTTCTGGGTATTGCCAAAATTGGACGCGTGCCAAGTATTAATTCCTAGCAGCAGCAAAAATAGACCGAACATTTTCAATTAGGTACGATGCGTATAGTTAACCTATTAAAATTAATTGGATTGCATTATTCCTAAAATAATTGGGTTATCTCAATTAGTTCTCGAGTAGCAACTTCCTTTAAAGTTACAAATTTTGGACTATTATTCTGAAAAGAAACGACTATAGGAATAGGAAGGAGGGAAATACAAATTATCAATCAAATTATCTTAAAATCATATCTAATATAATTTTATTGATAAGATTTAAATTGGAGTATAAGATTTTATTTTATTACATTAAACCAATAAATTCCTCGCGACATATACGTTTATACAAACATAATTATATCAACGAGTAGACCTACATAATAACTAGTAATTTGTTAAGGTAAGAAACTTTACTACTTTACATTTACTATACTCTAGTTTAGTATTCTTATTAGAATTAGGATTGCACGTTAATTTTTAGAAAAGTTTTCCATAAAACACACTTTGTGTATCATACACATATCTTACTCTATAATAAATTAATCTGTAATGCCCTGTTAATATGAAAGGTAAATAATTATTCGAATAATAAGGTTCTAAATAAAATATTCATGAAGGCATTTTTGTAAAATAGATAAAATTTCATGCAATTCGTCAAAACATCCTATTGTTTTATAAAAACCGATTTATTTTTAATGCGCTGATATCATTATTTAGTTTATCTAAATGTAATCTTAAAAACTCTCAGCAATAATCAGCATGAATCATTAGGTATCTTTGATTGATAGAAAAATCTTAGAAAAAACTATATTGAGCCCCAACTCTTTGTTTTAATTGTAATGATCTCAATAAGTAATAATTCAATATCTAATACTTTTAGGTCATGAAATAATTAATAAAAAAGTATGAGGCGAAGATATTCATACGAAGAAGTTCCACTGATTGACGAAAATGATAATAATAAGTAAGAAAAATATTTCATATTGTAAAGCTTTTCACGTAAATTTATGTGGCTTTGTACATATGTACCTATCGAATTAACTGAATGTTGTTAAAAATTTGAAAATGGTTTGTTGATCAAACTTTCCAATAAATTTTTCTCATAATTTTAATCGAGGGGTTACCTTTTTTGACAACATTCAGCAAACAAATTACAGTTTTATGTATTTTTATAAACCAAAAATATGCATTTTTTAGCCAAGAAGTACGTTACAACTGGAATTTATTTAAGAGTGTGCCGAGAGAAACGGTATCGACCTCTCTGGAGCAATCAGAATATATCAATATATCCATAAAATGCCTAAAAGTAATCACGGTCATATTTACTTTTATAGTAGTATTAGTATCCGCAGTTTTTTCCAAAGGATCCTTGCTGTTCATGACATCCCAAATAAAACCGGGCATAAAGAGACCATATTGCAATAAATATTTAGGTAAGCAGTTTATCCATAAAACCATGAGAAATACTGTTTTCAAATTCAAATATATTCATCAGATACTCGAGAGGAATACACTGTTAACCACCCAATAGAAGAGCGAACTGTCTGGATATGGCTACTAATATTCTCGTACATAATTCCCGAATTGGGAACATTGATAAGATCCCTCAGAATAATCAGCTTCAAGACCTGGGAGTATCCAAAAAAGTCAGAATTCATAATATTGGGAGTTACGGAAATTTTACCAACCATCGGGTCTTGTTTGCTGGCCTTTGTCGTGTTTCCAGAAATGGATGTCGTTAAAGCAGCTATGTTAACTAACGGAGTCTGCTTGGTACCAGCTTTAGTAGGTAAGATTTCGACATAATTAAATGCAATGAAATAATTGAATTTTTTATTACAATTTGCTTCTTTCGGATATCTAGTGCTGACGGTTCCTCCTTCGGCAAAATATCATTACTTCCTAGATCTTATGGCCATAATATATCAAATATCAGCTATGGTGGTGTGGCCCTTAGTAGAAGGCAAACTAGTCCTTTACGTCATACCAGTCTCTCTCTTGTTCATTTCTGTCGGTTGGTGGGAGAATTTCACATCGGAAAAATCCCGATTCGAAATTATCAGGAAGTTGGCGAAGAGTAAAAAGGATTTCAAGAACGATTTCTATTACATGTACGCCGTAATTGTGCCGATAAAATGCTTGATTTTCTTCGTTATCGCGCTAACGATCACCTGGATAAGAGAAGGGGACGCGCAATTTTTATTTACCAAATTTTGGGATGCCTTCAGCGATCACACTTACAACATTACGCAGGTAAGCTCGCTTTGAATTAATGTAAAATCGATACAGATCGACAGGGGCGGCTGAAAATGTGAAGACTAATTTATTTTTTTAACTGTAATAAATTATTTTCAGGTTGAACCGATAGTGGGTTCCTTTAACACTTCATATACAGATGCCATAGCTTCCATAGTACCTATTATAAAGGAAACATCATTTTGGACACCACTGGTCGTTTTCTTCATTAACATCTCCACGACTTACGTTTGCTACGCGTTCTGCAAATTCGCTTGCAAAATAATGATACAAACTGTTAGTTGCGCCATACCTATAAACCTGGCAGTACCCGCTTTAGTCACTGTGCTGGTTTCGATTTGCGGAAAGTACCATGAAGACGTTTGCTCCTACGCAGATTCCATTCCTGAGTACTTGTTTTTTAACGTGCCGCCCGTGGAGGATCTGGAGAATTTCTTTTGGAAAAACTTGATTTGGGTGTTGTGGCTGCTTTCGCAAACGTGGATCACTAAGCACATTTGGGCCAACGAGCACGACAAACTGATGGCGACTGAAAATTTATTTTTCAAGCCGATGTTCGATGCATTCCTGATAGATCAATCGATAGCCATGAACAGAAGGAGGCACCAAGTTAGTTTAAGAAAATTGGTGGACAAACATGGTAAAATAAAGAAATGTTAGAAGTTACCTAAGTTAATCGTATATTATTTTGTAGATCATGAAAATTTGGAGGTTGATAGCGATAAAATTACAAGAATATACGCTTGCGGTACAATGTGGCACGAGACTAAAGAAGAGATGGTGGAGTTTTTAAAATCGATATTGAGAATGGACGAAGATCAATCTGCTCACAGGCTTGTTCGAGAATATTTGGAATACAATTTACCGGATTATTATGAATTTGAAAGTAAGTATTATCGAAGATTGATTGATTCGACCCTTTTTAACTTTAAAAGTTTCTTAAACGCCTTGTTTAACCAAGTTTATAATCATAATAACTAATAACCAGTGTAGAGTTAAGAAGAGTTCTATAGTTAAGAAAAAAAACTTAATCCTTTTAAGTTTTCATATCCTAAGGAGTTCCTTAAGACTTGCGAAGCTGGGAATTTAGGGGTATGATATAGTCGAAGTTGTGAGTTTTTCTGATATCTTTTCAACCATATGTAACTCCGATTATTAAAAAACTTGATATGGAAAGTGCCATTTTTGGATTCAAGGATTAACTAGATAATACCTAATAATAACTAGATATTAATAATATTATAATATATTAGATATTAATATTAATATTAACTAGATAATAACATTGATAATACCACCATATGCCAAATGCTCACCATTTTTAAGTTTAATTTTTTTCGATACATTTTGGTAAAACGGTCAGAGGTATTATCTTTGATATATCTATTAATAATGTAACTATGTAGAAGTTCGAACTTTGGTATTGAAAATGTTCAGACACAATACTAAATGAAACTAAACTGTGTTTTCATGGTCTTGAATTATCTTGACAGATTGTTTATCCTCGAATTATCCCTTCATAAACCTTTGTTAAACCATGTTTAATTTAATTGAATTTCATTCTAGCGCATATTTTCTTCGATGACGCTTTTATACGAAAATCCGCACAGGATAACGACCCGGATGTGAACCAGTACGTTTTGGATCTTGTCAATTCAGTCAGCGATGCAGCGAGTAAAGTTCACAAGGTAAACGTAAAAATTAAGGCTCCTGTCCTTTATTCGACACCCTATGGCGGAAGATTGGAATGGACTCTTCCCGGCCGAACTAAAATGATCGCTCATTTGAAAGACGCGGCCAAAATACGCAGGAAAAAAAGATGGTCTCAAGTTATGTACATGTACTATCTGCTAGGCTACAGGTATGTACGATATAATAAACTGTTCTAATACTGGTATTCAAAACGTTAATGTTATAACAGAATTATGGATAACGATAAATACACTCCAGAAAATATTAAAAATTTGTGTAAGAACACCTACATACTCGCTTTGGACGGTGACATAGACTTTCAACCTCAATCCGTTCAACTTCTGGTGGATTACATGAAGAAAAATCCAGCTTTGGGTGAGTGTAAGTGAATAATAAATTGTCGCTCTTACCGGCTGGTTTTCAAAAATTAGGAGCCGCTTGTGGTCGAATCCATCCTGTAGGATCCGGTGCTATGGCTTGGTATCAAATTTTCGAATACGCAGTAGGGCACTGGCTTCAGAAGGCCACCGAGCACGTAATAGGCTGCGTACTTTGCAGTCCAGGTTGTTTTTCGTTATTCAGAGCGGGAGCTCTGATGGATGAAAACGTCATGGCCAAATACACAACGGAATCTAGCGAAGCAAGGCATTATGTACAGTACGATCAAGGTAAGGAACTTGGCAAAGAACTAATAAAGAAGAGAAACATTTCAAAATTACTATTACTTTTAGGAGAGGATCGTTGGCTATGCACGTTGTTATTGCAAAGAGGGTACCGCGTAGAATATTCGGCGGCTTCAGATGCTTACACTCATTGCCCAGAAGGTTTCAACGAGTTTTATAACCAAAGACGACGGTGGATGCCATCAACTACTGCGAACATCATGGATTTACTATTGGATTATAAGCATATCGTCAAGATCAACAACAATATTTCTAGACTTTACATTTTATATCAGGTTATTATAACATATATTTTTATCTTTAGTATTCTATTTTATTTAAATATACATAGGTAGTATTGATGATAGGCACAGCCATCGGGCCCGGAACAATTTTCCTTATGTTAGTTGGAGCTTTCGTGGCAGCTTTCAAAATTTCGCAATACTACAGCTTGCTATTAAACATTGTGCCATTATTATTATTTATTATCGTTTGCGCAACTTGCAAATCTGATACACAGGTAACTAAGCTTTCATAATATTTTTCGTAAACTAATACATGCTGATTTTAGCTCTTTTTCGCCGGAATAATAAGCGCCTTATACGGTTTGATAATGATGACGGTGTTCGTCGGTATAATGATTCAAATAGAAAGCGACGGTTGGCTGGCCCCCTCGTCTCTCTTCCTTTTAGCTACAGCAGGCGAATTCATAATCAGTGCCTTAATGCACCCCCAAGAATTTTATTGTTTAAAGTACGGAATAATCTACTACGTTACTGTACCCAGCATGTACATGCTGTTAGTCATTTATTCCGTGTTTAATATGAACAATGTGTCGTGGGGCACTCGTGAAGTTACTGTGGCAAAACAGGTATATAAACCTTCCTATGCTTACTAAGTTATTTTTCTAACATCCGTACTGCTAATTACAGGACGAAGAAGAGAAAGAGGAGGAAGAGGATGATGTGAAAGAAGCAGCACCGCAACAAAACGGCCTATTATCATTCCTAGGAAGTGATAATCACAATACCGGATCGATGGAATTCTCCTTCGGAGGACTCTTCAAATTAATGTGTTGTACATTCGATGGAAAAAGTCAAGAAAAAGAAATACTGCGCAATATTCAATTATCCCTACAACAGCTGCAAAAAAAATTAGACGACATAGAAAATAACGATGTACCAGAAAGACGAAGAACTACCAAAAACACGGAACATTTCGTTGGAAGGAGAGCATCTCGGTAAATTTAACAACAAATACATTAAATTTTGTAAAATATCGCCCTACAATGTACCTTTAGAGCTTCTGCTAAGCCGACGATGCAAAAGGTTTTGGAATCAGATGCGGGCAATAACGAAGATGATGATGATGACTCCATTTATACTGCATCCGAGGAACTGGAAGGTAACAAGTGGTACTACACAGGGGAGCTAATAAACAGTCGTGTAGATTTTATTAATAAAGAGGAAAAGAAATTTTGGGAGAGATTCATAATGATGTACTTAGAACCAAAGGCGGAAACGAAAAGTCAAAAAGTGAGTGAATTATAAAAAAACCGCATTGTTTTTACCGTTTAAATTTTAGACAAAACTAGCAAAAGATTTAAAAGATCTAAGGGATAAAATGGTGTTAACATTTTTCATGTTAAATTCACTATTCGTATTGGTGATTTTTCTACTCAACATCCAACAAGACATAATTCATCTTGATTGGCCAATCGCTCCGAAAGTAAATTTCACCTACATTCACGACGAAAACGAGGTAATTTATTATTATTTCACATTAAATAATCGGTCACAAACGTTATAATTTTAGATTATAATACAAAAAACCTACCTCGAACTTCAACCGATCGGATTCGTTTTTCTGATCGCCTTCGCCGGTCTAATGTTCGTTCAATTCATAGCGATGTTTATCCATCGTTTCGGAACTTTCAGTCAAATCATGTCCAACACGATAATAAATTTCAACTTTCTCAGACGAGATAAGGATAATAACACAAACGAAGAAAAACTTTTAGAGAGCAATCCTGTTAAAATAATTAAAGAAATGATCAGGTAAATTCAAATTCGTTACTAAGTGCTGTTCAAAATACCTAAATATGCCGGTTATTCAAACCAATTTTGAAGCATGATGAACAGGAACGAAATAAGATTGAAATCTTGCATTTTTATTTTATTAGTCACTATTCCCGTTTTAGTTTTGACTGGAACTAGTAACAGTTTCTAGTCAAAGTAACTGTTACAGATGGAGTACTGTTACTACTATTTTGTGACTACACAAACAATACTCCATCTGTAACAGTTACTTCGACTAGTAAGTGTACTATGGTAATATTGTTGTATTTCAACAAAATAATAATGAAAATGTGTAGATTGCAAGGAATTGACGAAGATTACGATGACGAAGAGGATGTTCCAGTCGGTAGACGCAACACCACTTACTTTTATGCCATGAAGAGAGAAAAGAAAGCAAAACCTGTAATTTACGATTTGGATCAAGCTTTCTACAAACGGTTGAGCCGCATTGCCTCAGAAAATTACAAAGGCATGTAACAACTGATTTTATATTACTTACAATTTATTTTTTTATCGTGGATTAATACCTATCGCATTATTTGAAATCGTTAATTTAAGCCGTATTTGGTATTTTTTAGGTTCAGAACATATTCCGAGAAAGAGTATTGCTCTAATAGAAAACAGAAGAAAAACGGTGAACATTAGAAAATCTCAACTTCCTTCATTCAACAGAAATATCAGAACAAGCAGAGAAGAATCCTTTACGGGGCTACAACTCGAAGGTGATCCTATAGATTCCACAGAAATAAATGCTTAGTAGTTATTTAGGTAGAGAATGTATTATACTCATAGTTTACATTTTTTATTTTAAAAAAATATTAAATTTTGCTGTTCAATTTCTTCCATACAAAAGACTAAAACACCAAAACTAACTTAAGAACAGGGCGAGCCAATACTTTTATACATACGTCTGATACCCAAAAACTATACTCTCCGCAATTGTATGTATAATAAAAAAAACAATTTAATTCATATTCGCCTAGGTACAATCAAAATTATAAGAAATACCTATAACGTTAAAAATACCTAATGAAAATGAGTAGTACTAAAATAAAATCACAGCTAAATTAGATACAATTGATTAGATAATAAAGATTCTATAAAATAAATTAGAGCGATTTATAAATAAAGCAAAACAATTAAATATCATCACGGTTTCAAGAACGAGCTGAAAGGAAAATGAATTTTCTTTATCAATTAAGTTCAATAGATTCGAAATCACATACCTGTTCTTTCTTCCTCTTCGTCACTGGTATAAGATGACATAGTTACAGCACCTCGAGTAGATGTTGCCTGCATTAAATCCTGATTAGGGGCGTTTCGACTTTCGTATAAAAGTATATTCAATGTCTCCTCGTATATTCTGGCCTCGGGACATTCGACCTTGGTGTGCTTTTTATCAGTGGCATATACTATAGAAGTACAACATACCTCAGAAACCTAAAAATAATCTTATTAATACTAGTATTACGTATTTATTTTATTTTACCTTTTTGCCATGTCCGTAGAAAACCCAACAACAAATCTCGCTAGTACTAATAACATCCTTCAGAAATAAAACCCTGTTGCTGTACCACAAGCTCAATTTATCGAACAGTTCGATGTTTTTCAATAAATTATCATCAGAAGCTGTCGTGTATGAATACTTATTGTTATGTCTATTAATAAGCAACTTTATAGCAGGTTTAGTAGTGGAACTAATTAAGTCTTCCTCTTCTTTTTGAGATGTTATTAATGGTACTTTACAAATTGGTTCTGCTCTCTCTTTCTTGGTAAGAGCTTTGTTGCACGATTCCGCTAATTCAGCTATACAATAATATTTCGCTTCTGCCAGGAGCTCCGCTATTTCTTTGGTAGAATCGGGAAGAGAAACACTGCCGTCTCTAAGAAAATTCAATATGGTACCGAAATGCTTCCCGCATCTATCAATGAGAATCCAACCTGTGAATTAAAGGTAACAAAACAGTGGGAATACATGTTAACAAGGTTCATACCGTCCGAATCCGATAGGACTTCCATCCTGCCACTGAACATGGCCCTGAGCATGGTGTCTTGCTTCGTAAGAGTACCAATAGTTGTGTAGTGCAAGCAACCTCCAACGTTGAGCTTTACATATTGCGAAGGATTACCTTTGATAGTAGTTTTTCCAGACATATTCGATTCGGATATTTGCATTTAGATTCTATATCCTAATTTTAGATCTGTGGTAAAATTTAGATTTGATATTTAATTTTCCTATGTCAGTCCGAATTTAAAGAAATGCAAACATTGCAGAATGTTTCAGACGTTTACAAGCGAATATGCATTTTATAACTTAAACTATACAGTAAAAAATAATTAAAAAACGATTTATAAAATGAAAAATTAAACTATGAGAAATGACAGTCAAACATTAACAACTGTCAATGTCAGTTTTGTCAAATATTGATATTTATTATTCTTCTTCTCTTTAATTGACTCGACGTTTAATCTATTTTGACAGTATAGAAAGTTCAAGAGAAATGTAAATATAAAACACGAATGAATATTAGGAAAGAATTAAGAATGGTTATTTTGTAAATGGGAATGAATGCTCATGGTTTAGGGTCAATAATTATTGCGTTAATTTGCATTAAGTACGTTTTCTACAATAATTTCAATGACCACATTTTACTACCAAAGTAGTTAATTTGAACTCGGTACATGCAGATCTAAACACTGTTTTTATCAAAATGGGTAAATATTAATATATCCAAAAGCTTATACATATATTTTTTGCAATATATTTTTATAGTATTGAAATATTTTAGTTGATATTAGTGGAAATATAAATATATCTCGAGAGCAATATAATGAAGTCTGTCGTACCTGCATCACTAATAGTGGTTTAGTAGATTTATTCGAGAACAAGCACAACGAGTTGGTATTTAGTGAATTATTTAAAATGTTTTCCTTGCTTGATGTAAGTTTGTAAAATCGTGTGTATAAAAAATAATTATTACATTTTTAGCTGGATCCAACGGATAACATGCCAAAGAAGATATGTAGCACTTGCGCTGAAATAGTAGTGCAATTTTATTTATTTAAAGAGCGTATACATCAGTCGCAAATTATTTTAAAAGATACATTACATAGTATAAAAATTAAAGCCGAAGTAAAAGAAGAAAATGAAATTCTTATCGATCAAGTAGACAATGATAGTGTGCTCGATTACCCCGCTGAAAACAATACAGATTCTGATATTGATGCAATAGCAGAAGAAAAAAATATAACATGTAGTTTTTGCAATTCAAAATTCTCCTCCTATTCCAGCTACACAAAGCATAGGAAAAAAGAAGCGGAGTTACGAAGAAAAAGGGAACCTTGTATAATATGCAATAAAGTGATAAGTACTTATAAACTTAAAGATCATTTAAATTCGCACACAAAAGAGGCACCTTACGAGTGTAATGAATGCGGAGAAAAATATAGATTTAGATCGAGTTTAAGTCGTCACAAATTCATACACCAAGAGAAAAAACCACACATGTGCCACTTATGCGGTAAAGGTTTTATTCAGGCACCCACATTAACAGACCACATCAGAACACATTATAAAGAAAAATCATTCATTTGCAACATATGTGGCAAAACATTCATAACGAAACATTCATTGACTAATCACATTTACACGCACAAAAAAGACGATACAAATACGAATGATTTGTGCAATTTACTCAGTAACAGTGATGCATCACAAAACACTGGAAATCGCCTAACCAGCCATCGAGAAAAAACCCATTTGTGTAGTAAGTGCGGGAAGAAGTTTTCAACGAAATCTCTTTTGAATCAACATCAAAAGCTTCATTCCGATATTAAACCTCACCAATGCAACGTTTGCAATAAGAGCTTTTCCTTAAAAAACAGCCTAATAAAGCATCACCATATTCACGGGGGCGAAAAGTTGCACGCTTGCGTTGTATGCAATAAAAGATTTTCGCAAAAAGGGCATTTAACTTACCATATGAGAACTCATAGCGGCGAAAAGCCGTATAGTTGTACATATTGCCAAAAAGCATTTAGGTAATATAATTTCTAAGCAATTTCACAATTTTCACCATTTACTTTTTTTTATTTATTTTAGCCATTCGGGATCCTATAAAGTTCATATTAGAATACACACTGGCGATCGACCTTACACCTGTGACTTATGCAAAAAGGGATTTTATGATTCGAGCAGTATGAAGAAACATAGAAAAATACATGATAAATCTATTGAATAAAAATAATTTTAGTAAAACGTTTACCATTACACCACCATTACATCAGACTTATCGAAAAAACAAAAACGCCTTTATAAAAAAAGTTATATATTAATTAATTTTAGTGCACCTATTGTAGCAATTGATATTATCAAGAGAAAGAACATGTATTATCTATTTCTATCAAAACAATCGCATTCTAATATATTGATCACTTATAAACAACGATAATCAAAATGAAATCTTGTTTACGAATCAAGTATTTTCTAACAAAATTCATTTTTTTTATGGAAGCAAAGTAATTTTCAAAATCGTGACAATTCGAACAACTTTTAATCATAAACAAGATTTCCAGATTTGAATTAATGAACACCAGTTGGTAGAAAACAATTCAAACAGAACACTTGAAATTGATAAGTATCTAATCGAAGAAATAAGCCCACAATAAATAAAAATTAACTGTACACACATACTTCAACTATATTCGCTATTAAACGTAAAAAAATTAATCGATCAAATATGTTTAGTTTTTATTAGAGAGGTGTATAAAAACACTTTTCCTACGTAGCTAAACAGCCAAGTAAAAAAATATATAAATCTATAATTAATATGAGACAACGATATAAGACTGATATTGTTACACAAGAACGCTAATAACAAATGCAAGGCAGCTAATTGAAGTAGGGCAGTTGGCTGTTAAAATATCTTCAACAGATGAATTTGTACTCTTCGGATTATGACACTCGAGTACAACATCGAACCTCCATAATAAATTAGAACAAATTTTAATAATGAAATAGGAACACACGAAAGCAAACCGATAGTTTAATAATATGACCTTGCGTTTAGGGATAATCATGAACTTAAGGTTAGTATAAAAAACCTTTCCTTTTAAATCCAAGATTATGAGTACCCTAATAATAAATATAATTTTCACTCTACCACAAATTATAATAAGCACAAGTCAATACCAATTCGCTTTCTGAAATATGTCTAATAAAAACGCCCGATTTATTGTTGCGTTGTTAAAAGCGTTTCATATTAATTAATAAACTATCCATTGTAAAAATTATTAAAAACCAAAATGAATATCAATTATTTACTTTTACATCTAGAACAACCTCTCATTGAAAATAAAAAAATGTACACCAAAATAGGCACATTAAAAATTGCTTTCAATTAGACCGCTGTTTAATACACAAAAATTCAAGCTCAAATAAAAAATATATATAAATAAGATAATGTATGTTTAAATGGTAACAAATTAACAATTATCTATACGAAAAGGTATCAAATTTGCAGTAAAATTAACGTTATTTACCTACAGCAGTATTTTATTAACTTCTTTAAACATCATCCTTTTATGTATGTATTTGCTTTGCTTTTGTACAATGTTTTTTTTTAATAATCAATACATCTCGAGTTACCAATAAACTATTATAAAAAATATTGTCTATCTATAAGTATAGTTTTTTGTAATAACGCTGCCAGCAGCATTAAATGTGAAATTAAAAAAATAATATCTTTTATTTAGGCTTACATTCTACTCCATAACTAATCAACTAAACTAAAACATTTATGGTTATTAAGTTGTTTCATAAAGGATTGGTTGAAAGAAAATATGACACCTTTCCGTTTAAATTATAATAAAAAACAAAATTGAACTAATAAATTTGTTTTCCTATCAAAAAAACCTATTGTTTTAGAAAAAGACAAACGCTATACTATACTTGCGGCATTCCACTACTACTAACGTCCATCATTTCGTCCGCATTTTGCACCATATTGTACGCGTTCGCGCCGAATGGATTGTGGTGATGGGCGTGGGGATGGTGCGGTGGTCCCGGATGAACGTGCTGGTGATTCGCGTGCGAATTCGATGCCCCCACGTAACTGTTCGGATCTAATACGTTACTACTGTGTTGAGTAGGAACAAAATTGAAATGTGACCTATATGAACCGGATTTGCGAGGAGATCGAGCCTTTACTATGGTTGGCTTGTATATTTCTTCCAACACCGACGGTGCTATATAAGTAAATCCCTATAAACAAATATCAATTTCAATGTAACAAACACTCGATTGTGCTCGTATGTAATCTACCTGAAATATTAAATTGGCACTTTCGCTAAGGGTGGATTCGTCTGGCGAATCCACTGGGGTTTGCTTTGTAAATCTTGTATCAAATTGAGAGACATCATCGTCACTCGTCTAAAACAAATCATTAGTAAATGATGCTTTTCGTCAATATCACATTGAAGATTAACTCACAAGGCTGGGCTTAAATGGAGGTTCGTATTTCCTTCGTAAAACATCTTCCCATACAATATGCTTGAAAAATTGATGACGTTTAACAGCAACAGCATCTTCTGGGGCAGCGCCCAATCTCGCTGTTACTTGTCTCTTTAAAAGCTTACGAACTAAATCTCGAGCATCGGTTGTTAAATAAGGAGGTAAATTCAGCTTGCCTTTTAATATTTTCTCTATTGTCTTTTTTCTATTCTCAGCGCTGAACGGTGGCTGCAAATATAATGTATTACGTCAAACTCTACATTAAAATATAGTTTAAATTAGTAATACTTACAGCACCAGTGAGCATATCATACATAAGGGCTCCCAATGACCACCAATCAACCTCTTTACCATGTCCGTGTCTAGTTAAAATTTCTGGGGCCCTAGACAAATAAATATTTTAAAATCATCGCAAGCCTCGAAAGGTTGATTGTTGCAATACATCATAAGATAAAGCACCCATTTTAATGTTTACTTACATGTACTCAATAGTACCGCAGAAGGTGTGAGTGAGAATTCCTTCATTAATATGCTCTTTACACAACCCAAAGTCTGTCAATTTAACATGTCCATGAGCATCTAATAAAATATTTTCAGGCTTAAGGTCTCTATAAATAATTCCTTGTCCATGTAAATGTTCTAAGGCCAGAATGATTTCAGACAAATAAAAACTGAAAAACATCGGTACATTTTCAACCAGTTTAACAACAAGTTAATTTTATTACCAAGCAGTATCTTCTAAAAAGATTCCTTCTCTTTCTAAATGCATAAACAGTTCCCCTCCACTAAGATATTCTAAAATTAAGTACAATTTTCCACCAGTTTGGAAGGCATACTTCAAATCTACTATAAATGGATGCTGAAAATAATTACATTATAACGATTTTAAATCGAATAGATATATTATGTTTGTTCTGTCGATAGGCATATCACATATCAATTACATTAGGATATTCTTATAAAACAGAAATAGTTAATCAAATATTTGTAAGATCTATAGAAAATCAAATCAGGAAGTCTAATATCACATTTTAAATAGTTTTTGTTACCTTAACTTCTTCTAATATATTTCTTTCTGCCTTTGTGTGAGCAGTATCTTTTTGATTTCTAACTATGGAAGCCTTACGGAGTACTTTCATCGCAAATACCGTATTTGCATCTTGTCCGGTAATTTTTCTAACTTGGAATACTTTGCCATAACCACCTTTTCCCAACACTTTACGTAATTCAAAGTCCTGCGGGCCAGTTTTTTCTTGTCCGGGATTAACATTCTGCTCAGTCAGATGAACTGTTTCAGTGTCATCGTTCCTAAAAGCAAAGCAGTCATTAAAGATATGTTAAAAAGCTGCTAAGAACAATGAAGATAATTGTAATACATTAGATTGGTCGTTGTAAATAAATTTTGTAAATGTATGTTGATTAATTAACACAAAATAGATATATTAAGAGTAACAATGACTGGTCGACGATTTATATGTATGTAAAAGAGTCTATTGTAACAGTAATAGCAGTTTTAACAGTGTATACTAGTGTAATTTGATTGAAATAATGATACTTACTCAACAATAGCATTAATGTTGGGATTTTGGTCATATTCATCCTAAAAAAGAAAAGAAATCCATTTAATATTACATAATTACAAAATAAATCTTTGGAATATTTCGGTTTGGCTTTCACATATCACCAAATCAGATGCATCTGTTGCACAGATATGCTTTCTAAATAATCAAGGTGTGACGTTTTGAAAAAAAAAATAAAAAAAAATCACGTTAAATTACTTTACAAAATACTCGTACACGAACCACAGATTAATGAACTAAATTGAAAACATCGCTTTACCTCTTCGATTTCGATTGCATCGTCTGAATCATCTACTTCTACTGGCTCGACATCGTGCAGTTCCAAATCAAAAACACCAGCCATTTTTGCGAAAACTATTCAAACTTACATCTAGAATATCGATTATAAGGCGAGAATTATTAAAAATCTGTACAAATTATTGCGAAATCGGATATTAATTACGAGAGTTTTTAAAATTTTGTGCTTGCACGACACTATAAATTAAGGTTATGTCCAGTCATTGACACCAACATTAATTGTCAATTATCCCTGCTCGAACAATACCAACTAATAAATAGTAAATTACTGATGGTGCCTTTTATTAATTTAGTATACAGTACTTTATGAACGAATTTATTTTTCAAAATAAGTTTTCTGTTTTCACATACATAAAGTTACCATTAAGAATCACTTAAGTATACGCTATGAATACGTTAATAACATTACTTTCACATATTTTAATTTAGTCCCTTATAAAGGGTATCCTGACATTGATTGATGAGGAAATATACTAAAAAAATAAATCAAAATATCCTATTACACGGAAATTGGATGAAGAAATCAAATTTAAATTCTATGTGTAAACAAGTAAACACTTACTTTCCTAATTTGACACGTTTTAAGAGGGTTGGTAGCAGAAAATAAAGTACTTGGTAATCGATGTTACAAATAATCTTTCATTCCTTACTTTTACCGTTCCCTCAGTTGAAAGTTAATCAATTTATTAATTTTATTATGAGGTATTTTTACTTATTTCCTTTCCTTATCTAAATAATTTTCTAGTGTATTGTTCATTTTTTATATCTGTAACATGTATAACAAATGACACAACTAAATTAACGAAAAATAAAAGTACAAATATTTAAAACAAAATTACTTAATTTATTAGAACTACACAAATAGCCTGCAGTATAAACGATTACAGTTTTCTACTTTATTTACAATAATTTACATGTGATTCCTTTCTCTTTGTATTCTCAGACTATATGCTTTTGATACTAAATTCCACGAATCCATATACCTATCCATGCACATCGCAACACATTTCTGAAAAACACAATATTATAAATAATAGAAGCCGCTGAAATCTTACGTTAAAAATTATAAGAAAAATTAAGCAACTAAATTAGAGAATTTGTGTATTTTTTAATGTACCTATTGATGGAATATAAAATGGGGAATATAAAAGGAGTAAATAATTTGTAAACTTACTTGTTCTGAACTATCCAGAGATGTTCCCGGTTTTGAAATGCATTTTTTGAAACATTTTTCAGTCATTTTCTAAAAATAATAACGTTTATAACAAAATAACCACAAAGCCTCCTCTTAGGTAACTTACAGTAAGAAGCTCTTGAGCATTCGCCACAGCTATTTGCTGTTTAACTTGATCCATCAACTCGTCCTTCTGAGCTCCCGTTAATGCTGATAAGTTTTCCATTTCGTTTCTTTTAAAAAACTGTTGATATATCCTTTACGCTCATAAATTCAGGGAAAGAAATGTGATTTCATAAAAAAATTTTAGGTTAGGTTGATAAAATTCACCAATAAATTGACGTTTGATTTGACGTTTTTGACTTTGACTTAGTAAGGTGACAGTCTCAAAAATATTATTTTAATGATTTTTTATTTACTGTTTTAGGACTATATAAATTACAATCAGTATGAAATTATTAAAAATTTAATTCATTAAATATTTCAGTTTTTTTATGTTGTTGCAAAAAGATATAATAATGCCCGGACGAACTGAATTATTTCGGAACCTCCCAATTTCGATTCCCCGTATACTCTATCCACAAATGTTATCGGAACTTCTCCTATTTTGTAGCCAAACTGTCTTGCTCTTATGATCATTTCCATTTGGAAGACATATCCTTTAGACACGCAGCTTTTAATTAGTTTTTCTAAAACATCCTTCTTGTAGAGCCTATATGATCCTGTAAGGTCCGATGCACCAGGTCTTAACAACAACTGCGTCAAAAAATTTGCTCCTCGGGATACCAATTTTCTCTTGAAATCCCATCCATAAACTCCTCCACTTTTGACATATCGTGTTCCGGAGACTATGTCACAATTATCGGACTTCTGTTTCTCTATAAATTCCGCAATAGATTTTGGCTGAAAAAAATAATCGATGAAATATTTCGGTAATCAAAATAGTGGAAATATACCCACATGGTGACTAAGATCTGCATCCATTATAATTATGAAATTTCCAGTAGCATGGTTGATACCGTGAATATAAGCAGTTCCGAGACCCAGTTTCTTTGCTCTTGGTCTTAACACAATTTTATCTTCACCGTAAATTTTCTGAAGTTGTTCAGCTGCTTCTAAAGTACCATCTGGACTACCATCATCGATCACAATAATCTCGTAGTTATAATTGCTGTAAATTTAATAGTTAATATTTCATGCAGGTTAAACTACTATTAGCCTTACCTCTTGTTCATGTATTTCACTATAAGGTAAATGATAATTGGTAAGTTCTGCACTTCATTGTAAGTAGGTAGCAAAATTGAATATTTGTTTGTTGATTCGTCTGCTTTTTGCTTCGACATATTCTTGCACTTGTGAACTCACAGCTTGCTAAGATATAAAAGATAAGTTTAAAAGTTCCAGCTTACTATTTCCAGCAAATTATTAGAGGTAGACGTCAAGATAAACAAATAATCACAGTAATGTATTCAAAAAACGAAGAAAACCTCTTTATAAGCTCTACTTTTATAGAAATAACGCCTTTTATTTATTTATTATTTATTTATTATTTTAATTGCCATGTGACATCTTTCGTTGTCAATATTGTCAAATGTGTCAATGTCAATAATAGTTCAAGTATACCAGATAAACAACAATAAAATTAGTTTACTAAATAAATATTTTAAAATATACATATTTACTTGTAAAAAATAACAATATGGTAAAAATTTCAAAAGTAGTAGTTTGTGGAATGAAAGGAGTAGGAAAAACTACGATTTTAGAACAAGCCATATATGGCCATGTTAATGAAAAATTAGTAAGGATTATTTTTTATCCATTTAATTTATTTAAATAGCCAATTATTTTATTATATCACGACTAGCATGGTGGTTTGTTTTCTACAGGATTTACATCCTACGATTGAAGATATATATGTTGCTAACATCGAATCTGATAAGGGCACAAAAGAAAAATTGAGACTCTACGATACCGCTGGAATAGAACATTCACAAATTTCTACAGCAAATGGAATGACGAATCAACAATTGCCTAGGCATTATTTACTTATCGCTGATGGATACATTTTGGTGTATGATACTGTCAAAAGCACATCCTTCGATGTGCTCGTTTCTATTAAGAAGGATATAGATAAAAATAAAGATAAAAAAGAAGTAAGCATATGTTATATTTTAGTACAGCTAAAAAAATTTAAATTCATTGCATTTTTATTCTAAATTGGTTTTATTTTTAGGTCACCTTAATAGTGATAGGCAATACATTTAAAGAGGACGAAAACTCTGATTCTATTGCGTCAAAAGTCAATCATTGGTGTGGTAGAGAAAAAATTAAACATTTTACAGTTAACGCTTTGAAAAGACAGACTTTATTCGAGCCTTTCATCTATATTACTAGCAAGTTGACTCCACCTCCTAACAAAAGTAGTTTCACACCATTGTCAATGGGTAGAAAGGTTATAAAAGATTCGTAATTTGCAAAGCAATTTTACATTTTTAAGTTAGATCTGATAGTTTTATTTGTATATGTTTATAGTTAAGTGAGTGGCCGGGGTTTGTGAAAATAGGAATCTCTTGTTTGGAAATTAATTGTAACTCATGTTTCAGTATTAAGTATTCTATATTGTTTATGTTTACATTCACCACTATGTAATATAAAGTTTTCATAAAGAAAGTTTTAAAATCTTGAGAAGGAATATTATTATGTATAAGTATTATACAAGTATATTTGATCCGCGTACGAGCAACCGGCCCTATAAGTATTATTTTTTTTCACATAATAATCAGTTGAATAGCTGTACAGTAATATTATTTAAAATAAAAAGAAGAATCAAGAATCTGAACTGTCAAAAATCAAGATTGTTGATTTGACAGTTGTAGTTAGTTGTTATGTCTACCATTGACATTGCTATACAAACTAAATTATTTGATATTTTAGTTTCTCAAAAAAAAACTAAGACCTAAATGGTTTCGTATTTGAGTTGTTAAAAAATAATACGTCGTATAATGTCAGTCGAAGAAGAAATAGAACTGAAAGATTTAATTGCTCAAACTCTTAAGGAAAATGGAACATTGGCTAAAATTAAGGTAGATATGCCTATATTTAATGCAAATGAGTTTATTTTTGAATAAGGTTTTTAATTACTTTCTGTTAGTTAAATTTTTGATTTCAATACGTAATATTTATTGAATATTTCCGGTTTATATTAAAAAAATACATATTATGTTTTAAACCTAATGAGGTAACCTAACGAATTTTACGTTATATTTCTCTTCATTTTAAGGCTCAATTACGTGCCAGTGTTTTCCTTGCGCTAGATGAAGATGAAGAAGTAAGTTCTTATTTACTTTGGTTATAAACTTAGTTAACTAATTTAATAATTTCATTCTAGTTAAGCAAACAAAAGCCTTTTCTAAACAACAAAATTAAGAGTTTCCTAGAAAGCGACGAGGGCAAAGCCATGTTCTACATCGTTCACGAATTTCTACAGTATTTCAATTTATATTTCACGCTAGCTGTCTACGAACCCGAGTCCTACATCGATTGCAATTATCAGCCGGAAGAAAAGCAAAGACTGCTGCAACAGTTGGGTTTGGCAGGCGATGTTGAAAATGGCAACGAAGAACCTCTATTGTACCAATTGCTCAAACTTGCTCAAACATCTAAAAAGAATTTACAAGTCAAAATTGACATTAATGGAAGTTTACAACACCAAGAAATCGATTCTCATCTAATCTGCGATGAATCTGAAATAAGTTCATGTGAGTAATTTGTTATAGAACTTGCTGTACATTCGTAAAATTCATTATTCAGCGCTAATTGTTAATAAACATATTAATTAATTATCGTTTTTCAGTAAAGGAAGATATTTTGGACATTACCGAAGATAGAGTGAAAAAGTTGAAAGTCAATAATGGATTGGTTGAAAAACAATTAAACACTACCTTTGATGTTCACAGCCCATTTTGTTTGAAAGACAACCCCAAGGATAGCATTTGTAATAATAGTCATTGCGCTCAAGTTTTAGATTCTTCCAACGATCCGGATACAGGGAAAAGTATTAATGATACATTTGATGACGCCAGTTCCTTACTAGATGATTTAGATTTGGTCAATCAAAATATTAAAGTTCCTGATGTTAAGAGAAACGGTATAGAACCCGTTGATGCGATTAAGGAGAAGAATAGCGACAAATCAAAATCAACTTCATTAAAATCAAAAACTAATTTCAATTCTGATCTCCCCCCTATAAGTAAGAGAGTTAACGACATATTGCCGTCCTTGTATAATAAAAAAGATAAGTCAAATAATCGGGAAATAGACAAATTTTTCGATACAGATGTCGAGTATGAAGAAGATTTTGACATGTCTTCAAAATCTGAACAGTGTAATCTCAGTTTATTAGAAGAGTTAGAGCAATCGAACAAAAGTAATAATGAAAAGACTGCTTTAGGTAAGAAAGAGGAAAAACCTAAAAGTTCTCCTAGAATTCTTGCCTGTACCAAACAACTCATAAATTCGCAAAAAAACAAAAAATCAAATGATTCTCTTGAAATTAATGGAGGTGAAAATATAGAAAATGCGTCTGAGTCCTTCTAGATGTTATATTGAGAGACGTGTTGTTTGGTAACAAAAATTGTCATTTTCATTAGAATTGCAAGGTTTTAAAGTAAATTATTTGTAGCCTATTTTTTTTTATTTTTTCTTGTTGCCATATTGGTAATTTATAATTTAACAGTCAATTTACAATGCTTAAATTTCTCCTTTTACCTCTGATTGGCCTTTAAGTTTATCCTGGAATTTTCTCACAGTTTTGAAAATGTTTATAAAAAACGTTGTGTAAAAAAAAGTAATTTTATCCACTTTTTTAAAAACTAAGAATTATTGTTATTGTGGATTATAAACTGTTGAGCACATTTTGTAAACGTTGCGTATTTTGTAACAAAAATTAACTTAACTCTAAAAAGTGTTTTCGTTATTATGAATTGTGTATTATTAAACAAGTTGCCATATAAAAGAGTTGTGGTTTTAGGCCTAAATGTGCAGTTTTCGAAAGGCTATCGGGCATTATTAAATTTATACGTCAATAAAAAAATACTCTCACTGCGATCAAAAAAATGGAAAAAATATTTTCAGTAACTAATTCAAAACAGAAACAGTTGATGAATATTACAAAGAGATCGTTGGTTATTGTTTCTAGAAGTATGTATTGCTTTACATTCCTCATACTGAGAATAAGTTAATTTATTTTTAGTTTTTAGACAATACATTTTGTACTTACGTTGTGTAAAAATATTAAAAAGTTGTGCCTTATGAAGTTGTGATTTTCCTAAAAATATTTCAATAAATCATAAACTTTTACGTTTGATTTTTACTAAAATAACATTTACTTCAGCAATAAAATTACATATTAAAATAACATTTATAATACCTTAGCATTTTTAATAGACAAAAAATACAAATTCATTTTTATTACGTAATTACAAGTCGCTTAATTATAAATTGATTAAATTTTAATCAGGGATTATTTCGGTTACCAAAAAAATAAAAACTTGTGATGCTTAAAAATTGCGAAAGCGAGACTTTCACGTTCTGTGAGTTTTTAAATGTCTAACTAAATGCGCTTTTTGTGAAAATCTTTTGTTACACACCTCACATAAATAAGCCTTCTCTCCTGTGTGAATAAGCATATGCTGATAAAGTTGGCCTTTTGTCGAAAAGGCCTTACCGCATTGATCACAATGGTAATTCTTCTCTCCTGTATGTATTTTCGTATGCGTATTGAGATTACTTGAACTTGCAAACCTTCAAAAAAGAGAATACAAAAATGTTTTAGAAAATGCTATACTTAATAAATTTATCATTTGTATACAAGGTGTTCATGTTGAAGAGGTCTAAACCTTGCCTCCTTCATGAAGTACATTTTCACATTGACCTCTTAAACCAGAACCACCATCCATATTTAATTACCTTTTAGGGCAATAAGTACAGCCGTACGGCCTTTCAGATGTATGAATTGCTATCGTATGTTTTGTTAGTTGTTGTGCCGTTGCGAATGCTTTATTGCAAGCAGCACATATGTGATTTTTCTCTCCCGTATGCGTTCTCATGTGGGTATGTAGGTGCCCACCATTTATGAACCTCTTTTCACAAAGATGGCATATATAAGGTCTTTCTCCAGTGTGAATTCGAATGTGATGGACTAAACCCGGTTTTGTTCGAAATACTTTGCCGCAAGTATTGCATTCGTGCTGTTTAATCTTTTTCGTGGATTTCGTTTTGCTTAACGCTTTTATGTTCTAAAAATTATGATTAATACGTTAAAAAAACAACTTTGGAGTAAGTGTGAATGTAATATCGAATACTTGTGCTTACTATTTGTAAACAAATTAAAACTTTTCCAACTTACTACTTTTTCATCTTCTACTTTATTATCTGCATATTCTGGTTTGAGATGCACTAAATCAGTTTTGTCAATTTCGTAGAAAGGTTGCTCTGCATTCGTGTCTATTTCTACTGTTTGCAAAATTTGAGTATCTGGTGATTCAATACTGTTGTTGTGTATCTCGTCCAATTGTAAAGTTTGATGAGATTCCATTGGTAGGTGACTTGGATCACCGTCATTATTTTCTCTATATGTCTCTTGCCCATTAGAATTATCAACTTTTTTTATTTCCATAAAACCAGATAGATCAGGTGCTGTAGGTAAGCTGAATTGTTCAAAACATTGCCGTAATTTCGCATCAGAAGATTCACATTGTGTTTTAAATTGAAACGCTATATTTAATTTAGATATACATTTTTGGCATATATAAGGAGGCAAACCATCACCTTGCAATACCTAAATATCAACAGATAAATAATTAAACGATGAAACACTTAGAAAAGCTTTGAAAAATACCTGTACAGCGGCACAAGCCATTATTAAAATTGAAAAATGCGGAGGCTTAATGGGATCGAATATTGGCATTAATTTAGGACCTTTCTCCAAGCATATTCGACATATATTATTTATATTCATTGTTAAATAATAATTTAATAAGTCGTTAGAATGGTTTTGCATATTTTTGTTATTGTAGGCCGCCATGTTTACTTAAAGAATATCTTCTTTTTTTAAATATTTTTAAAATTCCAAGTGACGTTTCCTTTTTTGGCCTTTTGTATTTCATGGTATGTAACCCTCCTTAGCTACAAATATAGAAAATTTTAAACTTATTTTTAGCAAGTTTCTACAATTTTTTTATTATTTTTGTTATCAGGACGAAGAATTTATGAGTTAAATATTTTATTAACTTTGAATATTACAATTTTGGTTTATATAATAGTAGCTGGATACTATTATCGTCATAGGGCATAAGGGTAATTAATAGTAAAGAAGATAAATTTGACGTACATTTATAAATAATTATTTAATATTTACTGTATTAATTTAAAAAAATAGATTTGATAAGTTTTGATAACGATTTTAGTTTAAAAACTGCAGTGTAACAGTGTTTAACCCCACTATATTAACAATTAAATTTGTTTTCTGATTGAAGTGTTTTCATCCATAGCTGCAGACGTAAGTATAAAACTTATTAACTCGGTTATTTTTTTTTACATTAGAATCTTGACTGCCTTCTAATTTAAGCCTCTGAACTAAAATTTGAATTTGATATTGACATGTAATAGTATATTTTAGTCTCTAAATTTCTCATTTGAGAAATCTGTCATATAGAAAAAACTTTAAAACTTCACTCTTCGACATTCTTTTACTTAAATTGTTTTCTGAGTATTCCGGGTTTTGAACAATTTTGATTTTTAACAATGCTTCAGTCTAGTTCATTTTGTAAGGAAAACTTAATCAATTCAGTTTAACTTCTTCAGCTTAACTCTGTATGTTGCCAAATCAATATTTCTCTTTGTTAAATTTTATTAAAAGATATAAATACATATAAAATTGTTAAATACAAAAAAAACTAAAAATAATAAACTGAGTTTCACAAATAAATTTAATATCATAAGTACATTATTTTAATTATTTTTGGTATTGATATATTCTTTTCAGATGGAGTTTTTAAAACAATATTCACCTGATATTACGGATACTAAGTGAGTTATTTCGATAATCTCGTGCAGTAATTAGATATAGGAAATATTGAGAAACGTTTGTCAAAAGGTTATCAAAATTGTATATAATTCTAAAATCGCCTTTTCATTATCAAAATAGTATTACAAAACAATATGGTATTACCTATTTCTATGTATGTAATTCTCAATATTTACATTACAAAATAAAAAATATCACAAATAAGACTATAATAGAGATATTACGAGTATATGAAAATTAAAAATTGCTACATTTGGATACAGAAATGCACTCTTATAAAATTCCATTTCTTGAAAATTAAACCTAATTTTTGTCGACAGATTTTTATAAACAATGAACTACAGAAAACTTCGAGTTGTATTAAAACCATTCGACTCTTTAGTACGTCGATTTAAGCATTCAAATTCAAGCAAATCAGTATTAAGGTAAACTTTACTTAACGTGAGATCTACTAACAAATAACCTTTAGTTTTATCCAAATGCAGCAATCCTGTTAATTTATTTGTTTGTTTACGAAAGGCACTATTTTTCAGCGGAAAACTCAACCTGCCGCCTTCAGAGAGAAACAAAGCCCCAATTTTGGGCGTACTGGAGAAGTATTTCGATAAAACCAAAGATGGAAAAGTGCTGGAAATATCATCGGGTAGCGGTCAACATGTTGCTTACTTTGCACCGAATTTCCCCAAACTCACATTCTACCCGTCGGAGTACGAAGAATCTCTGATGGACAGCATTAGAGCGTACGCCGCCGAAGCGCCTGCGAAAAACATTAAAGATCCGGTTAGTATAGACGTAGCGGAGGATTGGACTAAATGGAACGTTCCCAACGATTTCGATTACGCTATCAACATCAATATGATACACATCGCGCCGTATCCCTGCACCATCGGATTGTTCAAAAATATGGGCCAAGTCCTAAAACCGGGGGGATTGTTGGTCACTTACGGGCCCTATGCAAATAACGGTGTGTTGGAGCCCCAGTCGAACAGGGATTTCGATAAACTTTTGAAAGCAAGGTTTCCGGGTGCCGGTGTACGGGATATACAAGATCTGATTAAACTGGCGCAAGAGCATGGTATCAGGCTCAAGAGCATGGAAGATATGCCGGCTAATAACAAATGTCTAATTTGGGAAAAAATTCAATAAAGCATTATAAAGAGACTATTTAGAAATCGAATATTTAATACCTTTTGAAGCACTAAAAACTTTTGACAGAAAACAATGGTAAATTTACAAGGACTTCGGCCTTTCCCATTCTTCCCTCGAAACCCCTACCCTCTCCCAAGCTCCATTTTTCATTTTCAATTAGCAATTCAAGTGTCCTCCACCCTATTTTTTCAACGCCCATTGTAAATAATAGCGCTTACTCTTACTTTTTATTTTACGTCAAACATATGAGTGTCTCCCCTTGGTAAATCTTGTCCTGAACTTTATCGCTGCTCGTCGATTTCTCCGCGGGCAAGGACAAACACGAAGCGACAAAGGTAAGAATCGTGGCCGAAATGGCCAGCCAAATGCCAATGCCCAACGAGCAATCGCCCGGGTAGAATGCGGACGCATCTCTGCCGCAGAGCTTTTGCACTCTTTCGCTGCCCCAAGCCATGGGATGTAGCATAACGCCTATTATATAGAAAATACCTACAAATTTAATGTAAATATAATGCTGTAGTAGATGCGTTAACGTAGAATTACCCGCAATGGCTTGACCAGCTCCGGATATGGTGAATATACTCTTCTTAAAAATACTTTGAAAACAACAACTTAACATTCCTGTACAAACCGTGAGAGACATTATGCCCAAACCTGATGGATAATATTTTGTAGATTATGTATCTGTAAAGGTAGTTTTCTCACCTAAGGTTAAAAAAACAGTAGCAGCCTTCCAAGTCGTTGGGAAAATGTAAGATTCCGTAGCCATTCCTCTCAACGCCAACAATGTACACACAGGGTGTTCTAATTTAATCGGTTTACTACATTTTGCGTATACGCCCACACTAGGTCTGCAACAATAAAATGTTAATAAGAGCATTCACTACACAACAGAGAATATTTCCAAGTCGTTACGATTTCCTTACCTATAAACAATTTTTTCCTTGTCAAAGTACACGGTTTCTGTTGCTGCTACCAGCCATGAGGGACTCAAGAAAGCGCTCAACATCAACAATGTAGCCAATAAGGTAAGAAGCATCCACAAGAGACTACGGGCTGTTACAATTAGATATATCATTGTATCTATAACACATATGTAGTTGGAATTAACTTTTCAACTTCTAAAAAAAAAAAAACAATATGAACGTATTACAGTTTCCGAGATCCCTGTACAAAACAACAAAAAAAAATCAACCTGTATAATTCTGATACTTCCGTAATTTTTGATAAATTGAATTACTGCATGCTGCTAACTATGAAAATAACACTCATTGGGGATAAACCGTTTTAAAATTATTAAAATAAAAATGAACACTTTGTATAGTAAAAAAATAATAGGTTAGTTCCAAATTGACTAGAACCAGTCACATGATTAAGATGCAATTGTTCATTGATTATAATCAGTTTCTGATGACCTAATAAAAGATTAACATTTTTCTACATGTCAATGTCTCTATGATAAGGAAAAAATATGAGCAGCTTAACAGACATCGATTCGAAAGAAACGATCGATAACCCAGAGGATATCACCGAAAAATTCTACAGAATCGCCGCTAAGTATACGTTCAATACTACCAAACCGATACCCTATAAAGAAACCGATGATGTAAGTACAGAATTTAAAATTACTTAATAATGTTATGAAAATTTGATTAAAATTAAAGATAGTTAATAAAGCATAGTTAATTATCAACTATTTGAATTAAATTTAAAAATTCCCTTAATAACTAGTAAGAAAACGATCTTATGGAATGTTTTACTACCATACACAGTTGACTTTGAGAAATATAAATCTTGAAGAATTCTTTGTATACCTTCCTGTATCTATACTTAGGGTGGAATAATCAGTTGTACGGAAGTGTCCGCAGACAGACCACCCAACTTGTTTTTCCTATTTAAAAGGCAAAAGGGCAAAGCCACCGTACTTATTTTGGATAAAGTTATGTACAGAAATCTCTTTCTGGAATCAAACACACTCAAAGTACTGCAGGAAACTTTGGAAGGATACAAATACCTGAAGACGTTAAAGTAAGTCACCCGCATTGATGTTAATTTTTGATGCCAAACAACAATAAAATGTATCAACAGATTGGAATTTTGCGGTCTAACGGGCGAGGAAATTAGAATGATCGATAAAATGCTAAAACAATTCGATTGTGTCGACGAAATCAGCGTCAATGGTAACCCAAACAAGGATCAGAATTTCTGCAGGCTGTTGAAACACAAGGTGAAGTGGCTGTCGCTCAAATTGTGCGGCATAACTCCCCACGGTAATAAAAATATTAGCAGATATGTTATATGCTAGTTAAAGCCCAGTGTATAAAGCGTTAGATAAAATTTCAAAAACCACCAAAAAATTCGATTGATTCCTCAATAAATCAATAATTATCAACCAGTTTGATGTTCAGGGGCCAGAAGGATATGCAAGGAGCTGCGCCAGCCGGACGAAAACCCCCTGACGCACCTCAACCTGGCCTCGAATTTGCTCTTCGACGAAGGCGTCGTGTTTATCGCGAAAATGCTGAGGATAAATAGGAAAATAATATCGTTGAATTTGGCCGATAACAAAATCAGAAAGGATGGGCTCTTGGAACTGCTGGTGCCTTTGCAGCGATTCGAACTGACGCATTTCGAAACGGTAACTAGGAGGTACTTCAAGTTCGATTACCAGAAAAGATTAATTGAACCTTCACAGGTAAAGTGGGCATTTTTTTTAAATTCTAGTAAAATTTTATACAAATAAAACTGATTTATTTTTATATGCGATTTCACTTATTTTTATGTGAAAATAAGGAACTTACAATGCTTTCAATTTTAGGCAGATGATAGAAGCAACAGGTATTATGGAAAGCACAAAATACAGCGGTTCGGATCGGATCCAAATAATACTCAAAAACCGCGTAATAAATGTTTACTATTTTTTTTATATTTATATTTATAGCCTATTTTACAGAAACCATTTTGAAAGGATCGTTGAAGACGAAAGCGCCGGCAAGAGCAGCAGAACTTCCTCAACACCCTTTCATACAAGACACTTTCGAAGACATTGAAAACGTTTATTGCCTCGGTAACAACATCCTGATAAATTTGAATTTGTCTTGTAAGTAAAAAGATATTGATCACAAAACAAGGTATGTAAATACATATATTTTTTTTAGATAATAATCTAAACGACGACGTTGCTCCTAATATCATAGACATGCTTAAATATCAATTGAATCAACTGGATTCGACAGATTGCAGTAAGATGGGTTTAATACGTTTAACGCTTACAGGAAATAACATTTCACGAGATTATTTGCTTAAAATTAAGGCGTGCTTACAAGACAAACCCTGCCTGAGCTCATAATTTTAAAACAATTACAGCTTGACGCAAACATCTACAGGCATAACCTGCGCAATTTTAAGTGATAAATACATGGTGGCAACCATTGCGCAGCTTATTTTAATAAGTACATAACTGTACAATGTTTTATAAATAATGTAATACTTGGAATTAATAAAGAGAATTGTAATTATTATAGTGGAAGACGGGTTTTACTATATTAAATGTTATTTGAAAAAAAATGTAGGTTTTATAAAGATTTATAAAGTAGAGAGTTAGAGGGGTATAGGGTAGAAATTATTAATTGTTTATTATTAATAAACAGAAAACTAATATTTGATATTGACACATCTTTGGCAGATTTTATTAAAAAATATTCAAGTTTTATTTAAACTTAAATATTTTAATTATAGTAATAGATTTGTAGCTAGCTTAGCTAGCTGAAAACATTGATTGCCTGACTGGAACTTGTATCAACATGATATGAATAATAATTTAATTCAATAACAGTAGGTATATCAAATTGATGACAATACATATCAATTCATATAAAATAATTTAAAAAATAAAACTAGCTTAGTCTACTCGTTTCATTACAAAATTATTAACATTTATGTTTAATTAACTCTGGAATAATATGCAATAAATTAATAAAATGTTAATCCCAATAAACTAAAAAAATATTGTTAATAAGTACCTGTTGCAGTAATCAAATTGTTTGAAACTTTGATTGTAGTTATATAGCGGAACTTCACTTATTTGATTACTAATGAATTATTAATCCATTATAATCGTTATTCTTTATTCTACACAGCCAATTGTGCAACCACACCCCTCGATGACATCTCATCAGCTGATGCCGACACAACAAACAGGCACATAAATAAATACAGGGGCGCTGTGTATACACATGAAGTTTGACACTTATTGGATGAGGTTATTTTAATCTTCTTTTAATATATAATGGTGGCCTCTGTCAGAGGAATCAATCAAATAGCTTCTACTCTTCTTTTTTAAGTTACACCCTGTATAAGAAGCGTTTCATTTCCAGTGGAATTCCCATAGAGAAAGAAAGATTTTATTTTGTCTATGGGAATTCCATTCTTTCAAAATACCAAAATAGTAAAGAGTAGTAAATATAGTAAATTCTTGACAAGGTCGCTAAATTCATCACTCATTGGTTGTCTCTTCGTGTATTTATTTATTAAAATAGCATTTGTTCTCGACAGATCGACAAGGTCACAAAAAATCCAGAAGCGTAACTTATTATTTAATGTGAAATTGTTTTAATACACAGTTTTAGAAACTGAAATTTTTAATGTACATTATGAACATCCAAATAATGTTCAACAATCTCCACCAATCTTTTTAAATACGGCTTACGGTCTTTAACGTTAATATCAAATTTTTCCATGCCCTTACTCGATTCAACTTCGAAATCCGGAGCATCGTCTGCCTCGACAAATAGCAGCTCCAAAAGGGACGAAGCTACGTTGAAACCGTAGAAAGAGTATTTTTCCCAATGCTCCCACATCGTCGCCACGGGGAATATTTCATCGGCATTACTGCCTAATTTTGAAAGGAACGAGGATAGTTCCTTGTGATAGTAATTTAGGATATAGTCCAGTTGGTCCAATTCCACTTTGGATGCGCCACAGTACAAATATGATGATATATCTATAATGGGTGAGAACATGAAGGAAATTTGGAAGTCTATTATCACCACATTTGTTGGGTTTTCATCGTCATTGTCCTAAAAATAAGATTGTTTAAAACTGTTTACAATATCAACCTATGAATATGAAAAATAAAAATACCTTATACTCAAAAAGGAAGTTTCCATTATGACAATCAGCGTGTGTAACAACTCTTTCTTCAGGCATGTCTTTGATGAGATCCGTAAGCATATTGGGTACACCTCTTTCCACGAGTTTTTCATACCTTTTTGCGAGATCACTTCTATCCATTTCTTTTAAATTCGCAATTATCTTATCCACTGTACTTTTGTACATAGGTTCAAACATAGCAATTTGTTCCACGAACCAATTTGTGAAGCTCTCATCGAATGGTGCCATGACTTCGGGTTTCTGTTCTCTTAGCGCTAACGATATAGCGTGGAATTTGGCGTAATTTTTCATTACCAATTTTATGTGGTTCATATTCATAGGTATTTTTTTGTTGTGCAATTTGTATCCCTTTTTCATCAAATTCTCTTGTACTATAACTTCAGTTTGGTCGGTCACGATGGTTTTGTAGCATTTGGGAAGCGCCTCAAACGGCTCATCTACGAGTTTTTCCATTTGGAATTCATTAAAGAGTGGCACGACTTCCTTGTAAAAGGCTACTTCTCTTTTACACAGAACTTCCCCGAACTTTCGCATTTCCGGACCACTTTTGCTCACTTTGGCGATCATGTAGAGTTCCTTTCCATTTTGGTTTGGCTCGTTTAACGTAATTTTAGCGAAATTAATATCAGACATGTAACCGTCACCTTTTTCTTTCATTCCCTCCAATTTCACTGAACATTCTTCAGTACCTACGGCTTCTTTGAACCAATTTATCAATTCAACACTTTTATCATCCATCATATCGGCGTGTATTCTACTCTATCTCTCGTTACACTGCGATCAATTCTGCTAATACAAGTGTTTGCAACTCCAAGGTTATCAAATCATTATAGGAATTAATTGTACATAATATTTCATTGATAGACCAGGAATTATACGTAAAAAATTCGCAGGTAATAACAACGTTGGCAGCAATTAGCGTAGAAGTTATTGCTTGGAGGTTTTCTAATGTATTTAAGAAATAAGTTGGTATAAAAAGAATAGCTATTAGTAAATATGTATCTTCATGTTTAAACAGTGCGCTCGATGATATCGATCCACCAATATTCAGTAGTACATACGGTAGTATATTGGGTGGAGATGTCTTGAAAAGTAGTTTGAAAGGAGAATTTATTCATATGCTTCATTTATGACCCAGTTATGCAAAATGTACTATAGAGAGAATCTATTGATAGTGCAGATTGTAGCATTCTTTTCAATTGATGTAATCAAAACTAAACAAATTGTTGGCAATAATGTTTGACCGTGATCTACATGTTATGAGATTACCTCGTATTTAAATAGGAAGTTTCTATTGTGGCATTCGGAACATATGTGATGACTTTTTCCGGTTAAGAATCATTGAAACAGCCTAAATATCTAGTGATCTCGTGTTTCTATACACTTTTAACGCTAAGGATACAGTGTATAATTTAGCTTAATTTCTGGTCACGAATTTTATATTTCTCGATCTGTATTTGTATTCTGTATAATAGACGCCCTCTGGAAAATTTCCTTAAAATTAGATTTTAAGTAAGGTCCTTGAGCAATTAATGTTGATTGAAGAGATCTAATTATAGCTTTAATAACAGTAACGTTTAACAAAAATTTGTTTTTTAATTGGTTGTACGGTTAAAAATAACAATTATTGAAGCAGTAAAAAAGCTATAGATTTGTTAAAAATTTGATAAATTTTTTCCCTTTATCAGATTATTTGTACGGTAATAAATTTTTGGGAAATTATATTTATGAGTAAAGATAATACACACTTTTATAAAATAAGATAAATTTTTAAGTAAATTCACCAGATATATGAGACAAAACCACTCAAAAATTTAAGTACCTACATACATATACCTACATAACATCTTAAATTACTTAATACAAAAAAAACTTAAAACAACGTTAAAAAATACATCAATTCGATCCATTTGTCTTGTCATTTTCGATTTCCGCTTCGTATCGCTTCTTGTATAGCCCCTGCGGATCGTATTTTTTAGCCAGCCTTTCCCATTCTTTCTCCTTTTTGGCCATCAAATGTCTGATCACTTTCTCAGCGGTATCCTTTTGTTTCTCATTGCATTTCGTGCATCCTGAAGAGAGAGCGTCAGGAAGTGTCCCTGAAACCAATATTTTAAATAACATAATGATATGGCGAGTATACCTCACCAAATGTAGCTCGGCACTTAAATTGCATTAGATGCGTAAACGGGGAAGAAATATAAATATAAAAAGTTAATGAAAGACCGAATCTCTCATCATCTGAGAATTGCAGGAAGATACAAATTTTGAAACAGTGGCGGCGAATACGTTGTTCTCTTAAATTTTACGGGGTTGTAATTAAACGAAATTTTGGAAAATAAACATTGTATGAATAGGATGCCTTTGTCTTTAAATATGTGTTTTACAACTGCAGTACCCGTCTTTGTGCATGTTAATTTGATAAATAAATTATGGAATTATTCTTTAATTTTAAATCTTTAGTGATAAATGTTCCAGAAATAATAAATTTAAATCAAAAATTAATTTTCAACTCTATAATATAAAACGTTTTGAAAAAAAACTAAAAAAAATATTTAAATCTCTCTAAAAATATAGATACATATAATAACATTCAACTTGCGCATCTTCAATTGATGAGTATCAATGGAGCTACCTGTTAACACTCTTTCCCTTTTTAAAGGCTAGAGTTCTCTACTCACAAAATATTGTTTCGTGTTTCGAGAATAGGCAATCTCCGTGAACCTTAGGTCGGTTTTTACCTCGGTAAAAACAGTATAAGGCCTTAATTTTAATCACAATTCGAAATATCTGTAAATTTGTTAATAATACCAATTGAAGGGTACAGGGGAAGAACTACAATAGTCCATCCAAAAGATTTTCCAAATAAATTAAAATATAAGTTTACTTATTCGTTAGAAAGTGAAATTAAAGATATCTTTTGGCTGGTGTTTTGCGGACATCAGCAATTTTTACCATTTAACGATTTCATTATCTGATACTTAGTAACTACAAAATGCTATAAAAATAAACTATGAACTTAGTTTTGCAAAAAAATGGACTATTGTCGTTTTTCCCCTGTAGCCTTAAATTATATTAGAAATAGAATCTTCTACTTTCTTATTAATTTTATTAAGTAAGTGTTGCATCATTCCAACTTACTTTTCAGTTCTCGTCCCTCGGCCGTGCACGGTCCCTCGTCCAGCATGCATTTGATGTAATTGGTCAGCACCCTCTCGTTTTTCAGAATCTTATCCACGTCTACGTTATCGTATTTGGTGGTGTACTTGTTCTGGCCATTGGCCACGGCGAAGACGATCGCCAAAAGCGACAACGACAACAACGATACGGTCGCGTTTCTCATTGCGGGCGGGAAAGTCAAGGCGGATTACCGGAGCACCAGGTGGACTTTTGATTTTATAAAAACCGCTTAAGAAATCGGAAAAAGAAAGTAAGAGTGTCTCCAATCACGTGATTTTCCCCGTCGAATTGCAACTGTGACTAATCGCCGACGACCTGGTTTTCTTGCTGCTAATCTACGAGGAGACGTCTGAGAATTCGTTTTTAATCCAGATGGATTCGTTCGGCCTTTATTGGCTCCGAATTAAATAGATAAGTTAGGAACAGTTACGAATTTTCATAAAGGAGATTTTAATATTCGTGGTTTGCGAAAAAGAAAGTTTACTTCCTACATGTTATACTTTCTTATAGATTGCATCTACTAACACCTACATCTTTTACAACTAGGTATAAATGTTTTTCTCAAAAATTTTCAATACCTAGAATACATTAAAAACTAGAAATTTGCAACGTTTCCTCGTACTATTATTATAAAATAATGAATTTCTCTTGTACTTCTTCATTTGAAAGTGGGTGTTTTATTTCTTGGTATTTCGTTCGTTAATACCCAGAATTCAATCACCTTACTTTAGACCATTGCAATAAAACTTACGCATTAATAGAATGAAATATTATCCAAATATAAAATATCATTCAGATACAAATATGAAATTATATGATACCTACTTGGTTTGATACATATTCATATTGCGTTTTTAAGCAGAAAAATCATTTAATTTAGTATACACCTGGTAATACATATTCGGTAAATCTCTTGGAACTGGTTAAGGTGTCGTTCTTGGGAATTACGTTATTACACAAATGTAAACATGCAAATAATGCCTGCATAACCAATATGACCGGTATGTTACGTAAATGAAACGTGCATGTGAATGACTTTGACATCTATTTGAAATTGAATGGTTATGGCAGAACAATGAATCGTTGAAGAATGTTTCCCTCGTATTGTAGTAGTATATTTTTTCATTTAAGATATTTAATTATTTACCTAGTTTATTATTCACATTTTGATTTATATAGTGAAAGTGGGAACGTCAAAATAAAAAATACCTTTTCTAAAATAAATAGATGATTTTAATAACTCACATATCACATTTTACTCGCATTGATACTTAGATACATTTAAGTAGGTACCGGTAGTAAAAATTAAATAATATATTCAGTTCAATCAGTTCAAGTTATAGCTGGAATTAATATTGAATTTTATATATTGTTTATATTATTTTTATAGGTATGTGTAATTTTTATACCTAAAGAGAATTTAAAAATAATTAATTATCGAAACAAAACATACATTTTATGTATTTATCCTATATTTCTTTCATATACTTACCTACTGATTTAAAAAATATAACCTGGTAAGAAACTCGAAAAAAAAAACAATTCCACGTTACGTAAAAATTAATTCATCCAAATAATAAATATGATAACTGTCGCCTATAAATATATTAGACTGAGCTATTTCTCGAATCCACAGTCTTAAAAAAAGTAATAATTAACGATTAATTAACAATTTAAACTCACCCTCTATAGTCTGTACGTTATAATGAAAAATGATACATGACAAATGATGAACAAGCCAGAAAATGCCAAATGCTATAGAAAAGTAATTGCCTGAAGTGCTAAATCAATATGAAAACTTGTGCATCGCTTCACAGTAAATCTGAAAATAAATAATGATATACATAAAATATTATTTATTTTTTATGTATACAGGGTGTTTCACAACTATGGAATTATTCAGTCAACGAAAGAAGACATTTGTGTATAAGAACCCATGTCCAAGAATTGTCTTACAAAAAATGTTTTATAGAATTAATAAATTTTATTTTAATTTATCTTTAAAAATAATGCTACAATTGTTCAAAATGTCGTCCTATATAGAACTTCAACACAGCTTCTGGAAACTTTAAAGATCCTTTTGAACTACTCCAAATGGCGAAGTAATTCGTGCAATTAGATCTTGTTCTGTTTCCACTGGTGGTTTCATGTTATTTTAGACAAATAAATTAACTTAAAATGTATTAAAACTCGACAAAACAAATACAAATAGTTTTACAAATCTGTCATCTTAAAGACATTTCCGAAGACATTTCCGGACATGGGTTCTTATACTCATATGTCTTCTTTCGTTGCACTGAATAATTCCTAGAAGTTTTATCCCATAGTTCTGCGAGACACCCTGTATAGGTGGAGAAATGGTCGCTTCATAGGACGCGATCCATTTTTCTGTATAAAGAGGTTACGTTTGTTTCCGGATTTACTGTAATCTTATCATTTATACGATATGAATCGATTATTAATTTTGTTAAATTCTTATGGATTATTGCTAATACGCTACGATTGACTGATGTTTTAGCGTTTCAATACTTTTTATTTAGTTTGTATTACAAGTTATGTCATGGAATTTTTATATTTAATAAATTAAAAGTTGATACGAATTTTAATCAATAATTAAACATACTTTTTTGTCATTAATTATCGTATGCACTGCTAATTGGTAAGGATAAAAAATCAGTCAATTATTATTGTTCTAAGCTCTATAAACTAAAATTAATATGAATGGCACGTATTATAGAACTAATAAGCGTTTGCAGATGACTTCTTCGTGTGGTTAGTTCGTGTTTGATCATGTTCATGTTTCGAGCTAGCATTTCCCTCCTTAGCTGGGATCATCCACCGAGAATTCGATTAATCATTCGAAATTTGTAGCCTGCCATATCCCACAATGATTTTTCAAAAGATTTCACCATCTTTATCTAAAAGCATAAAAGTCATTAAAAAATTATGCGAAAATACTTCCTAAGGGTTTTTCTAAATTAATGAGAGTGTGTTTGTTTGTTGAAAAATGTTTCAGAGAATACACTTTACTAGAATGTTTTACATTCGTTTGATAAAATGGAATTAATTTCATACTAATTATCCGGTAGAGCTATTAAAACAATTATTATTTTTAGGAAGTGTTTAATGTTTTTTGCTTGATCAAAAACAATTACGACCTTGGAAAAATGATATTAATACGTAATGAGAGAAAAAAAAACAATTCAATTGAATAATAGGATTATTAAGCAAAGCTATTTTTATGAATTTCTACTAAAAATGAGATACTGAATTACTACAATATAATTCATTTACCGTTTTGGCGATGGCATTTTATGATGAACGTGCTAATTAATTAAAGCATGCTTGTATTCAAAAACTAATTTCTATTCCAAAAGCTAATTAGACACTGAATTAGGAGCCACTCAACCCAACATTCAATTCAAACCTACGATTCGAGCGCCAAAACAAACCCGTTTATTCAAAGGGGCTTCGTGAAACTTTTGACCACAACATCGGCGATTTGAGCCCCCGTCTCGATGGCTCTATTACCAACAGCAACGATTCCTCTCAAGAGATTCTCGCCCAGCCTGGTTCCCGAACTTACCGTCGCCGTGAAACCGGCCCCGATCCCGTTAGCGAACGGTTCCACCTTGTCCAACACCCTGTTGGGTATGGTGGGCAAAGGGGGCAGGTTGAACAAAACGCCCGGCGTCGCGGGTTTCTTTTGGGACGCGACGCCGTCGTCGTCGCCGCCGCCGAATCTGTCGAAGAAGGAGGATCTGGCCGTGGTGGAGGTGGTGGTGGTGGTAGTCGTAGGGCGGTACTCGAAGCTGTTGTAGGTGTCGAGGAATACCTTGACGTAGACGTCCTGGGGATCCCAGGCTGCTGCAAGTTGAGCCCATACCTTGGGGTATTCTTTCATGAGACGTTTTATCGCCCTGATCGTGACGGCCTTCTGCTTGTCGGTGCATCGGATGCAGTTCGTTCGTATGGCGTCTGGGAGGATTCCTTAAAATTGATTGTAAAATTTGTTAAATATCTACTTATAATAAATTTTGTTTCATATATTTTTCTTTTGATTTTCAGTCAGTCAGCGTCTATAAATTTTTGACAATTTAAAAAATACCTTCATACAATAAATGGGATTTACAATTAAAATCCGCTTTAAGAGCAATTATGTTATCTGTCGATTTCGTTAACTCAAAAAACCTCTGGAGTAAGTAATCAATTTTTGAGTATTAATAATTGTTCATTAATGTGTTTTTTTAAATAACAGTAGACCTACCTAAATAGCAACAGAAATAGATAATAAAATATTTTAAATACGCAACAATACTTTAATGAATCCTTGTAATTTATTACATAATGTAACAATAAAAGTAGTTCAAATTAACTATTAACTTATTATACAGGGTATTTTAATAACATGCTAATACTGAAGAGGGTGATTCTTGGGCCCATTTTAAGAAAAAAACTTCATATGAGCCTATGTCCTAACGTCTTAACTTTTGAGATATAGGTTGTTAAAGTTTAAAAAAAAATCAACTTTTTACTGTCATTTCCATACCATTTTAAATATTTTTATGAAATTTGATTTACGGTGTTTATGCATTAAAGAGCATTTTTGACCTAAAAAGCATTTCCAAACAGTGGCGTCCGTACTGGACTTATACCAAATATTTTTAAGGGTAAAAGTGGTACGCTATTGCTTTTTCTTAAAATAAAAAATATTTTTGGAGGCCCCGTTCAATTTAGAAAAAAATTTATTTCTTAATTTTTTTGGTACGACTCACTGGTTCACATAAAAAAAATAAATGCATTTATTTGTACCCTATACCGCTGCATTAGTCGCTCATATAAAATGGGCCCAAAAACCATCCCCTTTAGTATTAGCATGTTATTAAAAAACACCCGGTATAAATACATAATTTGTCGGTGCATTCGTTTTAAAAAATCTTCTAGTTCAACACCAGAATTCTAAATCTATTAGAAAACGTGACCCATTTCTTACAATATTCGCAATTTCCTTGTAACAATAATCTATGTAGGTAATTGTTTTTTGAAATGGTTCTTAACGATTTCGAAAAATTCCCGTTTGAAGAATTCCGAATAGGTTTTTGATTGCGGATATTGAGAATGTCATAAATAGAAAGTCGCCCAAAACTCGACCTCGATATCTACAAACTGCATGCATTTTATACCTTTACTTATTGTTTGCTTTACACACAATGTAATGACATTATTGAGGTAGGTAAAAGGCGGCTGGCTACATGTAAAAATACACCATCTTATAAACGGTAAATTGTATCTACAAGTATTAAGTACTGTTAATATAATAAGAGGATATCCATTATCCCTCAAGCATTCATATATTTATTCATTTGCTTCGTTGGTTTTTTAATCATTAATCATCAGCTCATTAGAATTTTCCAGTGACTTAATAGCATCTGGTCTTTGTATGAAATTTAACAAAATAGCAATCATCAAGAGTCACACTGCATAAATAATTCAACGCACGGTTAACAGGTTACCTTGATTCTTGGAAACAAGGTTAACTTAAGATTAAAAATACATATAAAAAACGAAACGCATTATCTGCACGTAGGAATCCAAGATATTTGTCCGCAAATGGGTTGGTTGTGTTGGAGAACTCGTCAGTAGAAATTAATCGCACAAGAATTAATTGGATGTTTTTCTCAGCGGAGAAACCTACCTTATCGAAGTAGGTACGTTTTATTGACATCAGTAGATATTTTAATAAAAGAAAACTTTAAATACATGTAGGTATGTAGGATAGAAGTTATAGAAAAGTAGATATGTATGTATGTATGTATTTAATTTCCTCAGTAGTTCAAATATTCGTTCGAATCTAGGTTTTTTTACTGTAGTTACATGAGGTTAATTAACAATTTTGAAGACATTTGGAATCTAACAAGCCATAATTTCCTAATTTCTATGAGGAAACTCTAATTCTTCTTAAAACTACTAGAATAGTAATAAATCTTGTTTGGGAATGTATAATATTGCTATATTCTTTTCTAAACTAAAATTTCATAAACTTCTCATTTTATTCGTTAATGGTTTGATGCAATTTGAACCACTAATATCGTCTTTACATCACGCTCAGTCGTCTAAACGTTGAATTAAATAGTTACGTAAATATGCTACAACTTCATTGCAATCGGACTACATTGTTATTTTTCGTCGTGTGAGAATTGATGTTCCTACAAAATAACATTGGAATAGGTGCAACCGTATTTACGAAATTTCCTCAATAATTTTAGAGAGAATGAAATCAGAATAAAGAAAAAATTTAATTTGGATTGCTGTGTCGCAAGGTTTTACGCCGTCAATAGCAAACTAAGACATTTACACATTTACACATTTACCTAGAAGAAGTAACTAAAGGGTAGAAAGTTAAAGAAATTAACACTAACAAAATTACATAGTAATTAGTTTACAAAGAGGCTATAGCTAATAGATAAATATTTAATTTTTTTATTAGACACATTTATGGTTTCAATAGAGACTAATAGAAAGTGTATGGAAAAATGAAGAAAGGGATAACAAAAGAAAAAATGACTTAAAGAAGGGAGAAACCAAAAGCAAAAAATATGGAAAAGAACCGTGAGACAAGTCTACTAGACTATTACGTTTAATCTATTTGTAAATACTGGTATAATGTAGTTTTTTAGATTATATCTAATTGACATCTTTATTATAATTATGTTTTTGTAGAGAACGTTCGGCATATTAGTCGAACAAGTTAATTATGATAATAGTTTGACGCAGGTAAATTAATCTGGTAGATTTTTCAGAAATAATTCGTGCAAGGGAAAAACCAAATTGTTGATTATAAGCAATTAGCAATAATTTATTTTAAACTCGATTGAGGAAGAGTTAAGATTGTCGTGACTGAATTGCATAATTTACTAATGAATAATTGTGGTAGTTACAGTTAAATTACTATAGAACTGTTATTTTAATACCTACATAATTATATTAATGATATTACTGGTATATTGTAGGTACTTGCAGTTAGAACAATGATATAGACATAGATCTAGACATGTTCTAAAATTCCTAGTACCTAATTTAAAATATTTATAGCTCGGTTCTGGATAATTTACATACCTCAATCATTTTCTAATAATTTAAAAAAACATCAAATATCAATAACATTAATTGTATTAAAAAATTGGCAAATCAACTTACTTTTAAACTCAGCCCCATCGGGTGGACAAGGAGCTTGATTCAACATACATTTCAAATAATAATTAACCATCCTCCTGTTGTTAAGCAACATTTCGATATCCACATGATCGTACTTGGTTTTGTAGTATTCAATAGGACCATTCGTACTTGTCGCAGGACTAGCAACTACTTTCAGGGATTTACCGGTCGCGCCAATCGAGCTTTTCACTTCGGGGCTGGATTTGGCGTCCGTCGCCTCGGAAATGGATTTTTTGGCGAGCGTATCGACTTTTTCCTGGTCGTCGGCGGTGGCAACGTTACACAACGCGACCAAAATAGCGGGAAGTAGCCACAGGAAGCGCGGCATGGCGGTTTTTTGTCTTTAGAAAGCGATCGGAGCGCTGATCGCTCGGTTGGTTTGCTTATGACTGAACTGGTAAATGGTTTCTTGAAGTACCTACCTAATTGAAGACGGTGAGAGCGTTAAAGAGCGAGGTCGAAGTGGAGGAACGAAATTGCGGACGGACTGACCTGAAGATTTTGACGGTTTTGAGGAAGCAATTATATCTGAATTCAATGGGTAATATTTTATAGCTTCCCCTTTTTAGTAATACACCCCCTATGGACTTAGATATTTAAAAAGTACTAGGTGAACTCAACCAAATTGTAGCTCAGGCTCAGGCTCAGACTGAAGATTTATTTACTACCTACTTAATAAAGAATTTGCATCAAGAACATAATAGAAGAGGTAAGAAATAAAAAATAAATAGTTTAATGTTCGTTAACATTTATTTATACTGTCACAACAAATTTTTAAACATTTGAGAACATTTAACACAATTATTTTGAACATTTTGTCAACATTGATATAACTATTCAGGTATTTAAATAAAACAGGCAGGTATAACTCAATGGTGTTACATAGAGACCAGATTATGATGAATAAAATTAATTTGGTTTTCATATTTATGAACTAGTTTGGATAGTTTTTTTGCACATTATTTATTTATTATCAAATCCCCAATTTTTGACATATATTTTAAATACGAGTTTTTTGTAGCTAAGCCATTACCATATAATAAAATTTTCAAAAATTTCTCTCTTAAAAAAAATCACTTGGTTGTGACCTTAATTCATTGGAAAATATGCCGTTTCATTTTTTTATGACTATTAAAAGTTTTCTAAAATTAACAAAATGTATAAAAAAGTTTAATTAATTCATTCGTTTACATTTCTCTTATCTACTTTCAAAGCCATCCTCACAGCTTCTTTCTTTTAGAAAAATTTGTGTACCTATATATCTTTAGATAATATATATGTAGTTAAATGTATACCACTCTTCTCTCAAAAATAAATGATTTAAAAAAGATATGCTTTCTTCCTATGTACAGTACAAAAATACTCGTAGAATTTAGAATTGATAAAATTTTGATTTATCAATAAATTAGTAAAATATATTACCTACGTTAGCAAAATACGTATAGGGCATCTGTAGGTTTCTATTTTTCTATAAATTTTAAAATTGTATAAAAATAATTGAGTGTGAACGTTAAAGAAAATGTAAAACTGTACTTGCTATTTTGATTTAACACACAGGTACATCCAGTAAATTCAGGCATGCAATATATAGAATTTTAAATATTTTCTTAGTACATACAGTAGATTCTCGATTATTGAGCCTAATGTGGAATATCAGGCCATGCAAGATAACAAACAAGCTGGATAGGCCGGAGTTCTATGAACTTAGTAGTATTTATTTTTTACCAATCAATACCAGATGATAATGTATTGATCAAGATTTACTGTTATAATGTTTTTTCTTGCTTCTTATGGAGTACTTAGCCTTTCATTGATTTCAAGACACGCAGAAAATTAACGCGACCGAGAAGTGTAAACAACACATTAACTAAGTAAATAGCAGGCCTTATTCATATGAAAAGTATCTCAGACGTGAATAATTTTTCATTGATAAAAGCTCAATATAAAAGTCAAGCTTACAATTTTTAATTTTTAAAAAGAATATAATCCAGATTCTACTGTACATGTACAGTGTTTAATAGTTTTTAGTATTAGTCACAAGTAAATATCCCACTCTCTAAAATGAAAGCTTATTTTATTTAAAAGAAAAAGTAGGGGATTACCTAAGCAGCACAGAAGCATTTGCTTTTTCAATTAATTGCAGGTATACTTCAAATAATGATTTGGAGATCACCAGTTAGCCTATCATCATATTCACCTGCAAAACTTTTATGCAGGAGTCTCTTTTGGCTCGCTACAGTTGGATTGTAATAGGTAATCGTTCATTTTAGAATTGTAGGTTATCCACATACACTTACCTAGTTTCTAAATATGTTTTACATATAGTATAATACGGCTATGCTCTTTTACTTTGATTGCCAACAGCTGATGCATCGGTAGAAACTTGTATGTTTTTTATGACTCCAAGAGATTCGTGCAGAAAATTATTATAATGTCAATCTCAAAATTAAAAATGTGTAACGAGTAAAAGAACTTAGCCTGTGTATTAAACAAATTTGATCTATGTATTTGTTTCATTACACCTACTTTAACAATAACTACATTTTTAAAAGTAATCAAAAAATGTGTTTTATATTAACATTACCAATAAAATTTAAGCAATTTTAATATAATACTTTATTTTGATTATTATCTACTCGAATTGACTCTAGAAACAACATAGATAGGATAACACCACATCAAACAAAGGTACATGCATACATTTGGACCAAACGACATTTAATTAGGAGGCGTTTGGCCCATGAATACTAAGGGATAAGGTGCCGATTCCGTTTCAGTGGCAACGGACGGTTCTATAATATAGGACGAATAATCCATGAATTCCGTACTTCTCAGCAACCAGTAGGAAGTCATTGTACCTTTCCCCTTTAATTCTACTTCACCTCTGATTTCCAAATCGAACGTTCCGAACGATTCGAGGATGTTTTTCGTCGACTCGCTAACATGAATTTTCTGAGCTGAGGAAATAAATTTACGAATGTTCAAACTTCTTGCTAAATCTGCTTAAAACTAAAACCACTTGATAGAGAATTTTTGGAATAAATATTATACATATACTCTACATTGTATTAATCAATTTTCGTTGGATTCCACTTACGCTTCCCACTGCTTTCCATTCTGCTAGCCGTGTTGACGGTATCGCCGAAGAGGCAGTAATGCGGCATAACTTGGCCTACAATTCCCGCACACACCGATCCCGAATGGATGCCAATCCTCACCTGGAGCTGGAATTCTGGAATCTGCTTGAACGTGAAGACCTTGACTTTGTTCAGAATGGCCAGAGCCATCAGCGCTATTTCTTTGGCGTGGTTGTCGCCGTTCCTGTGCGGAAGGCCGGAGACCACCATATAGGCGTCTCCTATTGTTTCCACCTAAAGTAAATCAACAATTCGAGATAGCGTTAAGGCAATCGATGATGGAACAAAAATAGCTCAAAATAGCTCAAAGACAAAATAGCCCAATGAGTAAAGGACTAATGATTATAGTGATAACTGGAATGTGCTATGAAGCGTACATTCGAATTAAAAGTGAGCTTTACCTTGTATACGTTGTAGCGTGTTATTATTTCATCAAAAGTGCTGTATAATTCGTTCAAGAGATCGACCACCTAAAGGAAGATAAAATTTTATGGTAAACAAAGCTGTTAAAAACGAGTTTGTTAAATATTTTAGTAGATGAAACCTTTTCATTCTGCTGTAAAATGTACCTATACGTGGACAAAAATAATCAATTTAAACGTGGACAGGCCTTAGTTTATAAAAAATTAGGTTTTGAAATTCCCACAATAGATACCTGCAAATTGTTATCATAAAGAAACGAATTCTAAATATCAGTAAAAACTAGGAATATTTTGAAACGACCTGCTTACTTGCATGGGAGTTGCTCTGGCGCAGAAGCTGGTGAAACCAACGATATCGCTAAAATAAATGGTGACGCATTCGAATTGCTCCGGTTTGACTATTTGACCCAACATTAATTGATTCGCCACCGGCCTTGGTAGCACTTGGTACAACAACTCTTCGGATCGTTTCTTCTCCTGGCTCAGTTCTTCGGTTTTTTCGTTTACCAACGCTTCCAAATTGTTTGCATATTGTTCCATGCGTATTAACAAATCGTCTATAATATTTTCGCCAAAAACCCTAAAATCTCTGACAATTAACGAATTTATTAATTTTTATCGGTTTGGTCACTTCTCTTCACAGTTGCCTGTATTTTCAAACATTAGCCGAACAAATGGCTTACCTCATGAAGTTGTACAAGTGGTTTTGTATTTGCGGAAAGGTCGGTCTGTCATCCGGCATGTCGCTCCAGGAAATCTGCATTAGCTCGGTGAGTTTTTCCGGGCAATCGAGCACCTGCACGATTGGTCGAAATGGAGGACTTTCTCTCATTGCAACTCTCAATATAATGTCTACCAAATATCAAAATGATAAATAAATAAAGTAATAGATGAAATGTTAATTGAGTAGATTACCTGCAATAGGAATGTTAAATACTTCCCTGGCTACCTGAAATGGTCCTTCTCGAGAAATGATCTCTTCAAGTATTATTCCAAAACTGTATACGTCTCCTTTTTGATTCGGCTCTGGAATTAAGTCCGCAGTTATCGGTATTAATTCTGGAGCAACCCACATCAACTCTAGAATATAAAATATTATTGGAATGATATTCTATTGTTAATATTGATAATCTTACTTCTAAAATATTCATTGTCCCTTACAATTTCAGTAGGTGTGGTTAGAATGTTTAATCCAAAGTCAGATAGTTTAAGAACAAATCTTCCGTCGATCAAACAATTGCATGATCGCAAATTTCCATGAACAGAAATCTCGGATTGATGGAGATAGATCATGCCCTAAATCAAACAATGTTTTATTTATTAATATTATTAATTAATATCTTTATATGTACTTCAATCATCTTCACCTTAACTATATCATTTACCAAAGACATTCGAAAATTCCATTCCAATTTCAAATCTTTATTTTCCAACACATCTTTCAAGCTACCTCTTGGACAATATTCGCTTATAATGAAAGGATTCGCACAGTCCAGGCAAACTCCTACAAATCTCACTGTATTTTCATGATTAATTTCTTTAACCTGCAATTAATTTCTTCTTAATAAGCAACGAAAACTGGAATTCGAATAAAATGAGGCTTACTTGTCCAATTTCTGTTAAAAACTTTTTATTAATGTCGATTCTTTTGTTCTGCGCCATCTTTATTGCCACCTTATTACCTCTGTACATCCTCACACTGGTTAACTGCGACAGATCAGTGGAAGACACCGAGGGTCTGTTACTGGAGATGCGATATGGCTAGAAAATAGTTATCTATGAAACTAAATAATATATGTAAGGGCTTGAGTATTTGGATAATTTCATTTACTTCTGATGATGTTTGCCCGCTCAAAGTTGGAACTGGGTACAATTCTTCTAGCTGGATCCTCCAAGATGTCTCGTTTAAACTTCTCCTGCTCCTCCTTAATACATAATATTGATTAGATATGCTGTATATTTTTTAGAAATTTTGTTGTTAAAGGCGATTTATCTTACCTGAACATACAGAATATTACAATACCAAAGAATGCTAATATAGCGCCGATAACGATACTTCCGTGAATAAATACGTAATACTCTGTGAGCAGCATGAAAGAATATTAAGTATGTACTCATTACTTCTATTAAATAGTTAAGTATACACCGAAGGTTTATAAAATTTACCGGGATAGAGTGGTGAAGGTGAGAAACAAGGAAATCAAGATTGTGCGTTGTAAATGTTAGAATCCATTTGCAACTTCATAACCGGAAGCAGAATCCCAAAAAAACTAAATAACTTCTATAACATACCTAAATGTTTACATTTCGGATCGTTACCCATGAATCCGCATTTCGGTACATCAGGAGGCGCCTCCATCCTGTTACCTGGCCAATGTATGTAAGAAACTGGAATGTATTCTTTGGACGAACCTTTGTAGTGACCAACCACATCAAATTTACCAGTCAAAGGATTCAAATCTAATATCGAGTAATCGGCATCCCGATCGCCGTTGCTGTCGATTCGCACTTGCCCAGTGATACCTACAGAATAAGTGAAGAAAGTGTAAAGGCAAGAAAGAAACTTTTCTGTAAAGAACCTTTCTTCGCCAAAAGAAATGAATTTCGAAGCTTAAAGTTTTAATGCTATTTTCATATGTTTGTAAGGTTTTATATAACATTGAAGATAAACTCTCCTCTATTAATTCGATGAAAATCCTTTCTTTTTTTCTATTAACTAGTAGATACATGGCTAAGGCTTTAATAAAACTTTTATTCATACATACGTACCGGAGAAAGTCCTATTCCACATTCTTTCTGTTATTCTTTTGCCATCTCGAATATCATTACCATCGTGTAGAGTTTCGTTTAGAGCCATCCCCAATAAATAAACGCCATCGTAAAACGCACCAATTACAAAATTGATCTACAATCGCAATAAATGGTATGAATGAATACAAAATTGAGTAGGCATAGATTACTTGGCAAATAATAATTAAGAAGTTGGATGGGTCTTAGAAAAAGTAAAAGAAGGGATAGAGGGGATCGATATTTTATATGCCAAGTTACCTTTGGTGAGGTATAAATGAATAAATGATAGACTTTCTAGAGGATTTCAAGGAATAACACCTACCTCTTCGTTTTCGCTAATAGTATAGTTATAATCTTCATACGATTTTTGTTTAACTTTGTCGGCGAATTCTTGAAATTTATCACTGGTTGGTTGAAGTAACGATACCTTTAACAAAGCCTCGTAAGCCTTTCTGGCGTTCGTGTCGTTTTCGTCGCCGATTTTCCAATCGTGATCGCCCCAGTAAGAACCCTATAATAAATAATTTAGTTTCCCATACCCATAAGTAATTAATTGAGAAATCTCCGCCATATTTGATCGATACTTACTTGGAAAATTTCAACATCTAGGAATATGTAATCTCCATTCGTCATATCTAAACTGTGAGCGGTCAACATAAATTCCCTTACTAGAGGTCCTCGTACGCACAAGATAATAACTAAAACGTTATAGGTAATTTAGTTAAATATATTTTTTATTATTTATTATAATATTTTTTTATTATAATTATTTTTCTAAAATTGTAACACCCTGTAGCTCGAAAACTAGGTTTAGGTTTAGGAGATATATTGATATAAACTTTTCTTCTTAAAATCACCCAAATATTCACATCCTGAAGTATCGGCAGTCAATTAATTAACACCCTATATGTATAGTAATATATTTGCAGTTTGATACTTTTAAGAGTTCAATGTTCTTGTGTATAAATTATAAAATAGTATATAATTATTGCTTTGCATTCTTCATTAAAACTGTTTATTCTTCATAAATAAACGACAAATAAATAAAATACATAAATAAATAATATTAATTGAAACTTACCTCTTGAATACATACTAGCATCTTTCAAATAATCGACAATATTTTCATCCTCGCTGCCGTCTAAATCTTTTACGTATGTTAGTAAAGAACTTTTTCTTAAACCATGTTCCAGGACTTTTCCTTAAAATTGAAATATTCCTTGTTGAATTAACAATAAATGCGGTAGATATCAAACGAACATAGTGTGACGAGGTGGCCGAGTGGTTAAGGCGTTGGACTGCTAATCCAATGGGCTCTGCCCGCGTGGGTTCGAATCCCATCCTCGTCGAAAATGCTTTTTCAATTATTTTTTTTTTGTTTACGATAAATTATTTTTTTTAATCAAAATGCTCATAATTTTTTAATTATTATAATTAATTAGTCGCTTAAATTTTGTTTTTTTTTTCGTATTCAGCGCTATTCAACCCGTAAGAGATTACATATTTACCGTCAACAATGTCCATAGTTACTCCATAACAACAATGTGAAACTGTAAAAATAAAGACGCGCCTATAACTTTAAGAAAAAAGGGCTGAATACAGATGTATTTTTAGAAATTGATTTTCGAAAATTTGAAAGTTTGTACTCAAAATAATTCGTAATTTCGAAAAAGGTTTATCATGTATAATAAGCGTTATAAAAAGGATAAAAAATAAGATTTATATATCTTTAAAATTTAAATATGATTAAAAAGGAAAAAAAAGTGCCCCGGGTGAGGATCGAACTCACGACCTTAAGATTATGAGACTTACGCGCTGCCTACTGCGCTACCGAGGCGCTGAAGAAAGTAGCACAAACTCTAATACTTAAGATTTAAGATTCTAATTTTATATTTATTTTTTCGATACCGAATTTCACTTATTGTCTTATTGTTAGATTAATTATAATAAAAACAAATTGGGTTACTTATGCGCTCTACTAATTAAATTTATTACTTACCTTCAACGATGACATTTCAAATACATAAAAAAATCGTGGAAAAAATATAGTGTTCAACTCCTGATATATATCAGCTTTCTCAATTGTACCTAATAGACTAACTTGTCCAACTATTACCTTTTTTAAATAAACATTATAAAAGGAAATAAGAAAGGACTTACCCACTGTGAGAGAAAACAAATCCGATCTATCGAAAATTAAAGCGATATGTTTCCATGAAAACTGCTTGAAAATGCTTTCAAATACATTGGTTAGTCGACATTGGCAATATGACATCCGTGTCAGAGTCGGATATTTACTTTTATCTGCGAATATTCCCTTAAAATTTAAAACAAAATATTAAATATGACCATAGACCTAGTTAATAGGTCTATGAATATGACCCATATGTCTGTTTATTCTTATACGAACAGTGGTGGTGCGAGTCACATTTAAACAAGGGTAGTAAACAAATTCGTTTGCAATATGTTCAAAGAGTTGAAGAAAGAAATATTATTAAAATAACAGTGGTTAGAGTAAGCGAGTTGCAATACCACAATATCGCTCTTTCTTCTTCCTTTATATGAGACTTATGGAAGTTGTCTTTGTTGCACCTGTAGACCATATTGCGCAAAAATTTGCAATTACCCATAGGAATGTATTTTTTGCCAAAATCAGTCTTTTAAAATTATCTAAGATCTAAGATAGGTACTTTTATCTGAGGAGCAATGTACAGGGTGTTCTCGAACTTATGGCACTAAATTCTAGGGCACTAAATCGGTCTCAAACTATGCGAACTACCACCCCTAGAATTTATTTCCATAAGTTTGAGAACACCCTGTATACATATACTATAAGGGAAGTAATAACCTAAATAAAAAGCCAGGAATTGCCCTAAAAGGGTGTATTAAATGAGACTATATACTCATAAAGGTATGTACAACAGCGACAGAGTTAATTGCCAAAAAAATAAACATCATTAGGTAAAAAATTAAATTGAGAGCATCATCCTGTATACTATACTTAGGTAGGTAAACCATTTTAAAGTATCATCCAATCTTAAAGAAACGCCTCTATTTCATCCACCTACTTATTGAAATTAACCTTAAACACCGAAACTCAATTATACCGACGGCAGAAATGCAATAGTCACGAAATTGAGTCATTATACCATCGGTAGCTCCAAAACATTTAACTTCATTAAGTGAATCTCTCAATTGTCAATACTAATCTAGCATGGAAAGTGCGTGATTGCGACTGATCGTCCTCATCCAATAATGACATATTTATTTTATGAGCTCAATCACGGGAAATTCTCCATAAGGAAATTCCAATGATTTCGCTAATGCTTTTTTTAACAAGGGCAATAAAAGAACAACGATTCCTTTTTTTACAATCTACCGTTCCTTGCTGGAATAAATTACTACAATTGAATACTAAATGCTAAATATAACTCTAATTCTAATTGCTAAATAAATATAAAAGAGCGAACTCTATAAATACGTAAATCTGATGATGATACCTATTTTGTTGAGTACCTAATTGTAAAATAGAGGCTAATGGGGCCATTTGAATGGACAATTAAAAGTGTTATTACAACGAATTAAAACTTGATTAAACAAACTGTCTGGAATATCAAATAACAAAAATGGAAATCTTGTACTTACTGCTGTAGTGTTCTTAGCTTTCATAACGTTGTAGCGTTTTAACATTCTGGATGTCACTGATATTTGGCCTTCTGATTGGGGCTTAAATAAATAGAAATAAACAACTAACACTTTGTTTAATTTTTGTAATGAGAATATTTAAAATAATTTGTGAAAATAAAGTTTCCCAGAAAAAAACATCGAGTCCCTTTCCATTCCTCAATGTTAAATAAATGAAAATGAAAAATTAAATTTAGAATACATCGAAGAACAGGAAACAAACTTGAAATTACCTGATCTCCCATTCCGGTAATGATAGGAATATTCCAGTAGGCGGACAATCTGGCCACCGGCTCTAAAGCAAACAAACATGCCGGTCCTACGAATGCAATAACGTCAGATAGGAAGTGCATATCAGCGGCTAGTCCCGGAGCAAGGGTTCCACTGCATGTAGGATAACTAAAACAAAAAAAAAAAACAAAAATAGGGGACACCCGGGTTTGAACCGGGGACCTCTCGATCTGCAGTCGAATGCTCTACCACTGAGCTATATCCCCGTTGGTCGTTCGGATATAGTCGTTCAATAAAAAGACTGTAGTTTATTTTGCTGTAGTTACGAGGGGAATCCGATATAAAGTGCGAACCGCATGTAATTAATAAATTCATTTTCTCAGTAAATATTTGCATAAATAAAAAACGCTGAAATAGGTCCATTGTTGTTTTTTAAATTAAATTTAGTAACTTCAAATTTTCACCCCTAACTGAAACCCCCTCAGTATGAGACTTATCACCCCTAATTTTTCAAATTAGAAGGGTAGGCTTGTAACACTTCATTTGAAAGGCATTTTTAATACCATAATTTAACATTTTTTTAGATGCTTTTAAGTAATTAAAGTGTAAATAGTCAATAATAAAAACACAAATAATAATAATTTTTATTGACAAAATACTCGATTAGTACCTTGAAACTTTTATATATCTAAATTAAGTAAATAACGCTATTCCTACGTGCCTATTTGTTTTAATTAAACGTACTACATTATGTAGGTATGTCTACAACTCTAATACATATAGCAATAGAGAATATACCTCCAATAAATACCTATAAATTAGGCGTCTAAGTGCGTAATTATCTTAGATTGTTTTACCAAATTATCTGCACGTATGCTCGTAAAACAATCGCATTGATGATGGCGCATTAGCACACTGTTGAGTGGATATAAACAGGATTAACATGAGTGACAAGCGATGGGAACGAACGAGGACAAGCTTGATTCTAGCCTTTCTAGGATTAATTAAGGTACGTGCTAATTTGGCGACGTTCATTAGACTCTTGTCCAGTATACGCTTCGCTTGCGTTCGCTTATTTTCAATGGCATGTGTCGATTTTGTACGTGTATTTCACTTCTGGGGCGTTCGTCACAGGTACAGTCAATTTAACATGGGAGATCAAAGTAGAGGGCTAGAGAGCTTGGAGATAAACATCAGTAGATATTCATAAACTCACAAAAAATTATCTTTGGGTGTCAAGCTAGCAGCGTTGTTAGTTTATTTGTGAATTTTTTCACTGTATACTTAAGGGTTGAAGAAAAAGGGTAAAGTACTTTTGGGTCATGCACAAAATTTGATGAAATTAATTAAATTATTGAGGTAGATATAGTTGCTACAGTACAGATATTAATTATTACAGTGGTAAAAGAGGCTAAAACTTGCTTAAAAATGTGGCTTTGTTATATGAAACTCTGAGGGGCACAATTAAATTCATGTCTAATCAAATGTAAAATTATCTAGCGTCGCATTTTCAACATTTTAGAAATTATTTAATCTAATTTATTCATGTCGATGGGATTCTGGTTCTTTTGAGATTTTTCTAAATGTTGGTACATTTCGAGAAAATAATTAAAATTAATTAACTCCCACGAATTTTAATAAACATGAATTTTCACCCAGTAAACTATAAACCTATTGCCAATCAGCATCGAATAAATCATAATTTGAAATCATCTTACTGATATCATTTTTTAATACAGTTTTTCCCGACCGAATTTTCGAGAGATTGAAATAAAAAAAAACATATGCAATATTTTGTTTTTCCAATTTACCTGCTCTGAACTTTGGTCAACTTGATCTTGTGTTGCGAAAGGAACTTCCTGTTGATTTCAGCCAGAGCCATGTCGATTGCGGGGCCGCATCGCTCCAGATCGAAGGGGTAATTCATTTGGGACGCCATCAGGACGCCCACTTTGTAATATTTGAATCCATCCTCCGTGGGATTCGCCGAGCCCAATGTGCACACCTCGTACGACGAGGAAATGCACAAGAACCCCACGACCCATTCCCAAATATTCATGGCCTGGAAAATAGAAAACGCGATGCGACCGAAATTGGTAATAGTAATAGAGAAAAAAAATCGTTATGTTTTGTGGGTTACTTTTGTACAATGCAGAAAATTTAATTTCTGCAGAATTTGAAGTAGGTAATACAGAAACATTTCCGAATATTTACTCGCTTACTAAATTAGTTCGTTGTATACTATAATTGGACGTGAAAATGTTAATTGGCGATTTAATTAAATTAGTGCTTCGCCGTTACTGTTTCAAGTATTTTACAGCTAGTTCGCTACGATTTGAGGAAATGTAGCTACTTTTGTTTTTAAACTAATAATGTGATCATAATTGTACGAAATGGAAAATTGGAAATGAAAAATCCTGTGGATATTTATGGAATTTACTCATTTTCCTTCGCTTTACAATTTCTATATTTGAGCATCATTTGTTATGTAAGTATGTAAGTAATTATACCTTTTATACCTAGCATTCACCTATTTACAAAGAGAATGTATTTTTCAGATTTTATTCACCCTTCTTCTTACAGAATTTATTTGCAACAATGCATCTACAACAGACGCATGATTTTAAACCTAAAAAAAACCTACCTACCTAAATGTTTATTTTAGGAAATATAAGCCATTCTGATTTCATAGTAATTTTAATTTTTGTTATCTACGAATGTACTATTTAAAATCGAGTTTCCTTTATACTATCTTAAAATAAAAACAAATGTCCTTTTCCATGCGGGATGGAAAAAAATGAAAAGCAATATGAAAATTACACAAAATCACCTACTCGACAGTTTTTTCTCGTTAAGCTGGCGTTTATGTAAGAAATCTATTTCACCGGAACAAAATAAGTCCTCAATTTACGGCTCGTTAAGTTCTCGTAACGCCGTTTAAAGTTCCTAATAGCACCTACAGGTGCGTTGATGTTCCTCCATTCGGTCTTCTCAACATTGAATAATACATGAGACGGCTAAACGTTCGACGCTTTAATTAAAATTCTGCTATTATTGTAGGAGCATTTGCTCACAAGTTGCACATGATGTACTTAAGAGAATATAAATAAAAGACTCTCGGGATCATTGCTAATTCTTAGATAAATTGGCTAGTCTGATTTTTCAGAGCCAGATCAATTAGTTCTTTAATTAAAGTAATGGAATCATTACAATAGGGATTTTCGTTAATCTTGATAAGAGCCAATTTGTTATTGTCTATTTTATTATTAAAAATTTGTTTATGAATATTTTACTCATTTTAAATGATCAAAATTCTGACCTTTGCGTTAATGATAAATTATTTATTCTTCCAATAATATACAATATTTTATTATCAAGTTAATTTTAATTTAAATTAATTGTTATTCTAAATAAATTGAAATATCCTGCGATAACGATTTTGTTCTTTGATGGTTGAAATTTTAGTGAAAATTTCATAAAAATGTTCATAAAAAAGTTCATAAAAATGAATTTTGTACATCCAATAAATAAAATATTTCACTTATTTTTGAAGAAGGGAGAAAGGGAGAAAATGTGAGAAAATGAAACATCTCACCCATCCTATCAAACATTACCGTTCCTTGTTCTAAGATATACATTTTTTACCGAAATTATATTATATTTCTTTCTATATTTTCTATATTTATATTTCGAAGATTATATTTTTTATGACTATAAGCCTATTTAAAAACGTTATACATTAGAAACTTTTTAAGAATTTTTTTTAATTTCAGGAATAGGAATTATAAATTGGTGAGTATCTTTCTTCTTCGTGCGCGAAAAAGTCTTTAATTTGCATTGAAAAAATTCATATTATTATTAAAAAAAATAGTAATTATAATACTTAAGTATCAGTGCTGAAATAAACCACTAAAAATGTAGAGAAAATTGTTAATTAAAATAATTTTCTGTTGAAGTAACTATAAATTTAATTTAATATCTCCAATAATAGAATAATTGTAGGTATAGCGAATTATTCACAAAATTACCTTAAACTTTATAATGTAAGTTTTAAATTTTTAATTAATTCTGCCATGCATGTGTATTTTTTCATATACGAATTAACAAACACAAAGTTTTTAATCCGAATTAAATTAAAAAGTTTTGTTCAACCAGAATTAAAACGCATATTTAATTTTAAATTGTAGCCTTTGGGTAATTGCGAAATTAGGTAAATTTGAACTAACCGAAAAAAAAAAATACAGCATAAACCAGGAATTAAACTCACCTTAACCTTAACCTCTCGTTAACCGACAGCTTCGAAGAACAAACTGTTCCGACCGAAATCTGATTCACTTTTGCTGCGTTTCCGCTTCCTCATCCAATAAATGATTCCAGATTCGCCGGATAACGGATTTCCAGAGGTGGGATACGTTTAAACGCACGAGCAATGCAGTTGCCTATTTCAAGGCCAATTGCCACAGTGGGGCTACTTCCGAGTTTGATAAAAATATTAGCGGAGGCGTATTGAACTGATCGTCTTTAAGTTGAACCACTGTATTGTATTTCTACTAAATGCTACTACATATTTATAATGCCAACAAAAAATATGCAACTGCAGCCCCTCTACCACACTTTTTTTGTCAACTATTGATAATTATTACGACAGTGGTAGAAAATAAAGGGTTTTTCGGTTGTTGATACTAATTTTCCTTATTCATAGATACTGTTTAAAAAGATTGTTTATCATCATAATGGTAAGCTATAGATTTGAAAGGTAAGTAAGGTAAGAAGGCATGTTTTATACTGTTTGAGGTGTCAATAAACGTATAAAAATATTCAAGAATTGTGTTCTTATTTTCATTAAATGGTGAATTTGATACATTATATTATTATTATCATTTTTTTGTTGATAACTTGCTCTAATTGAAAATATAATACGTGCCAAATTCGATGAAGATTTAAATAATTTTGGAGTTAAGTAAGTTTGATTTTCAGTTAGCTCTTTATACAGGCTATAACTTGTTTTGTGTGGCATTTTGGATATAAGTACCGGTAGGTATAGATAAAAAGGCGTCCAAATGACCCCAGAACATTCATGTGGTAAAATTAATAATCCTTTTTGTTACACCTTGTATATTATTTTACACGTTATTTATTTTTTGTACGTTATTTTAATATGAAGATTTAGATAAATATCAAATATGTTTTTACAGAAAATAAGAAGTTCATCTGAAATTGCTGGGAGTATTTCGGTGAGAAAGAAAATGAGATATTATTTGCTGTTTAAAATCCGTAAAGGATCAGTTGCAATATTCTACTCTGTCGCTGATAATACAGTGTCGCATACTTATTTCATTCATGGTTGTGATGACAACCGTCATCTACATACACGTGAAAAATGGAAAATGAAATATTCGCCGACGGAAACGGCATTAAGCGTCATCAGGCCGATGCATTCTCATTACTTCCGGACGAACACTTATCGAAATAGCCCCGATTTCCGGCACTTTTTTCAAATACCTTATAACGCGCAACGAAATGGAAAACTGGAAATGAAAAAATCAAAAAGTCGGAGAATTTTTTGGAACACAATAATAGATTTTTGGCCGGAAATTGTGTAAAATATTTTGCAAGTTATTACCTTCATGACTCGTTATTAATAAGCACCATTAAAAATGGGAGGTTATTTTAATACCCTTAATAACATCTAATTTTATCAGATTGTAATTATTAACCACTCTGTACTGATGAAAACTGGTGTAAAGTGGTCTTTTGTCAAATGGCAATTTATCGGTATATCGGGAAATCGGGCGTTAGTTAGCACTACGTTAGTTAGTTAACAATTTATTAGTAATAGTTGGAAAATTAGGTAAGGTATGGAGGAAAGTGGGTAACATACTATCGGTTTCGAAACGAGCATCATTGTGCATAGCATTAACTTCCTATTTATACATGCATGGCTGGACGCTGAGCGACTATTTCGCGCTTGTTACATTCGACACTTCGTATGAAACATGTCTTTTGTGTGTCGAATACGCTCCAAGAACCATATTTTACAATATATTTCGAATGTATCCTCATTGCGCCATCTCTTCGTAATAATCCTTCAAAAATTGCATCTACATAAAATTGAGGATCTTATAGTAAAACGGTACTTACATTCTAAAGTACCTATTTAATAGGTACCACTTCGATTGAGTATATCACTATTTATTTTTAATCCGAGTTTTCCATGTAAGGGAAAGAAGAGGAACTTATTAATCTTTTCACCAGGAATTTAACACTATTCATTTGATTAAATAAAAAATCTAATTAAAAAAGTTAAGTTATATGCGAAATCCAAAAATTTCCCAAAATATTAAAATGTTTATTCTATTTAAATGTTTGTAAGTTATTTTTTTTAATAAATGGTGTTTTAAAATAAGGCGTTTAAACTTACCCGAAACAAAATACAAGAAATACACAGAAATTTTAACCGCCAATAATTGGCGATTTTCAACCAGCGCGTAGCAACGCTAAAGTAGTTCTGCTGTGTTTCTTTTTTAAATAAAATGTTTCCAGACATGCCAGGTAACAACACGGCTGTCCAGAATTTCGTTATACGTTAAAGCGCAAGCATAATTATCTGAAACCCAATAGGTATTCGAAAATTAGGCATTAGGCAGTAGGCATTCGAAATTATTTAATGTTTATTGCTGTTTAAAATAAAACACAAATTAAACGTAAATAAATAGTTATATAATTTATTTATAGTATATTACAATTTAAAATACTGCCTAGTTTTCTACAAATACAATACTTACACGTAGGACTTTAAATACTAAATTTAAATATAAAATTATGTACAAATTATATTTCTTCCAGGTCATCATTGCTACAAGCCTGAAAAAAAAAACTTGTTAATTACTATTTTTTGTCTGTTTATAAGCCATAAATGTTTCATTAAGTTAACAGCGAAACGTAAATATAGAGAGTATGTAGGCGTAATTAAGAGAAATATTTATCATTGCATTAGGGCCGGATTGTAGATAATCTTAGTTTATGCAATTATTCTCAACATCAATAATAAAATGAACTCATTTGATTAAATGCACTACGTAAGTATATGGATGTTAAATTTCATACATGGCGTTTAAAATAATACATTAATTATGTTATAATCAGGCGCTATGACCTTTGGAATGGCAATAAATCTCACGTTCAAAATTGTTAAATTACCTACTAATAATAATTGAATTCAATTACCCATAGTTTCTTGTTGGATTTCTACTTTATATGTCGGGTTATCGTAGGCGGATTGACTAACCCTGGACGGTGGAGTGATGGCAGCCTTATTTTGATTGTGTCGTCGTATTAAAATGAGCAATAACACCAATGTGCTCATAATAGCAATAGCTGCCAATATGGCAACGATGACTAGAGGTCCGTAATAATCGCCCTTTGATTCCAAGTGCTCCGCCCTAGCGAGCTTATCTGCAACAAATAAATATACCAATTAATTCAATAGTGAATCGAAGGTAGAATGATCAAGTGGTTTTTCAGAGTTTTACGTTATAAGTCAAAAAATAGGCGTTATTTCTCGGCTATGTACATTTCATAAATGGAATGCATCAATTGTCAACAATTTAAAAGTCAGGAAATTATGTATTATTCACCGGATTTGCTTAGGAAATTTAAATCTCATGTTGGTATAGGACACTTTTAACTTTATAAAATCAGGAAAATAAAAAAGTAGTTACCTTGCTGCGTAGATGCTCCTAAAACAGGAACTGTCCGAGGTTTCGTGATAAAGTCTTGCACGTTACTAGTTTTGATTTTGCCATTAGTTAGGTAAACTTCCAGCCACAGCCTGTACCTAGTACCAGGTTTCAAATTTTTGATGATCGTCTTGGTTGGAGAATCCCTCTTCGCTATTTTGAACAAACTCTCATCCTCCTTGCCGGAGTCGCTTTGGTAGATCGCCCTGTAGATATTAACGTACTTATCCTCCGGATAGGGAACGCCGTTCCAAATTATTTCGACGCTTTGCGATTTGATCGAGGATATTTCCAAAGTAACGTTGAATCCGTAAGTGTCTACCTCGTTAGCAGTGGTGAAGTGAAGCATATGCTCCGCGTGGAGTTCAGTAAGTTGTCCGGGAAACGGTATGAAGAAAATGCCGATTTCGTACTTGGTATTCGGCTTGAGCTTCTCTAAAGTGTAGCTGGTGACGGCCCTGTAGATCAGCGGCGTCGCCGCGTAGATTTTCCCGTCGATTTCCCGGTATCTCAGCTGCACGCCGTCGATGAACCTCAGCTCGTTGTCGTCGAATTTCCTCCACACCACCGTCACCCAGGTGGAATTGATGTCGGTGATGGCGAGGTCCGGCTCGATGGGTATCATTGGGGGTAAGGTGGTCGTCGGTGTCGCTTCCCTGGGCGTTTTGATCTTGTAGATTCTACTGCTGTGCGTGGTATGTATGTCGCGCAGTGTTATGGTTATTTTGATTTTGTATTCGGTGTTGGGTTGCAAATCCTGCAGGTCGAATTCTAATGACGGTGTGGCGATCAAGTCATTAGGCGGCGCAAATACTTGCAGCATCCACGAGTCCAAATCATCGTCGCTTAAAAAAATTAAAAAAAATTGATAAATACAGAAAAAAGTCTAACGAAATTGAAGTATAAGGCAACAGGTGCCTAGAGGAGCATGTGAGACGACAAATAGTAAAATTTAGCGACTGCTATTTGACCAGGGTTTTCGGTGGTATTTCCACTGCCATATTTCCAAATCCGGAAGATCTCTAATGTAAGATTAGGTAGGAGAAATTTAACAGCTAACTACGACGACTACAATATGGAATCATTATGATTTTTGAAGTAGTAACTACCGATAAGTTCTAAATCATTATTTTTGCGACAAGCACTAGGTACTTTTTATAAAAAATTACTTTTCTTTGTACAATTAAATATAACAATTTTTTTCCTCTCCTCAGCCCCATCCAGAGACACAATGTATATCTACATACGAACAATAATGCACTCGATACAAAAATATATAAATGAACGAAAAAATACATGTGAAATATTTGTGGAAACACAACATACCAAACATACGTTCTAAAGATATTATAGAAAAATGATTAGAAGATAAAAATTTTTGAATAATCGGAATAACATAATTGAAAATTTAACTCCACTGATAGTCAAGGAAACATGAATTACTTCCACTACATTTCCACCACATTGACCCAATTCGGCATGCTCTCAAGATAAGACCTTACATCCAATCAACCGCTTAATGAACACTACAATCAATAGTTAATTCGAGATTAAATAGAGACATTTTTTGAGCATCTACTTACTTCTTTTTGTTGGTATATCTTACTTCTACTCGTCCGTGTAAATTTACTATAACAGGAGGCACCATGAAAGCCAGGCGGACAGTATGAGGATCGATTGCTTCCAAGGTGTGAACGAGAATGTCGTCATCAGGTTGTTGGTATCCCGGGAACTGACCTGGAAATCCGTTGATTCCTACGAATTAAAATGATTTTAGGAACACCAACTTTAAATCAAATAATTCCACAATGATGGTGATTTATAATTAACATTATTTAACTAGTCTTTGTTTCCACTTTGTATAGCATTTTTACAAATATGTAGGTACATTTCCTGATAAAAATAATGCATAATTTTAAACAGCAGTCGAACAATCATTGTTTTTCTTTAAATTTTTAATATTTGTTTAACTAACCTGGTCGTGACACGTTGATTTTACTAGGCAATGGTATATTTTGTTGTCCCAAGAAAGGTCTATCAACATGAGGAATATTACTAAATACTTGTCCATTAGGTAAAGAATTTTTATGAAACTCGTTCAATATATGTTCTAGAGATAATCCAGGCGGAAGATTTTCATTGTGTCCGCCTTGCGGGATGACATAGGGAACTAAATGTATATTCGACTTATCCGCATTGGATATGGAATTAGGCGCCGGTTTGGATGCAGCGGGGAAATCGTGGATCTCTAAAACCGACCCCGAAGGATAGTTACTAAGTTCCGGATGACGGTTTATGAATTGCAGAAGTTCCTCCGGATTACCGTGGCCGTGAATTTCGATTTCCGAATGAACCTCGGGAGCAGAGGAAGTCGTTTCGACTGCCAAATTTGGCTGAGTTACGAAGATAGCAGGCTTTTTGTTTTTGGATTTAATCGAAGGTTTTTTGCCGCTATTATTGTTATTTGAGATATTGTGATAGAACGGATTTTCCTGCGATGATATTTTCGATGGTTCGTTTTCGTAAACTGCTAGAGGTCCTAGCGTTTTAGATGGAGGTTTCGAGGAGAATGGTCCGTTGTATGGAGTTTTCGTAATGTTTTTTTTGTCTTTATCCGCTACGTTGTCGTCCGTCACTGAAATAAGACCGTAAAATCTGTCAGTAGCTTTCAGATGAGTCTGTACCAAAAGCCAATCCACAATCTACCACAAACCTACGCTATTTACAATTGTCAGTGCGTTTCACCAATAAACGTCTACAATCTAAGAACAACAACAAAGCTGTAAATACCATTGCCGCATTTAAGGTTAGTAAAACATATGTATAAGTAATATAAATCTAAATAATTAATGCAGGAGCTATTTTTGGCCCTACTGGTTGATTTTGTCACAATTAGAACAGAGTGGAAAATTTAATATTACTACATTACTTTTTAACTGCTAATTCATATTTAAAATGAACGTTTGTAATCCAAAAATTAACGTAGAAATGTTAAAATATTTACATATACAATGCCCTGACATTAGTGAAAACGAATTGATCAAAATAGTTTTAATTATTTATCTAAATCAAAAATAATCCGCGCGTGTATTAAAATTTTTTTGGAGGTACAAATGAATGTTAATGCTACAAACCAATCAGTTCAACTATATTTCATAGATAGTACCAATTTATTGTAGAAATAGATTATGAAATGAACTATACTAATTCCAAATAAATATTTTATTGGAAGATGGAATAAATACTGGGATAGACACGAATTTTTTAAATTATTTTCTATGTTGAGAGTACTGTTTTAATTATAGTAGGTACCTAACATACAGTGCCTTAACTAATATTTACTGTGCATTGAATTGTAAATTTAGATACCTAATAATAACACAAAATCTTCTAAATTTGAAAAAAACTCTCTTTCGATTTTGTTGGATTCAACATGAGCCAATACAAATCAAAATATAAGTAAAGTTTCATATAATATTCCCACGAAATAAAGACACTTTAATTAACTCACCATACAAAACCATACAATAAATACTTACAGCAGTTTACATTCATAAAAATTGTATATTCTAAAGGCTATTACCAAGCTGTTATTTACAGTAATATACTCATATATATGTTTACCAAAATATTTACCTTGATTTTGATCGTTATGACCGCAAACCCAGTACTTGCAGCAATCATCATCCGGTAGATGATCGATCCTAGCCATGCTTGGTGGACAGGGCAGATTAGGTGGAGGGTGAGCAGTCACCGGAGGACAAGCATTTTGGCACTCGACTTTACCCATTTCGCAGTAACACCTCTTCTCGCAACCGGTGACGTTTATAGGCAATTGCTCCCAATTCTTGTAAACGACCCCTTCGTAGTCGCAGGAACCATTATTCTTGCATTTGACGCTACTGGGGCAACAACGAGGCGGTTTCGGTACGAAATCCAGCGGTACCGTTTCCCATTCTATGCAGTTCGGATCGATAATATCTACACCGAAGTAGGTCGGGCATTGCATTTTCAAGCATTTCATTCCGTCGATTTCGCACACGCACAAAGATTCGCAATCATCGTTATATTCGTCGCCTATGTTGAAGAACTTATCCTTGTACTTGCAACCAGTTGCGCTGGATTTGTCTTTCACCGACTCTTTGGGGTTTCCTTCGAAGTTTTGGATGTTAGTTATCTCGTCAGAATTTTCTAGTTTCAGGTATCTAGCGGGGTTTTCTAACGTTACGAATCCGCCCATTACTTTGTGTTTTATCCAATTGGTTTTGTCGTCGCTGACTTCCACAACGACCGAACTTTCCTGTGGATCTATGCTCGGATCGAATTTCAAAGAAACCGCCGTCGAATTTACGTATCTCGCCGATGTTACTCTCCTCACTTTTTCGTCTTCTTTCTCGGATTCATTATCTTCCAGGGTTACGTCGCACAGCATCTTCTTGCAGCACGTGTCCGACGTATCGGGCACCTCGACGCACCTGTCGTTGGGCTTTGTAACCGGGGGACACCTGGAAATATATCAAATCAATCTAAATCTATTGTCTATTTTTTTCTCATTTACGTACCTTGGTTTACATGACATATTACCACCGGATTCGCAAGTACAAATTTCGCTGCACCCTTCCTTGTAGATGTCTCCCCTATTAAATGTTTCATTTTTATACGAGCAGTGCTCAGTTGGTTCTGTTTCTGGCGAGCAAAAAGTTATTAGTATAAACAAGAAAAAGATAAATGATAAAATAGTACCTGTATCTCCAGCGCATACTAAAACCGAGCAGCACATGTCGTCTGTGGACTGCGCGAAACACAGGGGATCGTTGATTTTCTTGCCTTTTCTGATGAAAGGTTGGGCACATCTGTCGGTACAGTTCATGGTACCGTTTAGACAAGTGCATATGGAATCGCATCCATTTTCTATTTTATAGCCGTGTTCGTATGTCAGCCCTCCTTGCTGGCAGGCTCCAGCTAATCCAAAAATTAGATTAAATTAATTAAGAGTTTTAGTGGCAATTAGCGATGGAAAAGATATCGCAGAAATTTCAGAGCATCGTATTTACGAAAATAACTTTGTTCAGTAAGTAATCTTTAAGCATCTTCAGTAGATGCATTTTTTAATTTCTTCATTCAACATTTTAACTCTACCATATACAGCACTTAAACAACACCTAGTAAAGATGCACCTAGAGTTCCATTTAATTTATTAAGGAATTTAAATGCGTTTAGTTACCATTAGAAACGTTCTTTAACTCGGTCTTGGGGGCCAAGATCTTCGGTTGCACGACATCCATATCGAAATTATCGTCATCGTTGATGGTAACATCGCTGAGATCGGTATCGATCGACGATGCATTGTGCAAGACGTTTTCCCCGTCGTGCTTCGACATGGTGAAATTCAACGCCCTGCCCTTGGGCTCTTCGACGGGGCCGGTAGCGTTCTTGTCGGATATCTCATTGCTTGCAGTCGAAGTTTCGGGAAATAGCGGCTCCACCGACGGCAGCGGGGTGGGTTGGAATCCCATGTCGGAGTCTTCGGCCAGCATGCTCATGGCTTGAGGTCGCTCGGGGGGCTTGGAGGTGTGCGCGGTTAAATCTTGCATCGTCCGTGGTTGGTAAACATCTGTAAGCACCTGATTAATTAGTACATTTATTAACAGGTGGGTGAAGAAGTTGTGCGAGTAGCACATCTAAACCGATATGTAGGTGTACCAGATTGTATTGAAATGCGAGACGCAATACCGAAAGACTGATTGAGATGACTAAAATGAATCTATTTCAATACATTTTGAAATTCAATTCAGGGTATATCATTTGTTAGATACAAACTCCGCATGAAATAAAGATTTTGGGATTGTCATTAAATAGTAAACCTGCAGAGGATATAACTGACTGATTGAGTCCAAGTACACTAGAAATGGAAACGAAAGAAGAAAGTATTACATTGTGTACGAAATTTCGCGTTTCCAATTTTTTTTCGTATGCCATATGCTATGGGGCTATTGAAAGCTGTAATTACTCTATTTTTCAATCGTATATTATTAGTTTTATTATGAACAAATTTGCCAACTTACAGGAACCAGAGCGAAAAAATAACGTCTGATGCTAATTGCTGTTTATGTTGAAGAAGATATATTTACTTAAAGTAACTTTGGACCTAATTTATCGATCAGGGATAGGTAATATAAATTCAATAACGCTGCAATAATTTAAATAAATTTATTCAGTAACTTTTTCTATATTTTTATGGTCGTATTTATATAACAGGTAATTACAAAGTATTCTCCAGATCCTCATAACAACGTTACTAAAAAGCAACCAAAATTTTACGTTCTAAAATTTTGAATCAACAAGACTTAGGTACAGAATGGTAGAGGTCATTTTTTAGAATCGACCCAGTATAATGGTTTTTGTTTCGAAGAAATTAAAAACCGCCCGCCCCACGTAACTGCCATGGATTTTTTTTTATAAATTCCAAGTGGATTCCAACGATGATGACATTATATATCACGAAGCCGTTTGGTATGCAACAGTTGGTTATTGATTCATCCTAACAGAGTTTCGGTCGAATCCCTCATAATTCGAAATACTATTAATTAACTATTGTTAAACCCTTATAACGATGCATAAACGTCTCTCTTTTGTACTTCGGTTATGAACGATAGAATATAGAAATGACCAAAAATTATGGTGCAAGCGACGTCCCACACCTCGTAGGTACCAATGGCTCGTCTAGTCGAAGAAGCAACCTGTTGCAATGCGGATAAACAACGCCCGAGTGACGTGAAGAAAAACAAGATGTAGAAGAATACTCTGCCCCGAAGGCGGAGGTATTAACCTTCATCTAAACCGTGATCTCGTAGTTTTTTACGCGAACAAAAACCGAATCATCCTCCATTCGCTATAGCTATTTCGGCCGAATACTCGGCACTTCTTAGTCTGTCTATCCAATGAAAATCGTTTATTTTCTAACGAAACCGGTTTCTTGATTTTTCTCGGTTACGTTAGGCACTTCTGACGTTCAAAAAGTTATGGTAGGTACTATTGCATAATCCTTATACAGACAATATAATAAATATAATAGTTACTTTTCATATAAAATCCACGATATTTTTGTGATATATACAAAGTCAATAATTTTATTATGTTCAGTGAGAACTGTTAAAATATTATGTGGAGTTATTAATACCATCGGTTCCTTTCAAGCAGACTGCTCGTCGCTTTCTTTTACTGGTTTTTGAATCTGGGCTAATGAATTATCGAGCAGATTTTTGACATCGTTTTAGTTTATTTGGTGTTTCTTTAACCGACATTTTTTAAGAAGATTCGATTGCAGTTTTAAAGTTATTTAATCTGATTTAAGAATAATGAAGATTCTTATAAGATTTTTATCCGAGTGAGAAATGATTTTCTAGTAATTATTTCGAAAACCGATAGATGTTATTAATTAGACTGGTTTTTTTCAAGTTAATTGCAATGAAATGAAAAGTCCTTCCAGCATTGTAGCATTTAATATAATTATTATTTTGATTAGTTTCGCTTCAGCGGCAACAATTAATTTGATATAAATCACTTTGTTTTTCCATTTAATAGATCTTGTTATGAAGAATACAATTTATTACATGTACCCATAACTACCTATAATTGTTATAATATAATTAATATTTTTCATTATTAAGAAATTTTCAAATTTAAATTTAATTTTTTACTTTAAATTTGCTGTAACTACTTAATGTGAATCAAACATTTGCATAAATATTCAATTTTAAGAGAAAGCAGCAATAAATAGAATTTCTGGTATTCATTCGCGATAATCGCGATTACTTATTACTATGCATTTAACTTGAGAATAAAAACATCAAATTTTCTCTTGTTTGATTTCTTTTAAATGGAATTATCACCAGATAATTATCCTATTGCATTAAATTGACAACTTTCTTGCAAATTTAAACGACGTGGTTTATGATAAGAGAAGTCAAGGAACTTTGCCTTTGTTAATAAAGTTGATACCGTTTCGAAAGGTATTTGTAGTAGCGAGCTATTAACCTTTACTTTAATTGAATAGGCGCTGGATAAATCATACTTTCTTTTCTTTTTTGTTAGAGTAATTAGTTGGTTAATAATATCTAATTAATCTACTTAAGTTACCTGCAAAAGAGGAGAGTAGGTAGCCGAAACGTGTGAAAACTCCATCTAAAAACATTATATTCTAATGTGATTAGATCGTGTAGGAAACGAAGAATTAGTCAAAAAATATTATACGTAAATGCATGAAAAAACTCAATTGAGTTAAATTAGTAGACCACAACGCGTGGACAATTACGAGGTATAGCTGCACAAAAATATTTAAAAAAAAACCATAATTTATTCACTCGTACAAGTGACAACTTGCGGAAATGAGGATAACACATGTAGGTAAAGGTATTTCCTACTAAGTAATAATTAATTTCAACGAGTTGAACGGCCATTTAAACGTATATCGTGTAGATACATTGAATCACATTATTTATACATATGATTCGCAATTTTCTTCTTTATTTTTTCCTCATCAATTGCTGTAGATACAAAACAATTCGTACACTATTCACAAGTAGATTATAATCATAATTATCATTATACGGCTATGCACTTAATTGCCTCAAAATTATACTATTATTTTCCAATTATTCAATACCTGTTGAAACGCTTTTACTCATAATTACCTATTTAAATCCTACGCTTGTTGTGGATATAGGCAATTATTATGCCCGAAATACGGTAGGAGTAAAATTACATACAGTTTTCAAATTATTGCTACAAAGTACACAATTTTAAAAGAGCACTCGAGAATTCGAAACAACGTTTATCTATGAAATCTTCCATGGTTTATTTTACGTTCGTTGAGTAACTTCGAGTAGCGCGAAGAATGTACCACATTCATTCAAAACAATGGAGTTGATGCAAGAAAAATAGCATCTTAAGCGGCATTTGGTGTGGTAATGATATTTCCATAATTGCACGTTGCAAGAGTAGATGAGCTACAATTAAAAAATAATCATAAATTTTCATAGACACCGCCAGAAAATTTTTTTCGAAATCCAAATAGCATACATATAATTCTAATCACGAGCCTATAGCTTTTTATACCTTTTTTTGTACTATTTTCCACATTATACTAATATAGTGTCGACATATAATAATTCTATACCTAAGTATATGTAGTATTAAGTACAAAATAATAATGAACTAACTGCATTAATTTTTCATAATGTTCTGTTATTGCAAACTCCTAGTATTAATAAGGTTTGCTCTTATATAAAAATATTCAAGATAGATTGTAGAAATATTGTTGAAACATAGGCGGAAAGAGTAACCTACACATTTCATTTTAAGTCTTTTCATTGTGAAAAAAACCTTTACGTAGGTATGTAGGTGTACCTTGGCAGCGTTCTTTTATAGCATTTTATCGCAATTATGGGTCTATTCTCAGGGGCGATAACCTTGCTACTTCTACAATTCATTAAAAATTATGTCCTAATAAACTACAAATAAAAAACAATACTTAAATTAGATCAGGATAGAAAATAACCGTTTTCAAGATTAAGAAAGCGATTATACCTAGAATTATTGTAAATTACAACATTTAAATTACTCGTTCTGTTTTAGCTATTCTTTCTCATTGCTGGAATAGAAAATTAACGTTAACAGGCCTATTGTTTTTGTATCATTTTTCGTCTTTCACTAAATTTCATTGTTATTCTTGGATTCTTCGGCGTAATATTAAAACATCCTTTCTTTTAACCTTCGTGAGGTTATTAGCATTCGGAATACGTACGTACAATGAGACAAGTCACTGAAAGAACCGCTTACTTTCTATATAATGTGGTGTTGGAAATTTCACCAGACCGGATTGGCCGTTTTCCATTAGTTAAATATTTTCATTAATCAATACAACCACTTTATTTTATGGCTGCATTGAAACTATTCAAATCTAAATCAGAATGCGATTGGCATTTCCAATAAATAAGCGCACGCAAAATGTTCTGAACAATCACCGTAAGTTAAAGTGTTTGAAAAATTGAACTTTTGCTAAGGTTAGAGGTTACTTACCTTTAATGTCAGCCTTGGAATTGGCTCGTCCATTTGTTATGCTCGAGAACACACTAATTTCCCTATTTGTTTACTCTCCGCAAGTTTAATTTAAATTAAAACTGTAGGTATACACATCATCAAGTCTGAATTAGAATATTTCAGCTCAGAATAATTAGACATTAATAGAGCACTAATTGAAATAAAATACTACCAGGCAGAACTTTAAATCCATATTGATACTTCTTTATGAACGGTGTGATATTTACATGCAGCCACATGTGGCAAAAATGCAAACTTTAACAACACCAATTTATTGAATACTTTGTTGACTACTGTTATCTACATAAAAAAACGAATTGAATTAAGTAGCAAAGGGTGCGCATTCGCAAGTCTGACACCCAAACTCATCGAATTTGTACAGTACGCAATAGTTGGTACAAAAGGCCTCTGGACATTTGTACACGCACGTCGGAGAGCGCGGACAATCTTCCGTGGAGCACTCTTCTTCTTCCCTTAATTGGCACCTTTCGGGCGGATCGCATTGGACGTTCT